CCCATCTTCATCTTATTATTCAAATCCTGTACAACTATCTAATTTACTTTCGATCTCTTGCAATGTCGGGACACCATCATGATCACGATGGCCACTGCCATGGCGAACACGACCATACCAACGATATCACTCCAGCCATCCAATCCCTCCTCTACTCTCAGATCAACTTTGATCTAATTACAACCCTGAATGGTATGCATAGCCCCCATGATCAAAGTAACAACTGGTGACAAGTCCTGATTTGCAACAGAGACAACCCCAAACTCTGGCGCATCCATCGTCCAGAAAACCTGGGCCGAGCGACTTAACGACAAGCCTGAGCTCGAGAGCGATGCCGACGAACAATTGCTCATGACCATCCCGTGAGTCTCACTCATTCCACATATCTATACAAGTAGTTCTAGTGGCTGTCCACTGTCCAACCCCCTCCCTTCGCAACGCGTTACAAAAATCCCAAAACCCCCACCAATCTTACCCCTCACCCGTTATCGCCCCCAAAACTAATCCGAGCTTCAACAACACAGGTTCAACGGCCAAGTCAACGTCCATTCCCTCCTCCTCTACACAGCACCTACAAACTCCGCCCCAAAGACGGTAAAGCTATTTAAGAACCGCGACGATTTGGATTTCTCAACCGCATCGGAGTTGCACGCGACTCAAACCATCGAAGTTCCGCGACCTGTACCTGGCGCTGATGTCTTTGAATTGCCGTTGAATCGCGCCCATTGGAACGCGACTACCTCTGTTACGCTATTCTTCGAGGATAATTGGAGTGATGGCGAGGAGGATGTCACTAAGGTTGGATATGTGGGCTTCAAGGGACAGTTCATGAAGTTAACCCGGGAGCCGGTTAGTTTCCTTTATGAGGCTGCGGCCAACCCTCAGGATCATGTTTCTATTCCTGGTGTTAGTGGTGTTGGTGGTAGGATTATGCCTGGGCAGTAGATGGGGTTCTTTGGGGTTTCTTTTGAAGATGCCTCGGTGTATTTTGAAGTTGACAGGTCAGACACGAGTAACGACAATACCATTCTACCGTTATGTATTTCTACATGGAATTTATTGAATTTATTGTGTTCTTTATACCGGTCAAGTGAGCTCTTATTGATTGAGTATCATTTGTAAAACCTCGGACTGAGGATGTCATAATCTATAGACCATGGACTTTACAACAAGCAATAGAATCAACCGCCAACGCCATGGATACATGGAATCAACCAGCAATAGAGGCAACAAAAACAAAACAGCCGCAACGCCACAAAATGCTCTGGATCAATATAATGCAATGCTTGGTGCTGTGCAACGAGGACCCAACATATCTCCCCTACTGAGCAGGCAAAGCCGTTCGAGTCTCAGCCTTAGCCTTGGTTCTTGGAGTCGACTCTGGCACCGGCTCCTCAATAGGCAAATCAGCAGTAGGCGGACTAGGCAGTACGACATCATCAGGCAGGATCTCAGGACCAGCAAGTTCCCGCTGCAGAGCCTCCAGCTCATCCTCAACCTCGTCCTCATCTTGATTCGTCAAATGACCCGCCAGCATCTGGCTCACCTCCTATAACAACAATTAGTGATACTGAACCCCAGTCCCAACGTCCTGCACAACATGGGAATAGAAACAAGGAACGTACCTCCTGATAAGCTTTCGCCTCCTCGGTCTCCCCCATCAATCTCTCAACACCCTCAATGCCACCCATCTCTTGATTGATGGTTTGCAGCACCTTCGTGCCCTGCTGCAACCCAAATAGTACGTCCTTCTGCACAAGCGCAAACTCCACCTGCCCAGTCAACTGCTCCAATTGCGCGAGTTGTCCATCTGTCTTCTCCAGGAGTGACTCCTGGTATTTCTTGCGTCGAAGGGCGAGTAGTGCTCGCCGCCGATCATCGCGTGCGAGACATTCCTTGGCGATTTCCGTTTCGCGGTCTGTTAGGACGGTTATTCGTCGCTGGTATTGGTGTAGTCTGTCGCGTTGGTTTTTAAGATCGAGAATTGCCCTATATATATGCCACGGGTTGCTTGTTAGCTGGTATCATACTATTGGGTTGTGGACATGCTGGGTGGGGATGAGGGGGTCTCGTGAGGAGAACAACAGTATGCTCAGACAAGCGGGATTGAGAATGGGTTGAGGATATTGTATGTATACAATAGTATACCGTAGTCTGCACTCACCGATCCTGGGCAGAGATCTTATGCGAACTACTCGTGTTTCCCATGTTGTTGAAGAGAAGGGAGAACCTCCGATTAAGTAGATGCGGGCCTAGACGTGAATGACGTTATGTAACGGGCCTGTAATTACGTTGTAATTTTCAACCGATCTTTCAAATGTTTCCATCTCCGAAATTTCGGGCCCGCGGGCTTTTCTTTTGCACAACCAATATCAAATCATGCCTCCTAGGAAGGGTGGCAGGCCGACCCTCAGTCAGGGTCTGGACCGTGAGGTATGTATTCCAAGATTGTGTCTTGTCGGCTTTGACTGACCCCCCAAAATAGGTCTACCAGATCGTGCGCAAGATTATTGACGACCAACCCGAGACTGGGCGCATTCGACTATCGGTCCCAGTGATTTATGACACAATTAAGAAATCCAACTCGAGTTTGAACCGGAAACCGAAGAGACTTATCGAGGACAGTCTTGAGCGGGTATTGGAGGTTATCAAAGCTGATATGGGTGAAGAGGATGAGGATTCAATGGAGGGGGACTTTGAGGGACTTGAAGAGCCCGCCGCTACGGTACGTTATGCACTGCGCATATTTTTTTTTGGTTGCTTAAATGGGACGCAAATTCTAATTGGAATTGCCATATCAGGAACCCAATGGAATGAATCAGAGCGTGATTGGCTCGTGGGCAACAACGAAGGCCAAAAAGACCGCCGAATCCACTGCTAGCACACCAGCACCAACTGCCTCGAAGAGAAGAACGCATGGCGGAGAATCTGTGTCTAAGCGACGCAAGGCTGAGCCCGCGGATCGTTCGCCACCTACACATGTCAGTCTGGCTGATTTGGGTGGGCTGGATGATGTTGTTCAGGAACTTGGGGACTTGGTCATTCTACCCATGACCCGGCCACAGGTCTATCTATCATCAAACGTGCAGCCGCCACGTGGAGTATTACTGCATGGTCCGCCAGGTTGCGGTAAGACGCTAATTGCAAACGCTTTCGCAGCGGAGCTGGGTGTACCCTTCATCTCAATCTCTGCGCCTTCGGTCGTGTCAGGAATGTCGGGTGAATCCGAGAAAGCCCTGCGCGAGTACTTCGAAGAGGCCAAGCGTCTTGCTCCCTGTCTGATATTCATCGACGAGATCGATGCCATTACGCCGAAGCGCGAGAGCGCCCAGAGAGAGATGGAGAAGCGAATTGTCGCCCAGCTCCTGACCTGCATGGACGAAATTGCCCTTGAAAAGACAGACGGCAAGCCCGTTATCGTACTCGCGGCAACCAACCGCCCGGACAGTCTCGATGCTGCTCTGCGTCGTGGTGGTCGTTTCGATAAGGAAATCAACATGACTGTGCCCTCAGAGCCAGTCAGAGAACAAATCCTACGCTCACTCACTCGCAAAATGCGCCTGGCAGACGACATCGACCTCAAGACACTAGCCAAACGAACCCCCGGCTTCGTAGGCGCCGATCTCAACGACCTCGTCTCGACCGCCGGCGCAGCCGCCATTAAGCGGTACCTCGCGATCCTGAAGTCGAACAGCGGCGAAGAAATGGAGATGGAAATCGAAGGCGAAGACGACATCAGCCCGCGAGTCCGCGAACTCCGCCGTCTTATCAACCACGCTAAGGAAACCCCCATCGGCGACGAAACAGAAGTCGTCCTCGTCTCCAACGCAGACTTCTTCACAGCCCTCCCCAAGATCCAACCCTCCTCCAAGCGCGAGGGCTTCGCCACAATCCCCGACACAACCTGGGCCGACATCGGTGCCCTCGGCGGCATCCGCGACGAGCTCGTCACTGCCATCGTCGAACCAATCAAGAACCCCGATATCTACGCCAATGTCGGTATCACCGCCCCGACGGGTGTCCTCCTCTGGGGCCCGCCCGGTTGCGGTAAAACCCTCCTCGCAAAGGCCGTCGCCAACGAGTCCCGCGCAAACTTCATTAGCGTCAAGGGCCCCGAACTGCTCAACAAGTTCGTCGGTGAGTCTGAGCGCGCTGTTCGCCAGGTCTTTGTCCGTGCCCGCTCTTCCGTGCCCTGTGTTATCTTCTTCGATGAGCTCGATGCCCTCGTGCCCCGCCGTGACGATACACTCTCCGAGGCATCCGCCCGTGTCGTCAATACACTCCTCACAGAGCTTGATGGGCTCGGCAGTAGTCGCCAGGGTATCTATGTCATCGCTGCTACTAATCGGCCTGATATTATTGATCCTGCTATGCTGCGTCCTGGTCGTCTTGAGACTCTCCTCTTTGTGAACTTGCCCACCCCGCTCGAGCGTGTCGAGATCTTGCAGACTCTGCTCCGGAACTTGGCTATTGAGTTTAGTGAGGATCTGCGCAAGCTCGCTGAGGAGTGCGAGGGCTTCAGTGGTGCTGATTTGGGCAGTTTGTTGCGTCGTGCTGGTTACTCTGCTATCAAGCGTCGCGATAGTATTAAGTTCATTGACTTCGTTGCTGCTAAGTCGTTTGTTCGGCCTAGTGTTACGGATTTGAGGAAGTATGAGAAGCTCAGGAGGGACTGGAGTGGTGGTGTGGTCTGAGTTCGGGATGGTTTGTATATGTACATCTATACATATTTAGATCTAGAGTTTTCTTTTTTTCTCCCATTTTTTCTTGCTTGGGATCGTGGACATAGATACCTTGAATATTTGCGATTTATTCGAACATTGGATCATTCATTTCTACATCCTTTCGACTACTACCGAGCTACAATAACTCCAAGATCTATGTTTGATACGAAGCAGAAAACGTTAAAGAAGCAACTTTTTTGTAAGATAACTATACAAAAGGAAGATTATGCAAAAAAAAAAATAAATAGGGAAAAACGCCCAGAAAAATGTCAGACATCATGCAACGGCATCTCAAGATTACATCCACAAGCGACACGTTCCATCGGCACCAGCACTGACAGCCCACGCCTCGCGGGGGGTGCCAGTCGATATCCAAAACACCCAACTCGCCAGTAATCTTGTGGCCCTTGAGAACCTTGAGCGGCACAATGGTAGCATTGCTGAGCATATCTCCAGTAACGCTGCCGTGGAAGATCTGCAGGGATCCATCGTCGGAAGCATCCGCGAAGAGCGGGTAGCGGCCGCTGGGGTGGAACTTGACGGCACGGATAGCCTTGCGGTGGTAGCGGAGAGTCTTGTAGGGGCGCTGGGAGAGGTCGAGATCGTGCCAGAGCAGACGACGATCGTACGAGCCAATAATGATGTTGTCGCCGCCGGATGCGCTCGAAGAGGTCGGGTGGATGTCGAACGACGAGATCCAGCGTGCACCAGGCTGCAGGATCTTGACGAGGAGCTGGCGTGAGAGATCGTATGCGCGAATCGAGCGCTGGTTGGCAACGAACAGGATGGGTTTCGACGGGTGGAAGTGGGCGGTCTGGGGGGACCACCACCCTTGAGGCGGCGCCGGAAGGGGAATTGTGTCAGGTGCTTGCTGAGTGTGTGGATGGAGATCGCGACGGAGGCCGGTGTCGAGGCGCCCGAGCACACTGTCACGAAGTAGTCGCCGCGGCGGTGCCAGGAGATAGTCTTGGGCACGTAGCGGAGGGGAATGACGACGCACACACCGGCATCCACGAGAGCGGACGAGGGACGGATCCAGGTTGGGGGCGCGTTCTTCTTGCCTTCCTCTGAGGCACTGGGGGCCGGTCGAGAGGCGGCGAAACCCCAGCCTGCGTCGAGGAGATCCAGACTGGCCTTCTCGATTTCAGGGTCGACAATGGGAGGAACAGAGAGGAAGATGTCGTCTCCTGCGGTGGCAGCGAGGATGACAGCATCCTTGCCCGGACGCCAGCGGACAGTGCTGACCGCCTCGTCATCGCTGAGCTTCACGCTCCACAGTTGGCGACCTGTGAGGAGTTCCCAGACGCGGACGGTACCGTCGTCGCCACCAGTAGCCAGCCAGACTCCAGTTGGGTCCACGTTGACAGAGCGCACACGGCCCTTGTGTCCGCGGAAGACTGTGGCACAGGCAGTGGGGAAAGGCTTGAGCTCCTCAGGGCTGGGGAGCTTGGGCAAGAGACTCTCGGGGTCGATGTTCAGCTTACTACGACGCACACGCGGAGCAAGGTAGAGATCCAAGCAACGCTCGAACTTCTCTTGGACGAAGTTGTCGTATCCAGGAACTCTGCGCAGGGAGCCAAAGTCGTTGGGTAGGTAATCCTTCTCGCGATCCTCGGGATCTGTCTGTTCCCATTCCTTACGTTCCTTGTTATCGGGCAGGTACTCAGCAGGCGGGTGGTAACTCTCCTCGTAGCCAGGGGGTGGGAGTTTGGGTGCCGGGATATGCATGACGTGGTCAGGTCGCTCAGCTTCGTCAGCCCACAGATCGTAGTTGATGAGTTCCTCATCCTTATCTTCTCTCTCCTCTGGCGCCTTGTAAGGAAGAATGCGGCCCTCGCGGATGGCCTTCACAAGCTTCATCACACGCTTCTGCTCGTGCTTGGATGGCACGAAACGGCGCTTGGGTTCGGGTGCGGCGCTCAGGGGCATGATCTCCTTTTCGCTGCTGAACCATTCCACCAATGGCTCATATGGGTCGTAGCCCTCGGAGGGGACCTCGTTCATTTGCACCTTGCGGAGCAACTCTAATTCCTCCTGGCTGAGCTCCAGAGGCTTACCGGTCTTGGGGTCAGTCAGACCGGTCCAGCCCTTGGGGATTTCAATGCTATCCAACAACGCATCCAGGGCCTCGCCCTTGGCGGGACGCATAATTTTCTTTCCATTGATGTCGTAACCAATGTGGGGATATTCGTCGTAGAACTTCAGGGGGATGTCGCCAATGGTGTTGGCATTTTCATCCACCTCGGAGAGTTCCGAGTTGTCGTCTGGGTGAATTTCATCCCAGAGGTAGCGATCGTTTCCGTTGGCGTCCTTCACAATGCGGAAGTTAGGTTCACCGGCAGCTGGCTTGATTTCCTCTGTATCAGAGGGAATCTCGTCGCTGTCCAATTCATCTTCTCCATCTTCCGAGTCGCTGAAGTCATCGACTAGCTCGACTTCCGAGTCACTGTCGTCGTCTTCGCTGCCCGAGAGATCTTTGGAGTTGTCCGACAAGGCTCCATCGAGGTTGCCTTTGCTCAATTCGTCACCGGAAAAGACACCAGCTTCCTCCTCGACATCGCGAGTGACAGCCTTGCGCTTCTTTGAAGCCGCCTTGGGGTTCATGATGCCGTTCAGCGGGTGTTGTCTTGTTGCGGTAGATCCATAGTTTTTTTTTTTTAGGATAATTTCTCGGGGCGCTCACCGCCCACATGACCGCCCCCATCTTATCGGGACTATCTAGCCAATGTTCTATTTTTGAGATTCCAAAGGAATGTTTTTGAACGATTAAAGAGTCCATTTTCTGAATAATATTCTCAAGCAATGGCACTTCCACCTGAGTATGAGGGAGGGGTTTCTTTGCCTATTACGAATGATTCCTCGGACCCAAAAAGACATGCAGCATGCGACGAGTGTAGTAAGTCTGACAGGCCGATGTAACACAACTCTCACTGATCAGTCTGCTGCTCGACAGGAAAGCGAAAGCTCAAATGCTCTGGGGAACCATCAGGCTGTTTGCGATGTAACAAACAGTCACTTTCTTGCAACTATTCCATACAAAAACAGATGGGCCGGCCGCCCAAGAAAAGGACGCGGACAGAAGATGAGGGGGCCAGCTGCCCAGCGCTATCGTTTGCCGAAATTTGGCCTAGCCCAGTGGACTCGCAACAATCTTCACTAGGGATAAGTCCAAGCACAGTGGCCTTCTCAGACGCCGATCATCTTTGTCCGCAATTATTCTGGCGACCTGGTATGAACCCGAATTTGCCACAGTCCCAGCCCGATGACCAATTGTCAGGCTATAAAGACCACAACCATACCTGGAGCCCAGACCTTGCGAAACAGCCAAACCTTGGTGTTCCAGCATCATCTTCCCCTTGGCCTGATTTCTCGGCCATATCCAAAGCCACGGCCATGCCAATGTCACTCCCTAGCCCCCCAACCTTCCCTTCTATGCACTCCCTCCCGCTCTCTCCTACCATGTCCGTTTCTTCCGACTCCACAACATCTGGATGTCCATGTTTATCATACCTCTACCTATCCCTCAGCCACATGACATCGATCTCCTCCTTCCCCGTCAACTCCCACACCCTATGCTCGCTATATATTGCTGCACGAACAGCACGAGATGTGATTCGCTGCCAAGTTTGTCCAAAGGTCTTTGCAACGGGCCTTCAAAATATCATGTTCATAGGGACTTTATTAACTGTCGTCGCGGACGCATGGCTGCGCGTCTCACAAGCTGATGCTGTCGAACTGGGCATGCAGTCTGCGCCACCAGATTTCGTGTCAGAGGCGCTCCAAAGCCCCGACCCAGCACAAGTTTGGAAAAAATGGCTCCACGATGTTGTTCGTCGTGCTGTCATTGGTGGTTCCGTTGGGCCAGGTGCTATGATTGCTTGTTCATGGCAGCCAGCTCTACTTTCCATGATTATTGAAATCGAGAATCGACAACGCCACTGGCATGAACCTGGGCAACATCCACTTGGAGGGTGTAATCCATTATCCAACCCGGGCTCAGCTCACTCAGAGGATCGGGATGACCCCGCGGACAAGGAGTTTTTATGCCTCCGTGTGGTTGGGAATGCTAGAGAGGTGATCAAAAAGTTCGAGTTTAATCCTTCAGAATATCCCGAGGGCGTTGAGCCGATCACTACGACGAACAGAGAGCATAAAAGGCACACGGGAGCGCATCATACATGAAAATTTTGTCTAATCAAAGCTTGGGTCTGATTTCTGCATTTCGAATATGTTTAAGATATGGAGTTATTATTATATACCATTGGGCATCGGATACGATATAAATTTACACTTCTTCGCAGGTACGAAGCTAAGATTGATCACTTCCAGTCCCCGGTAATCCAGCGACTAAGTGTGCACCTTGAAGCCAATTTCAATCTATATGCTACACATAGTGGTGCAAGATATATACAGGAGTCTCTTGCACAAAGTATGCCTTTTTCTTTACCTTCGTATACACCTAAAAATATATAACAAGGCCGTATAAGCGGCCGACTATTGTTCTCTCTTTTTTTACTTTGGTTTATCATTTTATATATGACTCTCACCCGTGAGGCGAAATCTGTAAGTTAGTACAGTATCTTAATCAAGGTTGATATGTCATTGACCATTTCATTAATTTTTGTTGTACAAGCATCAAGTCAGTGAAATGAGCCCCATTGTCCCTCGAATGCCTGTTCATGTAGATGACGCCGGACCATGTGGATATGTAACAAGAAAATTGCATCGAAAACGTGAAAAGAAAAAGAACCTGCGAGAGAAGGAGAACGCCACAAGCTCACTCGTCGTCCTCGTCGTCCACCACGTAGCGGTTCTTCTTTCGGGCAGGAGGTGTGCCAGCCCTGGCTTGAGGCTCTGGCTTGCTACGGGCAGCCTTCGTAGGTGCAGCCTCCACGTCATCTTCACCTTCAGCGTCCATGTCTTCATCCTCCAGCTCCTCTTCTTCATCCTCGGCTTCTTCCTCCAGCTCCTCATCACTGCCAACCAAGAATCCATCGTCCTCATCGTACTCGTCTTCTCTGTTACGGGCACCACGAGAGTAATCTTCTTCTTCGTCGTCGGTGTAGATCTCGCCGCGGCGGTTTTGGCGGCGAGGCTTGGCACGTGGGCGAGTTGTGTGCAAACCGCCATCTTCAAGGCCACCGACACTAAGACCGCTAGGACCAGTGCGAGTAGCGCCATGGCGGCGACCGCGGTCGGCTTCGCGATCAGCAAGTTGCTGGCGACGGCGCTCGGCCTTGATAGATTCTTTCTCCATCAGTTCGGCACGTTTGCCAGCCAACTCCGGATCCTCTGTTAGTTCATAGCGCGGCGCAGTGCCAGCTGCGGTCTGCTTGCTACCACGACCAGCAGCAGCCAATTGTTCTTGCAATCGCTGAACGGCATCGTCCGTTTCCAAGGTGGTCGGGAGAATAGTCAGACCTTTGGTGATATGCGAGGTCAATCGGAAAACCTGGGCTGTTTCCAGCCCAGCAGCGAGAAAAAACGTGAGAGTCCAGCTTGTGGTCATAGTCGCCGGACTTGGTGAGAGGTGCGAGGGGTTTGGATGCGATGCGGTATTGTTCAAGAGGAGCGGAGGCGAGTTGAAGAGTGATAGAGCCATCCTCCCATTTGATCATGCGGGCATTGGACTGTAAAAGGGAGTCATCTGCAGGATCCTTCCGCCAGCATAGGGAGGTAGCAGCGGTCTGGTAAGCCGGTGGGACATAAGTCTCGGGATTGAATTCTTCTCCTTCGATAGAGAGGAAATCCGGCACGCGCATTGCGTAGACCTGGTACAATAAGTTAGATTAACAACAAAGACCTCAAGGTAGAAGCTCCTCTTACCTCCCCATCGTTGGTCAATGGCACTGGCGCCCGGGCAAGGTCCTGGTCAGCAACATTGACTTCCTGCTGCTCCTCGTCCACATCATCCATTCGGTCTTCGCGCCGATCATAGCGGTTCTCATCGTCGCCTGAGTCAAGCTGTTCATCGTCTAGGTTGCGGTGGGGTCTAGCAATATATCAGTACCTAGCTCTTGTCGCTATGGTGTGGTTCGCATACTCAATGTCATCGAGTCCGCCCTCTCCGTCCGAGCCGAAGAGATCGTCGCCTTCGTCCATTTGGTCGGCACCAGGATCATTGGCATTGCTGGGCGCAGGGCTCTCATGGCCATTGCTGGGGCGCCGGACGCCCTCCTCATCGGAGGACATGGTGTATGGAATTTATTGCTGCTGCAAAAGGTCGTAGGTGCGTGGAAGTGACAGTGACTCCTTGGTATTTGTATTCGGAGTAAGCGGAAGATGTGAAGTGAAGAAGTTCAAGTGGATGGGTGGAGAGAGAGAGAGAGTGTATTGACAATTGTGTTATCGGCCATTCACGACGGAGCTCCCATAATTCGATTGACTCGCGGGGATATAGATTATCCGGTTCCGGACTGAAATAGGACTAGTGTCTTGATGGCCCAGACCAAAAGGGGATCCTCAACGTGTGGGCATCTCACCGTCTCGTCCCTCATCCCTGTTATTTTCTCGATTTGAAGCATTGCAGATCAATTTCAAAGATGGCGACCTTCTTCCAGAGCGTGTAAGTCATGGTGCGCCATTGTGGACTTGTTGCAATCGGCCGTTGAATCTCCCTTCTACCTTTACCCCCTCATACTGCACGAAGAATCCCCCGGCGCCACAAATACAAAGGAGCATTCTATGCCTTAAAGTCTAATATTTCTCCTGGCGCCTCCTGTCGTTCACATCTACTCTTACTTCTTCAATATATGCCCACTTCATTCTCAAACAGCTATACCTCGCCACAATCATCTGCTAACTCTATCTTTGGATACAGTCGCCAAGGATTTGGCCGAGGAGGAAACAATAAGAGCAACAATCCCCCCAAAAGCCCAGCACAGGCCTCTACTCCCCAGCATCAAGCCACCATGTCGAATTCGCCCTCGATTTCTAGCAGTCTGTCAGTGGAGAACCAAGCGAATGACCCCGAGGGACCCAAATACTTCTTCCAAGAGAAGTATGCCCCGCTGAATGTGAGGGGCAACTTCTTGACCCTCTGTGCTTGCCCGAAGAATGTGGAGCTGGGCGAGTGGCTGGCTCACCAGAGTAAGCAATGTGGAAGCTTATCTTGATAGCGGGGAAGCTAATGTGTTTCTGCTTTAGTTGTTGAACAATATCGTCTACTCCACGGCATGCTTCAGGTTATCCAGGAGGTGAACAGTGTGACCGGTCTACCTATTTGCAATGAAAACACTTGCCCAACAATGTCCGCTGGACGGTATGTGGAGTATAGCGGGGTAAAATTATGAACCGAGCTAACGATTTTAAAGGCTGACCTATACCTGGCTTGTTGACGGCCGCGCCGCCAAAATTTCCGCCCCGAAGTTCATCAACCGTGTCGAGAAATGGATCGTCAGCAAGATACACGACCCTGTCATGTTTCCTACCGAAAAAGTCAACGGCACTCCCGAGACATCTGCCATCAAAGAGGCCAATGGCGCATCAACAACTCCCTCTGACCCCGCCAACCCAGATGACTGGATCGGCAAGTCTAGTGGCTTCCCACCAACATTTTACAAGGACTGCCAGGGTATCATGAAGCAGATGTTCCGGTGCTATGCCCATCTGTACCATGCTCATTGGCTCAACCCCTTTTGGCACATTAACAAGCACGATGTCCTCAATATGTGCTTCGTTCACTTCGTGACCGTTTCAAAGTACTACGGGCTTGTGTCCGACAAAGAGATGGAGCCCATGCAGCCCTTGATTGAGTTGTTCATCAAGCAGCAGCGGGTTCCCCCAGAGGCGCTCAACGGTGGCCACTGGGCCCAGCAGGCCGCCACTTAAGCTCCACCGGTCTGGAGTTGCACCTTTTTGTTTTTACATTGACGACCATGACATGTCTGCTAACCTGGAGTTGGGCCGCGCTGTCTTTGTTAGTATTCTGCTTTCTCCTTCTACCATTTCCACCAAAAAAAATTGGGCGAATTTGCGATGATATGACACAGAGCTGGGGCTTTGATTGAGCATTTAGCATGCGCTGTGAATTTTCTACTTGATGATCTTGCATACATGTATCTTCACCCAGCGTCAGCTGGTCATTGCATGTTTTTTTATTTTATTTACTCATTGCAATACATTCATCTGATCATGATTCCATAACGAGATTTGGGGCTGTAAATGATCCACTAGATACATTCCATTTTTGTCTGGACCTGGTGACTCGCATGTGCCTAGGGCCACAGAAGACCTGAGTAGTCCCTACGGCTCCGGGGTAGTCGTTCGTCGGGATGACCGTCTCTTGGTCATTATGATCCAAGCATGTAAATCGTACTGTCAAGTATGCATGCTGTGAAACATAGCCAATTGACATAGGTCGATCTTCGACCCACACGAAAGTGCAGTAAATAGCCCACAGATACCAGTGATCGAGAACCACTGACGCACTGGTGAGGATGCTTTTGAAGATTTGAGCGGTTCAAGCCAGCTCAAAGCTGGCGGTATGTAGATGACCCACCGAATTGGTCACAAATGGACCCCATCCCCATCCTCCCGGTCATTGGACTCTTGTCCTGCACCGTCCGCAGGTCCAGTCCCGGCCTCAGTCTCGTTTCCATTCGTCATCGGCACATCTGTCAAAGCGTCTTGTTCCTTGTCGATCTTAAGCTCATCAAGCTCAATCCAAGGTTGTCCACGATTCTCAACCTCGGTCTTCAGTAACGTGATCCGCTCATTCATGGAAACTGTCACTCCCTCGTTTTCGGCGACATACCCTTCCAGCTCCTTCTTTTCTTCTTCGGAGTCGTTGCTTTCTGTTAAGAATGCACGGAGCTCGGCATTCGAGCGGTGCAGGTGTGCGATGGAGTTTGTGAGCTCGGAGACTTTGCTGTAGAGGACTGCGATGGGGAGCTCTTTGATTGCCTCAGAAAAGGCCCCTGGAGTTATGGGGAGAGCTTCAGTTGACATTTCGATGATTATTTTGTGAGGGATGTAAGGTATTGGAATCGATGCGGGATGATCGCCAATGCTGTTTGGGTTGTTATCTTGTTATCATCACGTGGGGCTTATACATCAGCTCTGGAGGAGATGTTGATGGTTGGGGTTGAGTATTGTTGGATAAGGGATGTGTAGAATTTATGATATCATAGCCCAGGTTAATGATATATTTTGAAGAATAAAGCGTATTCAAACAATTCCTATGATTTCCCCATCTTCGTGGTGTATACCTGCAACCGCGGTCTCGGAACAACTCTGCAGCCGTGCGGTCAATTGATGCCGCCAAAAAGATCCCCGAACAATCAACCACCACCGTATATTTCGTGGTTCTCTCCAAGCCCTCGCTCTCCAGTCACAGGATATGAGCAATGCGGTCTGGGCCGTATGGCGGGCGCCATGCCCAGGGCTCCGCACATCCGTGCTGCCAGTAACATTCCGACCTGGCAGTCGCGATCTCCGCATTACCCCATGGCGCATGTATAGCACATCGCGCCAATCCACGTTGCCAATCCCGAAGCTTCTATCCCAGCTATTCCCCCGCCCGTCTCGACCAACTCCAACCCCGATATCTCCACAACGATTCAACCCGGTCTCTACCCCCCGCCGCTTCAAACGTACATCCGCCGCATCTCCAAAGCCAAAGCCTAAATCGGATCCCTTAGAGGTTCATCCTCGCCAAAAGCCCTTCTCCGATGCCGAGATCAAAGCTATCTTTGGGCCCGCCAAGTTTAACGCAAAGCTGGGAAACCGTATCCTGGCCGTCCTACACGGCCATCGTCTGACCGGCACGCTCGATGCAGACTTGCCAATTGACATTGCCCGCGCTATCACCAAGCAGCAGTTTGATATTGCTCTGGAATGGCTCCGAAATGAGTATCCCGTCGACGAGGACGCTGCTATCTTCGCCCGAATTGAGCGTGAGGATCGCGCTGCGGAAGAGAAGCTTGTGCGCCGCGCTGAGAAGCTAGGCCTGTACAAGCCGCAGAGCGGTTCTTATGACGCCGAGCTCGGCGAGGAGGGCTCTCCTTACGGCAAGAGTGTTTTGAAAGAGGCTCGTGAAAGGAATGAGAAGCGCTTGTTGGCTGAACAGGAACGGAAAAGGCAGGAGTGGCTCGATGGCGAGAAAGAAGAACAGGAAAGGTTGAAGCGCGAGTTTGGGAAGGACACTTCCCTGCAGCAGTACCAGGAGGCTGCGCTTACTGAGGGTATGTATACCAGGGTTTGAGATTGGGTGCTTGGTATTGGTGCTGACATTTTTAGCTCGTCCCCGTGCGGACCCTATCGAAAGGCCGTATCTCGCTTGGGTCCAGAAGCATCATATTGCCGCTACCAACGAGAGTCCCGAGTCGATGAATATCACCAATGTAAGGATGGCTCACGCTGTGGAATTGTTTGGCGGCTAACCATATTTGGACTGGCAGTCTCAGCGTCTTCTCGCTCCGCTTCTATTCTCGATTGTTGTTCTCGCCCTTTGCTATACCTTTGCTCAGAAATATGAATTCCCAGCACGGAAGGACCGCATCATGCCGGATGTGCCTCCTGCTGTGGCTACCGTGGGCGCCATCGTGGCAACTAACCTAGCAGTCACTTTGCTATGGAAATATGTACCTCCCGCGTGGAGACTGCTCAACCGTTACTTTGTGATTGTTCCCTTCTACCCCAGCTCACTGGGTATGATTGGAAGCACATTCAGTCATCAGGCATGGAGACATCTTGGAACTAATATGATAGTTTTGGGACTTATGGGAACCAGAGGTATGCATTGTGGCTAGTGGAAACACCAGAAAATATGGGTTCTAATTTCTTTTCCTACTCTACAGTACACGATGAAATCGGCCGCGGAAACTTTTTGGCTATCTACTTCGCTTCCGGTGTCATGGGATCTGTCTTCTCATTGACACGCAGTGTGATACTCGGCCGCCTGGGCATGACCTCCCTTGGAGCCAGTGCTGCAACCAGCGGTATCGTCGCCGCATGGTGCATGTCTCACTTCAAGTTTGTCTCCCACCATCTCTCCGGTCTTTGTTCTATGTGGTACCGATTCTGACCGTTTCTAGTGACCAAATCACCATGTGGATTCTTCCCCAGGGGCTCCAAGACCACATTTGGACCTACGGCTGGGTCTTCCTTACCTGCCTGGTCGGCACTGAGGTCTTCAGCTTGGTAGCTCCGGCGTTTTTATTCCGCGCCTGGCCCCTCTCCCGACTGACCAAGATGGACCATGCTGCCCATCTAGGTGGTTATGTTACTGGTGCTGGATGTGGATATACCCTCATGCAGAAAAAGAAAGAGCGTGAGAGAAAGGCGAGACAGTCAAGGTGGATTTAAAGTCTCATCAATAAAGACCTGGTAACCTATTTATGGGTTCCAATTGTATTATACTGGCGTTACCGAGGCAAATTCTAGCCTTTCATTCTACTCATTTACTCAGATTACCATGGTTTCTCACTGCGTTGTTCCATTTAAAATATCTGATATATCATTTCACCAAAATCATGTTAACCATGTTCACAAATCTCACCTCACTCCAATCCCACGGTCTACTGTAGCACGGTAACCATAGACCACGGATTCAAAACCGTGTACTCAGGCTTCCGCCAATGCAAAGGCACATCCAACAACCGATCCTCGGGATACACAGGCGGCTGGCGAGCCCGGAAAAGGAAGTGCTTGTCGATAGAAACAGTTCCCTCGTGAACGCGGTTCACCCACCACAGCGCAGCATAATCAACCTGAAACATCAACCTCTTCTTATCCTGCAGGGGTGTTTCCAGCTGGATTGGGAACGAGACACAATTCTTCCCCAGGCCGTGTTGAGCAGTATCACTCCAACCAACCAGCTTCTCTGCGATCGTGTCACAGATATGCACTATAATCTCCAAGTCACTGGTGTTCACGCCCATTGTGTCTGGGAGAGTCACGTTACCCCAGATCCAACCTTGCTGGCTGTTGTGGGGGTCTTTGAAATGGAATCGGTGGCCGTGCTCGATCTGGCTTGACTGGAATACACTTGGTTGGAAAAGGGGCATTGCGGTGGTTGGTGGTTGGTTGAATGGGTGTCTCTTGTTGTATTGATGTGGTCTGTGTTCTTGGGTGGACTGCTTTTTGGTTTCTGTTAGTGGGTGCTTTCCGGGATGATGGTGGTGAGGTAGAGTCGAGGCGAGGAGATGTCAAGGGTTTATATACTGAGGAAGAAGCCGTTTATTCTGATAATTGGGGGACAACAATGAAAGGTATTAGTCCTTTCATGGATATAATACCTTTCTCTGTTCTTTAAGAAAGTATAACTGTTTCTCTCTATACTCTTTGTTTGGCTTGATGGTCTTTATTAATCTTTTCTATGTTCAAATCTGCTCTTTGGTTTTATTTCTTCGTCAGGTCCTTAATTTCCTTCCATCAGAAGAGGCTTTTATCCTTTGTCATAAAATCGGCTTTGGTATAGAAGGATCCTGAGGAAGACTAGAGATAATCGCAGTTAATATTGCCGGACCATTGTGTATTAGTTACCTAGATAGGCCATTAGCCCTCTAATAACCATTAATATCAGTTCTTGGATACTAGTTTCGATTAATTCATCTATCTTGCATGTCAACTATACATATTGTTACTAGCAGTTATCGAGTTACATGAACTACTGTACAAATCCTACTCTTACAAAGACTCTTTTAATAGAATATTTTAACATGGGAGGAAAAAGTAGTACATTGCTCGCTCTAACGTCCAAATAAACCAGAAACATTCCAGCCCGAAGAGACTACGTATGTACTCCCTATATAAACAGACAAAGAATAAACTACAAAATATTCCAGGGATCCATCAGCACTTCCCCCACATCCAACATATCAGCTAGTCTCACCGTCTTACGACGAGTATCAACAAAAATCATCTGTTGATCCAGCGTAACCTTCTTAGCCATGATCTGATCATACCAATACTCTGCAAGACTTCTAGCAAGAAGAAGATCGGGATGCGTATGATCAGGCGTATACGACTTGGGAATAGTGGTACTCAGATCGCGCTGGATAGGGATCGAGATACACTTTCTCCCTAGACCATGCATTGCCTGATCTTCTATAGTGAAGTCGCCCTTTTCAATTCTAGTCTTTACCCACATCATGATCGTTGAATCGGAAATGCCGCGGTGATCGATGTTTTTGCGGAACCATACTGTCACCCAGTAGTAGTCGAATCGGTCAGCGGCGGGCTCGGCGAAATACTGTCCCGTTGTGCCCTTGTACACGCTTGGTTGAAACTTACTTGGTCTCTCGATGGCTACGGGGCGTGGAGAGGGTTTAGGCTTGCTTGGTCTCTTGGTGGTTTGTGGGCGTGAAGAGGGCCCGGGGGACCCGTCGTGTGGACGTGAAGAGGGCCCGGGGGACCCGTCGTGTGGACGAGAAGAAGGCCCGGGGGACCCATCGTGTGGGCGTGAAGAGGGCCTAGGGGGCCAATATTGTGGACGTGAAGAAGGTCCCGGGGAACCATCGTGTGGACGCGAAGAAGGCCCGGGGGACCCATCGTGTGGGCGTGAAGAGGGCCCAGGGGGCCAATATTGTGGACGTGAAGAAGGTCCCGGGGAACCATCGTGTGGACGCGAAGAAGGCCCGGGGGACCCATCGTTTGGGGTTGCGTTTCGGGAGTGCATAGTAGAAGGATGCTTTTTCTGGAAGATGCTGGTGATATAGAACTCGAGGCGAGGATACCGAGGGCTTATAAAATGATATTTGAGATGGAATATCTTCAGTATTGCATGGAAAATAACAAAGGCCTTTCATTGCTACAATGGCTTTCTTCATTGTTCCAATGGCTTTGGTCTTTGGTAGAGATAAAGTCTTTGTACTATGTATAGTTCTACCCAAAGTGCGGGTTTGAGCCCATTGGCAAATATCAATGGACTTGTCTATATTTGTGTTGACTATTAAACCAATCCGAGATATATAGAAAACATCTATCTGTATTATCAATGTACTAGGAAGGACACTAAGAAGAAGATAAATTTCATACCCGACTGAAGTGGTCAACTATCAATTGGAAGGGCAAGGACGATGTAGTAAGAGAGTTATCCACATCTGGGGATTCTTCTGGTGTATGAGACTCTAGACAAAATATAGACCGTCTTCCTACAGATCAACTTTGATCAAGATACTGTATTACCAAGTTACGGATTTACCCTCAGGGGGAGAGTATTTCGGCATTTCCATCAAAGTGAACTGTTCTTTTCCAAATCAGATTTTAGAGGTAAACCGATTGTACCTGTACCTACGAGGACAATATGATATTTAAGAAACATATGTTACTTACGATAAGTTGGCTGGTCAGATTCTATAACTACTACCTATGTAGGTATTTAACTTGACTTACATCTAATTTTATTGTCATAATATCTCTTAGAAAGACTATAAAACACAATATTCAATTTCTCATGCTATACCAAAAGTGTCCAGACTCCAAAACATAAGTCGAAAATAGATACTGCGATGCGTACATGATCCTCGGTAACCAATAGGCCATCGAAGGCTATGTATCCTATTTGTTTTTTTTTTTTTTCCTAACGTTCACGTCTATCCACTAGAATCTCAAAAATACGGCCCCTTCTAAGAGTAGCCGTGCGATTATACATTTCGTTTAGCCAGTATCTTGCGTCACACACAGCCTGGATCATGATTGTACGGGTCGCTTCCTCCAGGGAAACATTTCTCCCCTCAGGCGCATCCCGTACCGGGAATGAGATACAATAAAATCTTTCCCAATGCTGCGGAGATCGATAAATCTTAGCACGGCAGTTCTCGATCTCGCAAATCGCAAACTCTAAGAGCATTTCATCGTTATGGGTGTATTTCATGCTGGGGAGGAATTCGACGGTTACCCAAGAATAGTCATCACTGTAGGGCTCCTCTGCAACCTCACCTATACTGTTTAGGAAAAAGAGAGACCGGTCGGGGAGTGGCCTAGTATAGCCTCGTTTATCTTCACTATATACCATATTTTCAGTGATCTGAGTGAGCTTTGGAAAAGTTGTTTGTTGTGTATGGTTGAAAGAGGATATTGCTTATATCGAAGGACCTGTGAGACCACGCAGGCCTTTTTATACGGATGATACCGAGTTTTAAAATAAACGAGAATAAATTGACAAAGACTTTGATGGCTTCAATGCCCTTTGTGATCTATGGCTAAAGCCTTTAGCTGCCTTGAGTCTATTCCTCGCTAAAAATAACTATTAATAAAGAATTCATTATGAAAGCAGAAAGTCAAGGTTATTGAAAACGTATTCCAGTAATTACAGCCAGGAATTTCAAATGGACATGAACGAAAAAACAGGATAACCATGAGAGAAAAGAATCTTGAAGAAGTGCCTCGGCACGCTCTGACAATAGACATAGAAAGTTAGCCAGCTCTGTGGAAATACTCAATTAATGGCTTTAAGCCATTATAGAGGAGGACGTTCATCGAGCAGGCAGTCGAATGGAGCAATGGAAAGAATGAGGAAGGACACTCTGTATCCGCAAAGGTTAAGAGGCTTTTAGGGCCCATTGCGGACTGTGTGGTCCAGGACATGTTTCATGGCGTTAACAGTCTCCCGAAATAGAAACAATAGGAGTACTACGGGTAGGCAGATAGGACCAACCGAATATGAAGTTGTCTACTTAGGGTGTTGAAAGAAAGAGAGAAGGGATTTATACTATCGATATAACCTAAAAAAGAAGGAACATATGGGTACTTGGTACTTGGTACTGGTACTTGGGAATTGTGTATGATTTATATGGTTACTTAGGTATTAGTGACTTGGATGAACGACTTGAACGACTTGATAACTGGATATTGAGGTACTAACTTCTTTAATAAACAATCACTTCAACATCTTGGCTGAGAAAAAAGGACTTGATATTCTTCCCTTGACATAATTCTCAGATTCCATTGACTTGTATCGGGCAATATGGGCTAATCAGCCTTTTCTCTCCGTAGGGTAGGTACTACGACTAAAAAGTCCACAGGTTACTGACACCCGAAAATCACCTCCCTGTCAAGATTAGCCATCCCAACACGAATATACTCGAGCCACTTATTCCCATCGGTCTCGGCACGAATCAAGATTGTGGCCGTGTCAGCAGAACTCTTTGGAATAGGGATCGAGATACAAATCACTCCCATGTTATGCAGTGCCACTTCGCTCACGATGGCTCGTCTGGTTTGGATGTGGTGAAGGGCATACCTCACGATATCTTCGTCGCTATGGGTGAATTCCATTTCTTCGGGAAGAACCACGGTGACCCAGTCAGCCTCCTCGTTGTCTGGATCCTCCGACAACTGAGGGCCTATTTTGACCCAGGTTTCATCGTCAACCTCTTCCAGATAATCAGCGCATATGACGAATACACTGCTCTGTCCCATGTCTACTGAGACGGATTAGCGGATTGAGTGGGAGTTAGGGGGACTTAGCCTTTGTTTATTTGGAAGGTTGCCTTGCGTAGAAACTCAGGTTTTTCTCTATGAAGGGATAAAAGACCAAGTGATGGCCTGAGACACAAGACTGAAGGACAAGCCGCTCTTTATATTGTGAACATTCAGATACAATGAACGCACTTTGAGAGGAAACAAAGACTTATTATTGCCAGAATGGCCTTGTCCTGTCTTTCATCAAGTCTACACGACCCCGGACCAAGTCTATGTCTACATGAAACACTTGGTTTCTCGACAAATGAGCCAAAGCCATCCCATATCCTTTGTTCTAATACAATCAACTGATGAAATATCGATCCCGCCGATCTGGGAGGCTCTTTGTTACTCGATCTCTATTATACGATATTGAATCGAGTCTTTGTACACTCGATTCGTGTTTCATCAGTATAGAACCCCTGGGCTCCTTTATTTTTCTTTGATACTCGACCAAAAAGAACAATAGCATCATGGGTCGAATGTCGAATCCAATAACATAGAATCATTCTAACAAAAAGGACCCTTGAGACAACGGCTCTGTCGGCGAATGGCCTTTGTGCTCTTTGTATCTTTTGTTGTCAAGTCTCGAGGGAGATTTTCTTCGAGGACCCCAGACAAACATTTTTAGAATGTCTTTGTGTTATCAAATTCCTTCTTTCAAGAGGCCATAGTTGTCCAAGGCAATCTCATCTTATAAAAGGGAACCTCCGCTCCACGACTGGGGATATAATTCTATACAACCATCTCAACCAAGCACAAGCAACTCAATTGACTCATTAACTTGACAGATTCCTTCATCAACACATTCTACATAATCATCCTTCTACATTGTAAGCTGCCCCATCTATTGTGACCACTTCTTATGGCCCTTACTAACTTCTTCCAGGACCTTTCTACACACGTCGACTGGATATTATTCTTCTTCTGCTTTGGCTTTGTTCTGTGCTTTGGATCTATAACTTTCGTAATTGTTCATTGTATCGTGCAGGTGGTTCAGGCAGCCGTCGCTTTCTACATATTCGATATCATTTATTACTTCTTCTACGAGAAGGAAAGTATAAAGTTCTTCGCCGAGCTCATTTCTCATATCCTCTCCGCACGCCTTGAGCTGAAGAGTTTTATCTTACTACTGTGCCTACTATTTACCATTCATCATTCTATTAGGGAGATCGCCTTTGTCCTCTGCGAAAAAGTTCTCGCGCCAAACGCAACCATCATTCTAGATTGTTCCAAGCATCGTGAGTATCGCATCCAGTCCTTCGTCAACGCCTACGACCGAACAACAAACACTACTCTAACAACCAAAAACCCCTAAATCTTAACTTTCTAGCAGTCATGCAGAGCCCCATGCTCCCCCAGATCGACGAACAGATGGCCCGCATTAATCCCGTTAAGTGGAAGAAGCCTTCTACATCTACTAACTCTCACAAGGATTCCGACTCTGCACCTAAACTATCCTTCCCTTCTTCTTCAAACCATCATATGCGCCATCCCTGGGGCGTTATCGACTACCACATGTACCTCTCACACATCGAAAGCAAGCGCGACGGTATCTATCGCAAGAAAGAGTGCCACATCCTAGAGACCACCGGCTTCAGACAAGTCGCCCTACACGACGAGCCGGAGCTCGACAACATCCCAGCCAACACAAACCCCACCGCCGTCTTCCTGAGTCTCCCTGTCCCGGACATGCAGGAAGAATCCAGCAACGCCAGACTGCTACTCGGCTTCGATATGAAGTGCGATCGCTTGCAGGGTTATTTCTTTGAGTCCGAGATTCCGATTGAGAATTACGAGGACCTCTGGCAGGTCTGGAACCAGGGTGGAGGCGAGCTTGTTATTGATGTCCCCGTCGAGCGTTTCCTCTCTGTTATTCGCCATACTATGCAGCAGCAAATTGAGATCCTGGAGATCGGTATCCTGCACCACTACGGTCTTACTACGCGCGCGTTCCCAGCTGGCCTGGATATGATTATTGCTGTGCAGTTCTTGCAGTTCGTCGATGACTTCGCTGAGCTTCTCACCGAGGAGACTTATGAGTTTCGGGGCCTTTATTTGCCTTTCCAGGATGAACTACGCGGTTTACTTGAGAGTGGCTCCCGGGATGCTTGGTTTGCTGTTCGTGATGGACTTGATATCCAGCAGCATCGTCAGAAGCAGTTGAGGAAGGTTGTTGGTTCTGGGTTGTTCAATGGACAGAATATGGCTGTGCTGCGAGAGGGGCCTGAGCAGACTCCTCAGAAGGAGAAGACATCTCGTCCTGTGAAGATTATCCCACGTCACTCGTCTCCATGGTCGTGGTCGAAGATGCAGATGCAGGTCCTAGTGAGTGCTCTCTTTATTGTTTGCTTCTGTTCTGTCTTCCAGCGCGAGCGGGTTATGTGTGTGGGGATGTTCTGATCTAGCGCTTCATCAATATTATTTCAAATTTTCATAAAACAAGATGGTCTATAATTTTGGTAACTATGTAGTAAGTAAGTATGCTCGTTCATATTGCCTAGTAATTCAGATCCACTCTCACTTTCCAAAATTAATGTTGTAGTTAGTAACTGAAGCCTGGGCATAGGGACTTCTAAAGTAAACTGAAGCTAAACTGAAGCTGGACGGAATCTAAATTGTAGAGAGGGTAGTTGAAGAAGGAAGAATTCAAAATCAGTGAATCTTTATAGGGTAGACTGTTGTATACAAATTGAAATGTTTTAGATGTTTCAAAAAGGCGGTGATAAAAGGGCGGTGAGTTAGTAACCAATGACAGAGCTGGTAGCATACTTAGTCACCCCTCCTCAGGCATCAATATAGATGCCTGAATGATCAGTCAGCGAGCACTGATGCCTGCAGAACCGGCTACAGAGCCTACTTTACCTTCTATACCTTTGGTTCGGCGGCAGGTGATATGTTCTGGCTGTATGATAAAAGACATACTTATTCTAAATGCCCTACATGTATTTGATAGCTAAGTTTATGTTTTCTTAATGGTATTAATAGTTGCTTAAAATTGGAAGGGGTTTCAATAACCGGGTTTCACGTTGTTTAGAGAGGCTTACTAATCTCCCGGGCGCGGGCGTAGGTCCTTTTTCTGCCAATACTAAGACTATCCGACCGCCTTGTGGACTACTGCACAACTAGGGTGGACAATCTAGTATCTTCAGGGTATTGGATTCTATATATATTCTCTAGGACCTTATACTATTCGACAATTTGTGACCTTCCTACCCTCACTTTTCTAACCTCGTCTAGTAGGCACGGGCACTAACCATCTATCTTGGCAGCACCTTTAACCAAGTCCTCGATCTTCCCACTCTTGCTCAAAAGTTGCAGCATTGAAACCTCAAAGCCAAAAGTCTTGATCAGCCAGTTCCGCAACTCTCCTGCCACCAAGCTATCCACACCATATCGTGAGACCGGCATATTAGAGTCAATATCATTAGCTGCTACGCCGAGGAGGTCTGCGAGACGTGTAGTGATGGCCGTACGAGAGATCTCCAGCTTCTCAGCAGGTGTCGACGCATTTTGTAACTGTGTAGCGATCGAAGAGGTGCCTCCTGACGAGTTGCTTCCAGCAGAGGCAAGTGACTGAGCCCGATCGGAAATCGCCTGCCGAACTCCCTGGAATCGGGCATTGTTATACCATACAAGATCGTTCACACGATCATTCTCCAGGTAGGACAGGAAACGGGCCGGCTCAAGCCCAGTCACCACTTGCGCGGGGTAACTGCCGTCACGTGGGGAGGATGAGGGATGCGGCTTGCAAAGTGCACCTTCCAGGAGCTGTAAAAACTCGGTTTCTGACACGCCGTAGGTGGCATTGCGCTGAAGCATCTGCTGGAACGCGGTAGAAGAACTGACAGAGCCGACTTCAAGAATTAACCCGAGGCCAAGAGTCGTGGCAGGTAGCGCCTGCGAATGACGGAACCTGGAGAACGAGTCCTGGAATGCATTCGCAGCTGTGTATGCTCCTTGGCTGGGTGTACCCACGGTTCCCACAATGGAGGAAGTCATCAAGAAAAAGTCAAGTGGGAGATTCTTTGTGGCATGATGAAGGTTGATGGTGCCCATGACCTTGGGCTCAAGGACCTTCTGTACTTGGGACCAAGCGGCATTTTCGAAGAGCGCATCCTGGATCTTGTAAGCACTGCACTTCTTTTATTCGTGACACGTTGGAAACTTACTCCTTCCACCATTGCAGCATGAATAACTCCTTTCACTTGCCGCGTCGCAGACAGCTTCTCTACGGCGGAAGTGAGGGCATTCTGATCAGTCACGTTGCACTGGATGACTTCTGGCTGAGCGCCCGCTGCGGTTAGCTCTTCCACAATCGAGACAGCTTCAGACTTGTTGATCCCAGACCGGGAGAGGAACGCCAGATGCCGAGCTCCTTTCTCGACCATCCAGGCGGATAAACTCCGACCAAGACCGCCGAGGCAGCCAACAAGAAGATATGTGGCATTTGGATCAAATGCGGCTCGAGTTACTGGCCGCGCGATCTTTAAAAGGTCAGCTTCAATGTCCAATATCCCGTTCGACACCAAATTGATGCTTTTAACAACTCACCTTCAGTGTGGCAGTCGGATCGCGGAAAGTTATGACAAACTTTCCGGTGTGCAATCCCTTGGAAAACGAAGTCATAGCGGTTTCCAGGCGAGAGATACAGAAAGGAGTCAGGTGCCGAATGGGACCAATGACGCCTTCGTTTATCAGCCCCGTCATCTCCGTCATCAATCTATGATCTGTCAGTTCAAACCATATCCTGGTCATCGACGGGGGAAAAGAAGGGGCACGTACCTGGATATAAGGTCTGGCTTTTGTCGATAGATCTTGCCCATATCAAACGATGAAAAAGTGGCATTCTTGTTGAATACTTCAAGCCCAAGCTTACCACCTCCGAGAACATCTGTTCTACCGACATCAATGAAACGACCCAACGGTGCGATGCATCTCCACATTTCATGCATCAAATCACCACCGGAGCTGCTGAGAATCAAATCGAGACCATTCTGTTTGGTGGCCTTCAGAATGTCTTCAACCGCACTCAGCTTTCGAGAATTGAAGATGTGAGAGGCTGGAATGCCAAATTCATCGACAAGTATCTTGGCTTTCTCATCCGTACCCACGGTTGCATAAACCTCTGCGCCTAGAGACTGAGCTATCTGAATAGCTGCCATTCCAAGACCACCGGTTGCGGATTGGATCAGGACGGATTCACCCTTGGCCAACCTTCCCAGATGCTTAAAAGCATAGATAGCGGTGAGATAGACCACTGGCATGGATGCGGCACCGTCTGTTGACAGTTGATCGGGGATCTTTGAGACCACAGAAGCTGGAGATCTAAGGTAATTACCCATGTTTCCGGGAATAATGCCGAAGACTCGGTCGCCTAGCTTGAAGGACGTCACAGCAGAGCCTAGCCTGGTCACCACACCGGCTCCTTCGGTGCTCAGATTGTTAAGATCAAACCGTGCTGTGGCTACAGCAATATCCTGGAATTTGAAAAGTCAGGGTTAGCATAAATAAAAGACTTGAAGTGAACGAACGGCTTACCTTCATGTTGAGTCCAATGGCTTCAGTTTTGATTTCAATCCAGTCGTCCTCTAGCGGCTTGCTAAAGTCTGGGTCGCTCGTGAAGTGCAGTGATGAGAGCATGCCAGGTTGTCCGTAACGCGCCTTTATGGGTAGTTCAGTACCCACAGCGCGTTCCTCGATGTCGTTTTCGAACCCATTGCGCAGGTAGAATTGGCTGTTGAGGGTCTCTTCTGGCAGTAAACGCTCCACATGGAAAGCACCTCCTCGAAGCACACACTCGAGATCAACAATCTCAGAAGGCTCAGGCACCTGTAACTCATTCAGTTTACCAACGATTAGTTCGGCAGTCCTCGCGTCCGATGTGTAATCGCCGAAATCCAACTCGATGAAAGCGTATTTTGATGATACGTTTTCAGTGGCGATGGATCTCAGCATGCCCTTCATGATCGATGATTCTCCAGGGATGATCAGATCAGCTGCGACCCACACCATTGCCGACACATTCGACACAATCGTCTGCAGCGCTTTGAAGTACGACTCATCACGACAGGTGAGGATGGAGCCGTTGACATCAACGAAACTGATGACCATAGAGTTCCGTGGGATTTCATGCCCGGAGAACAGTTCAATCGGGATGACATTGAAGCCTTGATTCGCCAAGACCTTCGCCGCCACATCAGCCAGCAAAGGGAGTAATTCTCGATAAAGTAGGAAGATGTTTGCGTCTTGCTTCAAAGGAGCATCTGATTTGACCCCAGGGGCTTTCGAGAGCATGACAGTCGTCATTTGTTGGTCTCCTGTATACTGCTCAGTTGTTAGTAATCTCCGACACAGGCAACGATATCTAGCATGCTTGCTTACATCTTCAAGAGAAAGATCGACCCCTGAGAACTCGCATTCTTTCAGCATGTTGTTCCACTCAGCCTTCCCACGGTTAATTTGCTCGTGTTCCCATTTACCCGTCAATGTGCGGGAAAGAACCTCGGAAGCTGTCGTTGCGCGCGTAGTCTCCAGCAGCACAAGTGATCCCGACGGTTTCAACAAAGGTTGGATTTGCTTCAATGCTGCGTCGGGAGAGTCAATCTCGCCGAGGCAACCGGCGGCTATTATCAGATCAAACGAATGAGCTTCAAACCCTTGGGGAAGAGGGTCCTGTAAGACATCAAGCATCTGGAACAGTAATCCATCATGACCGTCGAATCGTGACTTTGCTTCCGTAACACGCCACTGTGCGGCATCAGTGAACACATACTCTTCGAATCTCTTCGACGTGGAATTCGACGCCAACATTTCGAGGACAGCCGAGGTTGCTCCAGCTGAGCCTCCGCCGACTTCCAAGATCCGCATTCGTGGATTTCTGTGAGCTAGCAGGTCTACGACTTGCCGCAGTTGGGAGTATGCCCCGCTAACAGAGATTCCTGATGCAAATAAGTCTGTGAGGAGGTTGTTCTCCAAAAGCACCTTGACACTGTTGGTTGTTCCTCCAAGAACGTCGTTCAGGCTATCGCGCAGCGCCTTGAGGCATCTGGCTTCTGGAACATCGTGCAAGTTGTCCGTAGCCAGCTTTTCAATGATGGCTAGTCTCTCTGCTCTGGTGGTTTTCAGGAGATCTTGCCGCTCGGGAGAGCTTACCCACGACTTTACCCATTTCGCGAAGCTGTCATGGTTCTGAGTCTTGTCGTGGATCGAATCGCGACTGAGCTCTTCGTCGATACTTGCAAGGATATGAGCGGATAGAGTCTCCAATTCAGTAACAGTTGATGACGCGATTTCCTTTGGCGGGAACATGGCCTCCGCAATGGCGGGAGTCAAAGTCTCGATGTCGACCTTCTCCACCGGTTGCCAGTACGGTTCACGCACCATGTTCGAAGTGGAAGCATCCAAGGCTCCATCATAGGCCACGCACTTCAGCTCCTCAATGTCTAGGAGTGGAGCACCAGACAAACTGTAAAGCTGAGCCCGCGCGTAAACACTTCGGAGACCAAGGATCGTTCCCTTGGCCACTCCCAAAGCCTGCTGCTCGTGGGGAGATTCGGGAACCCAAACCGTCATATTGTCGGCGAAAATAGGGACGAATGGTTTCTCAAAGTTCTCAACCTGACCCGCGTGGCACGATATCAAGGCCAGCTGAATACAGGTGTCCAGAGTTGCCGGGTGAATGGTGTATTCGGATTCATTGTCAAAGTCGGCTGTGGGCTGCAGGGAGACACTGGACGTTGTAACGTTAGAGCCACGGTATGCCTTCAGATCAGACAGACCCTGGAAGGCCGGGCCATAGCCCAGACCCGCCGCTTCAAAGCTCCGGTACCAACGCGTGACGTCAAGTGATCTCGAACGGGGGTCAGCTTTGAGCTTTTGGCTTTCGTCAATTGAGGGCTTCACGGCGGCCACGGAGACTGTTCCAGTGCAATGCTGGGTCCACTCATCGCTGTTTGGTAAAATTGAACCAATACTGAACTTGTACCACTGCGACATGACGGCTGCATTCGTCAAAGGCAATCTTTCCATATTGAGCACTGTTTCAACACCTAGCTCAGTGTCTTCCACACGGAGCGCCGAATTGATTGCTACCTGACGAAGCTGGAAGGACTTGATCGGAGAGGCATCCTCCGCCTCGTAGTGCAACTGACTGACCGCTTCGATAGCCATTGCCATGTACGCCGCGCCTGGAAGAACGGCATGTGGAAGAAGCTTGTGGTCTTCAAGCCAAGGAAGGTCTTTCAAGCGCAGAACGTTTCTCCATTGCGGGTGTGTCTTTGAGCCTCCCGGTACTCGGGCGCCGAGAATGTCATGACGCAGGTGCTTTCTGGTACGGTACTCCTTGTTGAACCGATTCTCGTAGTGAACTGGTGTTTCCGGGTACGAGTACTTGTTCTGGGGCATATCGATGCAAGGGAAGCCATGAGAGAGATGAATCACATCTTCCGATTTCTCGGTTGCATTGACAGCCACCAAGTCAATTGGTGCATTGCTGATGAAAAGATTGCCAGCAAGGGTCAACATGCTGGTTACGTCATGTTCGCCGCGACGGAGGGATCCCAGACAAGGCGGGAGGGCTGAACCGGTCTTCTCTAGACTGGAGCGGATCTGCTTCAACGGGCCGCTCAAGGCTGGATGGGGCCCAACTTCAATTAGAAGGTCGAGAGATCCATCTTCAGCGAGCCTCTCGACTGCGGACGAGAAGAGAACGGGGGCCTCGAGGTTGCGTCGCCAGTAAGCAGGAGAAGGCTGTTCTCTTACTTCTTTCATTGTCACCGATGAGACCCACTTCGCGATCGGGTTTGATGGCTCATTCTCCACGATTGACTTGACTTGGCCAAGGCCTTCGGTGGCTAGCTCTTCATATGCTGACCCAAGGGCTCGCATATGGTGGGAGTGATATGCGTTGCCGCCAGTCTTCAGTACACGAGCAAAAATACCTTCGTCACTCATGGTTTTGCTCAGTTTCTCAATTGCCTCCGGCTCGCCAGAGAGTGTGACGCTAGATGGCGAGTTGATGGCTGCAATTTTGACATCACCCTCAATGCCCTCCAAGTAGGGAACAACTTGAGCTGGCTGCAGACCAACGGCCATCATGAGACCCTTTCGTTGGTTGGTTACCACCACTTGACCGCGGAAGTACGCAAGAACAATGGCCTCGCTTGCCTTCAGGTACCCTGCAGCATAGGCAGCAGCGATTTCACCTGCATGATAGTTAGACGACGGCCTCATAATAATACTCCCCCTCCCTCCCAAAACAGACAAGGAATCTTACCAGAAGAATGCCCAACAGTAGCCTTCGGGTGAATTCCCCATTGTTTGAGCAGAGCCACCAAAGCGATCTGCAGAGCAGTACATAGAGTCTGTGAGAAGGCCGGATCATGGATCTCACTTGTGGCTGCCGGCTCCAGAAGTGCACCCTCAATCGTCCAGCTGGGCTTCTTCTCCAGCTTGCTGAGCGTGGCGTCCAGGTACTGGATTGTGCGTTTGAAGACTCCAAATTCATTCAACAACTGTGCACCCACTATTACGATACGCGTTAGTAGTGAAATTTTATTAACGTAGCATCATCATCAAGATGGGCCTCTCGATACCGGCCATCCAGACAAGCAAATGATTCGGAAGAGGAACTTACTTTGTGGCCACTGAGCTCCCTGTCCCGTAAAGACGAAGCCAATTCGTCGTACCGGGGAACTCGGTGCTTTTCCAGAGATCATCGAGTCAGAGTTAAGTCCATCGATTGGTGCTTCGGAATCGACAATGGCAAAGGCACGGCGAGGGAATGTCGATTTCCGGCATCCCAAGGTATAAAGTAGATCAGCGAGATCGTAACTTTCCAGTGACCTGGCAAGTCCCGAGAAGTGGGCCTTTAACGCACGCTCATCGTGGCCAGAGACTGGCAGCAAGATTAACGGACGGGTCCCCGCTCCATCAATCTGATGGAGTTTCGCCGGTTGGCACCAACTGAGCGACGGTAGACTCTCAGCAGAGCTATGATGGTCCTTAGTGCCATTCAGGTCACCGTTACCATTCAGGTGGCCGTTGCCATTCAAGTCACCGTTGCCATTCAGGTCACCGTTACCATTCAGGTGGCCGTTGCCATTCAAGTCACCGTTGCCATTCAGGTCACCGTTACCATTCAGGTCACCGTTGCCATTCAGGTCACCGTTGCCATTCAGGTCACCGTTGCCATTCAGGTCACCGTTGCCATTCAGGTCACCGTTACCATTCAGGTGGCCGTTGCCATTGAGGTGGCCGTTACCATTCAGGTGGCCGTTACCATTCAGGTGGCCATTACCGTTTAGGTTACCGTTGCCATTTGCCTTTGGTAGTCCGTTTGGAGCCTCCTTTCTGGCCTTGGGAAGTCCTCGCAGTCGATAGCCGGGGAGGACTGTGCTTGGGTGGTCTAGAACGCAATGAGCATTGGCTCCACCGTACCCGAAACTGCGCGAATAAGATTGTTAGTGTCAGCGTCAAGCATTTTCTTTTTTGAGGGGGAAGTGTCACCTATTGACGCTAACTCGTCGAAGCAGGTGGGCAGGCCATGGGGTCATTTCCGTCACAACCTTGGCTCTTGCTCCCTCAAAGTCAATTGAAGGGTTGAAATTTTCAATTCCAATAGTGGCTGGGATTTCTCCGTGCTCCATTGATAAGACTGCTTTCATGATCTGTGACATGGCGCTGGCCGCTTCGCTATGCCCAAGATTTGGTTTGATCTAGACAGACAGCGAGTCAGCATCGGGGTTTCAATCGACTGCCGGCAATAGCTCGTTGTACGAGCAATTTGGACAACACCACGCAACATACCGATCCGATTAACAAGGGTTCATCTTTCCGCCCTGCGGAGAAGACTCTTCCGACAGCGGAAACTTCGATTGGATCACCCACTGGCGTCCCCGTTCCATGGCACTCGACGTATCCCGTTAAATCTGGATTCAGGCCACCAGAGGCCTTGTAAGCCTGTCTAATGACAGCCTCCTGGCCATCAGGGCTTGGGTGCGAAATACCACCCGTTTTGCCGTTGGCGTTGAACGAGGTGCCACGCACAACCGCGCGGATTGGATCGCCTTGGGAAACAGCGTCGGAGAGCTTTTTTTAGGTAGATGGCACCAAATCCTTCGGCCCGAGAATATCCGTCGGCTGATATATCAAAGGTATGGCAGCGAGACGTGGGCGAGACGGCTCCGAGCTTGGTGGTGAAGATTTGATTGTCCGGTCCAAGGATGACGTTGGCCCCGGCAACGATAGCCGCCTCGCAGTCCCCGCTGCGAATGGCCAGCACGGCCAAATGTAAAGCGTACATGGAGGCGGAGCACGCCGTATCAACCATCAAACTATATAAATAAAGCGTCGGTCAGTATAATCTCTCTCTTGGAACAGACATTCAAGTCTTCTCAATGGAAACGAACCTAGGTCCTTGAAGGTTGAAAACATAGTTGATACGATTACTCAAAATCGTAGGACCGCCTCCTGTCACGACGTATGGTAGTGTGTGATCTGGGTCTCGATACTGCATGATTTGGTGCTCATTGTTGAAATTTCCCACAAACACACCAGTCTTGGAGCCGGAGAACTTCTCGAGTGATTCTCCGGCATTCTCAACTGCTTCATAAGTAACTTCCAGCAGTTTGCGCTGGCTGGGGTCCAATGCCATTGCTTCTTTGGCCGAGATACCGAAGAAGCTGTGATCAAAGTCGCGGGTGTCTCCGTGGAGCAAGTGGCCACCCCTGGTGTACATGGTTCCCGGTCGTTGCCCATTGGGGTGGTAGAATCCGTCGAGGTTGATACGGTCTTTCGAAAACTCAGACCAACCATCTTGTTTCGCTTTCAATAATTCCCACAGATCTGAGGTATTTTCAACACCGCCTGGCCACCGACAGCCTGCAAAATTCACGATCAACGGTGTGTTGGAGAGAGAGAGAGAGAGAATATGTGTCAAGAATCCTTACCCATCCCTACAATGGCAATTGGCTCTGGGCACTCAGAAAGAGGAGGGTCAGACGCTAGCCGTGTTCCAATTCCAGCCATTGTGTCAAAAGAAGAAAAAAAGGTGTTTTGATAGATCCAAAGTATAAAATATAAAAAAGGAGGGAGGGGATTGTTCTATAGTTGGAATCAGAAATTTGAAGCCAAGTCACAACCTTGGAACTTTCTCATCCACGTAAACTTCAGTAAGATTAGAGAGCTATTTATATCATATATCATCGGCAAAGAGCTACGTAGAGCGGCTGGTCAACTATCACCACAGCCTCTTGATCCACTGCCCAATCCTTTAGGGACAACTACGAAGGTGGGCACAAGAAGGGCCTATAGCGTATATTCGCGAGCTACTACCTCGTATCTCGTGCTTAGGTACATTCCAATGGTAATTTACAAAGACGGTTCCTTAGTATTACCAATTGATTTGTCAATTCGACAATCTTGCATCTTGTTACCTACCTAGGTAGGTACCATATAGTGGGTCTAACGTGCAATTCTCACCTGCATGAAGGATTATGCATAGGTCTAGCTGAAAAGGTAAAATGGTCTTACTGCATGGCGGGTCTTGCTGCATGGCGGGTCGTACTGCATGACGAATCTTACTGTATAATGAATCTTACTGTATGACGAATCTTACTGCATGACGAGTCTTACTGCATGGCGATGAAGAAGATCCATCTTCATGCAGTGAGGTAATTTTCATTTCCACTTTCATTTTGTATTTTTTTATTTTTACAAATTTTATTTTCTGTATTTCCTGTATTTTTTCAATTTCAATTTCAATTGCAATTTCCAAAAGGACATTTATTTATTTTTTAACTTTTTATGTTATTGACGAGGCTTACCGTGACACTCTCTATCGGTAATTTTAATAAGTAAGATACGCCAGATCCGAAGCGCCTGGAGACTATAAGTTGGGCCCTGAACTGGACTTTCTACCTTGTATGTTGTACCCCTACCAGCCATACAATTGTGCAGTTTAACTATTGCCAAAAAGAGACTGGTCACAAAAATTCATAAAAATCATGTCCGTCCTCTACACGGAGGTGCTGAGTTCCAAGCTGGAGCATAGCCAACCTTTGTTGGCGGGCTTAGTAGCCGTCTTGACACTTGTTGTTCTCTACGCCTGGCTGAGCGACCCGAAGGCCCAAAGCCATTACCCCCTCGTGGGCGCTGAGTCTACCTTTTTTTTAAAGGGAATACGCCAGCGACGGCACTGGTTCCAGCAGGGCCCTGAACTCATTCACAACGCCTTCAAACAGTTTCCCAACGTTATTTTCACTCTCCCATCCCTCGATCGCACCTCGATAGTCCTTCCCCCGCGCTTCCTGCAGGAAATCAGAGACCTTCCGGCGTCCATCGCCAGCAATTCTCGTGCCACTTCGGATGTAAGTATATACCTCGACAAACATGCACATTTCTTCCCCCCTCCCAGACCAAGCTACGTGCACCAGTGTTTTTGACATAGAAACAGTTCTTTATTGGCAATTGGACAACTTTGGATTATGATATCTTTGGTCATGCTACCATTGATTCCATCAAAACCCAGTATATTGCCAAAATTGGGCAACAGATAGGACGCGCTTCAAATGAGGCGATTTACGCTTTCAACCAACATTTTGCTAGATACCAAGGTATGTACATCATTATTTACTGATACTTTTGGTTGTCTCTGTCTCTTTCTTCTCCCACCCCAAATTTGGTGGAGTGCTTCGACTAACGCGTACACTCCCAAGAATGGACTCCCGTCACAGCCCAACCAAAGATTTTGGAACTCGTGGCGCAGATGGTGGGTAGCACGATTGTTGGTCCCGATATTTGTCGCGATCCTGATTGGGTTCCATCGGTGATTGGCTACGCACAAAACGTTTTCATGCTGGCCGTTACCTTCAAGCTCGCGCCGGACATTGCACGGCCGCTGGTATCGCTCTTTACACCCTACATTTACCGCATTCATAGCAGTCGCCGCGCCATCAGGAGACTCGTCAGACCAACGGTCGATCAGAAGAATGCTTGGGCCCGCGAGCAGCCCCAGGACTGGAAGTCGCACGTCAAGCATGACAATGAAATTACGACTCTGGAGTGGTTGGTAGAGACATCCAAGCCGGAAGAGGCGACGGTGCCCATGATAGCGCACCGTATCACCGGTGTAGCCTTTGGAGCAACTCATACGACTTCCAACACCATCACCAACGCCATCCTGGACCTAGCCAACGATTTTGACCGCTGGGCTCCTCCCTTGCGAGCAGAAATCGAGGAAGTTTTGGGCGACATCCAATTAACCGAGATCACCAATTCTCATCTTTCGAAGATGTGGAAACTCGACAGTTTCTTGAAAGAGTCCCAGAGATTCCATCCGCCCTCGAAGTGTACGTGGAATTCCCCCTCCCAGGCGTCCAAATGCAATCTGACCAATACACATAGTGTCCGTGAACCGAAAGATGATGCAATCCCATGAGCTTTCCTCGGGCGATGTTCTTCCTAAAAACGCGCACGTTTCCTTTGCCGGCGTGCCCATGTCTATGTCCGACGAATTCATTAGCGAGCCAGACGAATTTGACGGCTTCCGCTTCGAGCGCCTTCGCCGCAACGCCGAGACAGACCACAACGGCTTACAATTCACCTCCTCGTATGCAGGTAGCCTGCATTTTGGACATGGAAAACATATGTGCCCCGGTCGATTCATGGGCAGCTTGATTAGCAAGCTCCTTCTGATTGAGCTTCTCAACCGCTACGACATGAAATTACAGGATGGGGGTCGACCGAAGAATATCATGTTTTTCGACATGGACATCCCAGACCCGAAGTATGAGGTTTTATTCCGGGACCGACAAACTTAGGCATCTTGGGCATATTGCAATAGATTGTAACGTCCAATGCGGTTGGGGGCTACTGTTGGGATCAATAATGTTTGGTCCAGTAATCAGGCAAATCATTCAAGTTTCAAGCTACAATAGTAACATACTTGGTTTATTCCATTGGCAATAATCACCTCTCCCTGTCGTAAATGAAGTGTTATTACATCTCATGACACCGATATCACGCTGTCTAATCGAGCTGAAAGCATGAATACTACGAATTTACAGTACCCCCGATGGAGTAAGGCATTTGTATAATTAAACCAGTGTGCATTTAGCCTTGCGCGTACATAAAATCACCTGGTAAAGGGTTCGGGGATGACGCACGGCCCCTGAGATAATTGTACTAGTACTACACGTATTCGACCTCATAGCCCACCCCCAACCCAGCCCCCAAATGGGCTGCGTTTTGGGCCCTACGTTCGGGCCCATTGGTGGGTCATGGGCCCGGAATGAAAGCCCGCTGCAATAATGGGGGCCCATAATGGGGGCCAATTACAAACCAAACAATACCAATATGTCAGTTTATAGTAGCCTCATAATTGATGTATTTTTCTCTGGTTTTTTTGGGTTTTCAAATTACCGGAATTCTTACCAATTTCAGCCTCAATTTCAACCCTAAACCTACCCTTTAAAAATATAAACCCCTCTCACGATCAATAAGTAAGCAATTGAGTACTCAACACAACTAAAATTATATCAATTGACCTTGTATTAGTAGGGAAATCCCGGGTTGAAAATTCCGGGTTTTGCGCAATTCTCGTGTTTAAGAATTTAGTATATATATATATATATATCTCCCTTTGTATGGATATTTGGTAATCGTCCTCGGTACGAATTTGTATTGCGCGGGTGAAATCGGGTCTTTTTAGTGTAATATTATATGAAATCTAGTATCATGAAGCTAAAACCAGTACAATATTTACTTAATTCCTACTTCTTACCATAATAATATAATAATACTGGATATATGGGTTAGTACATGCGAAAAATACAGCCATCAATTGGCTACTATATACGTGGAAAGACTATATTTATGCATATAAATGAGCTTGGGGGCCATAAAACCCACATCAAGCTAAGGGTTGGGTCGGGCTTCAAAGGCCCAGCCCATACCCCCACTGCGGGTTGGCGGCTCGTATTCCCTGTTCGGCAAATGGAGTAAGCTGCCTATCTCTACTGTGCTTTTAAGCGATCTGGCCTAATTACGGAGTATCCTAAGCCTCGAGCCTAGACTTCCAACGACAAAGGTACGTCTATGTAGGCCTCGGTCTCTGGTGCATGCACTAGTTAAGCCTCAAACCTGGACTTCCAATGACAAAGGTACCTAGGTACGTCTAGCTAGACCTCGGTATCTCGTGCATGCACTAAGCACCGAATCCAGTCATGATTGACGCATACGAGTTGACTGCTATCTCGTCGGGGTTTCGGCTTCATTCTCTGTACGATATCATCAGGCGTGTGTCGGTACCAATTCCTTAGCGAATTTCGGAACTCTAGGCCCCCGACGAAGAAACGTTGGATTGGGATGTGACTCGTCACCATGTGCATCGTCTTAAATTACCTAATGCGTCTGAGGAGGCTTTTTGGGGGCCAAGCCGTGGGTCGGGCCGGGGGCCGTGGGCCGGGGGAAGGGGGAAGAAGTTCCACCTTCCTTCATAGTACCGACCCAGAGTCCACGGGTACAAAGTCAGAATTCCGTCAATGTGGAACTGCCAAGCCCACTCTAAATTTTTGGTGTATTGCATATACCATATATGTAATATAATTTCCAACAATCTGTCAGCAGTTGTGATATATCAATTTGATCTCATACCTACAAGATCAGACCAATTATCATTAATATTAGAGTTTACTATTTAGGACTATCCCGTTGATCTCATTGATCTAAAATAAATATAAATTTAGCAGAAATCATAGGGTATTTTATTAAGCAATTGACTAGGTATACCTTACTTCCTTACCATCGTCATCTATTCGGTTTTGCATTGTTTACATGTGAAAGAATACAGTATTTGAATGAAACAAACCGCCAAGTCTACTAGTGTAAATGTACATGCAGGATCCACATTGACAAATTCTGACTAGGGAGGCAACAACGATCCGCATTGCCTCGTAACTTTGTCGAACACGATATCGGATCCGACTCTTTGGTAGGAACTAAAGGATTCGTCATAGATAAGCCGTGAGCTCGAGCGCAGTTAATTATGCATGTTCATGCAGTCAGATTGGACGGTCTGCGGAGTTGAATAGGCATTGTCAGGGGTTTCCGGTGGTTAGACCGGGTAAAGTGCCGCGGAATGTGCTGATCATTCCGTAGTCTTGAGTATTTAGAGAGTGTAATCGACAAGATCAGCCGAGCCGAGCACAAATTGAGCGGGGATCTCACGTAATTTTCGATTCTCGATCGTACTTTACCAAAGCGTCTCAGACCAAAGTGGACCCGATCCACTTTTCACGGGGACGTTTGCAATTGTTCATGATCTTTAAACGGGAAGAAACAAACGATAGGTTCGCCCCCGGGTCGCTTGCAGGGAATGTGACCAGATCCATGCACGTTTGTGAACATGTGGGTGAGTACACACAATCCGAGTCATGTCAGAATACTCGGAAATAACCAAAAAAAATACAAAATACGCAATAACAAAAAACGAAAAACGAAAAACGAAAAAAAAATAACCTTTGCAGCATCTAGTAATAAAAGTTTATAATTTCTTACACTATCTTTCAGAAAACACCTCGGGAGGGCCTGGGAATCATTTCGGGGCTGTGGCTCCTCCAACCTCGGTATTGTATATGCAAGCCAGGTAGAGTATCAAGTTCCTTCTTTGAGTGGGTCAAGTTGGGATCAGAAAGCGATTGGCGTATACGGAGTACACATGTGATAATTGATAAACAGAGGATGGGTGGAATGATGTATGTGCGTGCATAGCCTGTTTCGCTGTTGACTATACCTCGTATTGCTCCACACTTATCATTATACCTTCCTTGTTAGGTGCAGGATAGACGCTCTGAAAACAGGTATGCAAGAGGCTCTTCGTAATCGCCTCATTGGCAATCTGACATGGGTGGGAAAAGAACATGCACGCCGACGCATAGGCTAGAACACTTGGCCAAGCAGGAAGCAACTCGCTAATCTTTCGGGCCACGTTATTTACACAATGCATCATAGTTCTTCGTGATTCTGGGATGTTCTGATCTACACACTTGCAACTCATTGCTCATTGCACTCTCTCAATCCCTATTACTAAGACACTTTCTATTGTCAAGATGGCTACCACCAAAGCTATCGTTGTGGTGCAGCTGAAGGTTGCCGCGGTTCGCGATGTGCTCATGCCCATGATTCATGATGACTGGGTCCTCGTCAAAGTCAAAGCCGTTGGAATCAATCCCACCGACTGGAAGCACGTCAGTTACGGAGCTGCAGATATCGGGTGCAGAGTAGGATGCGATTACGCCGGCATTGTGGAGGAGGTTGGGAGTAAAGTCTCCAACTTTGTAAAGGGTGATCGTATCACGGGTTGGATTCATGGCTCGTAAGTATATCCGTACAGTCAATCAATTATTTGCCAAGTTGGACGACCTGAATCCTAATCCCTTGGGCAGAAATCGAGCGAACCATGAATCGGGAGCATTTGCCGAGTATGCCATTGCAAAGGCATCCGTCCAGAGGAAAATCCCCGACAATTTGAGCTTTGAAGAAGCGGCAACCTTGGGGGTTGCCATCATGACCGTTGTAAGACAGAGCCAATCCACATGTCGAACCAACTTAATTTCAGATATGCTAACATCTGAACCAGGGACAAGGCATGTATAAGAACCTCCAACTGCCATTGCCTACAGCGCCATGCAGAGAACCCTTCCCCCTTCTTATCTACGGCGGGAGCACTGCGACAGGCATGGCCGGCATCCAGTTTGCCAAGCTCTCCGGCCTGACCGTCATTACGACCTGCTCCCCTCGCAACTTTGACTTGGTGAAAGGCCTGGGGGCCGATGCCGTCTTCGACTATAAGTCGCCAACCTGTGCCGCAGACATCAAGCAGCTAACCAAGAACCGCCTGACGTATGCATGGGACTGCACGGGCGAGGGTGCGGCCATCTGCGCGCAGGCCATGTCGGACTGCGAGCCCGGCACCTACGGCACAATTATGCCTGCAGACTATGAGCTGCTGAGCGCTACCAACCCCAAGGTTCATGGCCAGGAATTTATCCGCGGGTACGATACCATGGGCGAGAGTTACTACTGGCTTGGCCAGACGCCAGTCACGCCCAACCCAGAGGAGATGGAGTTTTACCAGTCATTTTTGGCGTTGACTCAGTCCCTGTTGCAAAATGGGAGCATCAAGCCCCTTCCGGCGGCGGTGAACAAGAATGGTAGTGGACTGGAGGGCGCGCTGAAGGGTCTGGAGGAAATGAGAGAGGGCAACGTCAGCGGAGAGAAGTTGATTTACACCATTTAACAAAGTTACTTGGATATAATCTAGACTAGAGACTAGTTTAAATAAGAGTTTTTGGTTTGCATAACCACCCCTTCATGCTTGGTTATTGTAAGGAATATATTGCCCTAACCTTAATGTTGTAATATAGGAGACCGGGACGCTCGATGATAGTACACTCTACTTGCACGGGTCGACCTAGCAATAGCAAAACCACACCACAACACACGCGTGAGCGCACTTGCGGATAGTAGAGCACCCGTAGAAGTAGGTCAGAGAGGTAAAAGAGTGTATATTGTGTAACTATTGTAGTCTGGTATATAAATCACGTATTATTTCACGTGTGAGGACAGAACGCAACCTAGCAAGATATAGGGGGAATGTCTGTCCCCACTACAATGCGTACATCTTGATGCTAGAATACTGCCCGTCCTTCAAGGTCTGTTCATCTTAGGCATAGTTGGTGCTCAGGGAAACTTCCTCCTGCAAACTCAAATCATTGCCAAATCTTTCGCAGCTCTTCTGCATCCTCGCATACGCATCACCCCCCAGAACCAGTCTAGAGATCTTGCCTGCCAGGGGACCGGCCATCCCAGTGCCGGTGACGACCTCGAATATGCGCTCGACTCCCTTCTGGGGATCGCCAGGCTGCTTTCCGTGGACAGTAAGGAACTTACGCATCACCATGCCCACGGGGTCATCATAGTGGGGAGCGACCAAGGCTGGGTTGGGACTTGCGTCAGCCAACTATAACGCTAGTTAGCACTGATGTCTTATATTAAAATTGCAAACAAATTCAAAAACTCACCGCGCCGACAAAGTTGGTACGGAAATTGCCAGGCTCGACAATCAGAACGCGGATGTTATGGGGCGCAACCTCCTTAGCAAGTGCCTCGGATGCAGCCTCTAGTGCGGCCTTAGAGGCACTGTACAAAGAGCATGCCGGCAGGGGGTCCTGGGCGGCACCACTGGAAATGTTGACAATAGTACCAGAGCGCTGGGCGCGCATAGCAGGGAGGACAGCCTGCAGGGTGTATAGGGGGCCAAAGAAGTTGGTGGTCATTTGCAGGGTTGCCTCTTTTTCACTATAACAAGTCAGAGAATGGTTAACTATCTTGTTCATGCCCTGCCCAGGTGTTGGCCGCTACTTACGTAATATCCTCGCAGGCGGCCAGGATAGAGTAGCCAGCAACATTGATCAGATAGTCAATACGACCAAGGGCGTGTATCTTGCTTGCAATGCTGGCCTGTGATTCTGTCATGTCCAACTCAATCACCGAGCCTCCGGCCTGCTCGATCTGCTCAACCGCAGTGGCGGCCTTGGCCTTACTACGGACAGAGCCGATCACACGGTGCCCGTGCCCCGCACGCAGAACGTGGAGGCACATTTCAAGACCAAAGCCATTGGAAGCACCGGTAATAAGCCACACGGGAGAAGACATATTGTGCAATGTGGATTTTAGATGTGGAACGGAAGAATAATCTATTCAGGCGGGATGAGGAAGGAGGAAGGAGAGAAAGGAGAGGAAGGATTTGACTATTGTCGCTCGCAGGAAACAAAGAGGGCTAGTGCTGCCCGTGCCTCACCTAGTGGACCTAATTCCATAAGACCAGCTGTTTCAGCACGAGCCAGGTACTACGTAGCCACTGTCATCTGGTGGATCTCGTATCCGGGGCGCCTAAAAGTGGAGTGAGGTTTTTTCCTTTTTTTTGTTTTGTTTTCTTGTTGTCGTACCTTTTCGTTTTCTTTTCTTTTTTTTTTTTGTATTTGTATTTTGTATTTTGTATTTGTATTTTATTTCGTATTTCGTATTTCGTATTTTGTATTTTGCGTATTTTGTTTTGATTTTATAACTTGATTTTTAGGAACTTTAATTATACATTGAATAACGTAACTCAATATACGCTGGTAATATGACCAAACCAAATACCAACAGGTTAATGCTTATAATTTGAAAGTCCACCAAATTACAGACCTCGGGAAATCTGGCGAGGCATACATCGGTGGATGCTGTTGTTGGATCTTTCCTGATTGCCTGATCAGAACTCCGTTCTATTGTGTAGATAGGTCTCGCGCGCGCTCTCTCTCTCTCTCACACACACACGGAATCCATCTCCCTCGGTTGCTTCCATCTTAGCACCTCGAGCCTCTATTGACAAGCCGACGGTTATACAAGATCCTCAGGATCCCCAGTCACTCCATATGGACCTCGACACAGATGTCTTGATTATAGGAGCGGGATTGTCGGGTCTCGGGCTCGCTGTCCAGCTAGTACGCCAATACGGACATAGGGACTTTGAAATTATTGAAAAGATCGATCATATTGGGGGCACATGGCTAGCGAATTCGTATCCTGGTTGTGGTGTGGATGTAAGATACAGAAATCCCTCTCTATTTCTCAACTATCTTGCATGTTTTTGTTCTCTCCTCTAATCAACTACCTGGCAGGTGGCTGCCCATTATTACTCCTATTCATTCTGCTTGAACCCAAACTGGTCCCGGAAATTTCCGTTGCAGCCCGAGATACTCGACTACCTCAAGGGTGTGGCCGCCAAGTACGATATCGAAAAGCATGCCAGATTCAACTCCATCGTCAACTCGGCCCACTGGGACGAGTCCTCGCGTACGTGGTTGGTAACCGTCACGGATTTGAAGGCATCCAAGACGTATAATCGCCGGTGCAAAATTCTTGTTTCCGCCGTCGGCATCCTCTCCATGCCGAATGGGTGTGATATTGATGGAGCGTCATCGTTCAAGGGACCGATGTTCCATACGGCTCAGTGGGACCACTCATTTGACTGGAAGGACAAGGACATGGTGGTAATTGGTTAGTTTTCTTTGCTTTATTTATTTCTTTCCTTCCTTTTTCATATAAGTAATATGGTTGTATGTATCTAACGCCCAAAAGGAAACGGATGCAGTGCAACTCAGGTCGTCCCGGCTCTGAGCGACAAAGACGACGGGGCCGCCAGAAAAGTCACCCAGTTCGCTCGTCAGGCGCAATGGATCTTCGAACGTCCCAACCCACCGTATTCGAGCCGGTTCCGGTGGACTATGAAGTGTGTTCCGCTGGCCATGCGTGCCTACCGAGCCATTCAGAATTACTACGCCGAGCTCGACTTTTACAGCTTTCCCACTGAGACCGGAGCCGGCATCCGCAAGATGTACGCGGACACACAAGGCGCGTATATCCGACAAGCATCTCCCGCCAAGTACCATGACTTCCTCATCCCTAAGACCGAGGTCGGCTGCAAGCGTCGCGTGATGGACTCGGACTATCTGCAGTCTCTGCATCGAGACAACGTCGAGCTGATGTATGACGACCCCATCCGCGAGATTGTCGAGCACGGGGTGCTCACCAAGTCGGGGAGGTTCGTTCCTGCAGACGCTATTGTCCTGGCCAATGGCTTTCAGGTTCAGAAACCCTTACTCTCCCTCAACCTATTTGGAAAAGGGGGCGTTAGTGTTGCCGAGCACGTAAGTAGACGGACCCTTCGCCCTTGCGCTGCTGCTGACAAGTCGGGTAATGCAAATATAGTGGGATACATTCAGTGAAGGATCGGCTTCGTCCTATTTCGGCACCTGTCTTTCCGGGTTCCCTAATTTCTTCATCATGATGGGGCCCAACACGGCTAGCGGTCATGGCTGCGTGACGTACACTACCGAGTGTCAGATCAACTTCACTCTGCGTGCTATCAAGCCTGTCTTGAATGCCCTGAGAGCCCAGAGGTCTCGGCTACCCGTGATAGGGTGGAAGGCCGACACGGTACAGGTGAAGCCGGATGCCGAACAAGCCGACATTGATGCCATTCAAGAAATGGCAAAAGGCTTGGTCTGGTCGTCAGGATGCACCTCGTGGGTTTTTGATGCGGAGTCGAAAAGAAACACCACCATGTACCCCGACTTCCAGTACAAGTACTGGCTGAGGAGTATCTTCATTCCGTGGAAGGACTTTGACTTTTCAGCGCCAGTGTCCAGCTCTTCTCATTCATTGGGAATCGCAAGCTTTTTGGCCTTCTCAGCGGCCATTGCTGCTGTGGCATCAGTGTATATCAAATAGGTGATTTAGTCAAGCTGCGGGGTATAATTACCCAGTGTTGGGTCGTGATTGTTTGAACCCTGTTATATAAATCGGAATTCAGATAAATTATCCAGTAACACTTGATATCAAATCATAACTGCCTTGTCTAGGGTGCGCCCCTCAGAAAATAAAAGCCATTGAAGCGCGGTTCCTATGAGGCGATTCAAAATGGCACTCTAGGCGATGGGGAAGACAGAGTTTCTAGGGGTAGCAAATATATAATGCAGGGATGATACTCCAAAAGTTTAGTTGATAAACTAGAATCAGGGTCAACTAGTTGAAGGCTGTACAGTAACTATTACGCCGTCTATGTCCTAGTCCAATGGCCCAGCGTGTTGTCCAAAAAGCATAATATCCGTGCATCCCCCATCCCCTATACAGAGGCAGAGCCGAGGATATCAGACGCAATTTTCTCCGCCAATGCATCCGTTTATACGTCAGTCCAGAAAACGAGGTTCATAAGGCTGCTATGAAACTTACAGACAGTGCCCATCGGGTGTCCCGGCGGCAGAATCGGAAAAACAGAAGCATCGACAACCCTAAGGCCTGAAACACCGTATACCCTGGCCTTAGAGTCCACAACGGCCATTGGGTCATCCGCCCGCCCCATCGAACAGGTGCACGAGGCATGGAAGAGGGTCAGAAAGGTCTCCTTGATAATCTGTTCGAGCTCGGCGTCGGTGGAGGAGACGCTGGGACCAGGGAAGGCCTCTTGGCCGTCGAGCAGGAACGGTCGAACGGCGGCAGTGTGGAAGAACTCGCGCGCGCTTGTACCCGGCCACGGCCACCTCAACATCGATCCGGTTGGAGAAGTACCGCGGGTCGATGATGGGCCGCACGGAATTGTCGGCCGACGCGAGGGTGACAGTGCCACGCGACTGCGGCATGCCTAGTGCCACGCCCATGGTCACGTAGTTAAAGCCGTCGTGAGGGTCGCTGCCGCCTGATATATTCTGGTAACCGAGATAGCCGGCGATGGCCAGGTACTCGACCTCGGGCCAGTCGGCTGGATACTGGTCAAGGGTGCGGCGCGTCTCCGCGGAGAGCGTGCTGTTGCGTATGGGCCCCGGAAACTTCTCCCAGCCCAGCACGTCGTTGGACGGGTTGGTCAGCATGCCCGACGTATGCTCCTCGAACTGACGATTGGATTCGGCGGCAAAGGTGGCATTGCCTAGCGACGACGTCGTCTCGCCCTGGACCCGGTACGACGGGCCAAAGTATACATGGTCCTGCATGTTCTGACCCACGCCGGGCCGATCCGCAACCACGGGGATGCCGTGCTTCTCCAGATGCGCAGCCGGCCCCACACCAGACACCATTAGCAGCTGCGGCGATGCAAATGCACCCGCTGACACTATGACCTCTTTGGTGGCCGTGAGTACGTACCGGGCGCCTTGGGTGTCAACCACGACTCCGGTAGCTTTCTTTCTATTCTTGTTTTTGTTGTCCGGGCTGAATATGATTTTCTTGGCCATGGACAGCGAATACACCGCAAAGTTGGGGTATTCCAGTGCCATGCGCATAAAAGACGTCTCAGATGAGTCTCGGGTCATGGTCGTAGCGTTGATGATTGAAATGACGTATGACTGGCCGAGGAGAGAGCCGCTCAGGAAGCCGTCGATGGGCTGGATTCCCATGGCGCGGAGGCCATTGGTGGCCCACGACGCAAATGAAAACGCATAGTTGGAGTAGGATATCGAAAGCGGGCCCTGGCAGTCGCCCATTACCGAGGCGTCGTACAGAGGGCTAGAATTGGTGAAGCGCAGCTCCTCGTTGGGCGGCGTGTAGCAGACGCTGCGCTTAAAGTAGGGTAGCATACGGTCGAACGTGTAGCTCTCATCGCCCACCAGATCGGCCCATCTCTGATACGATGCGTTGGTCCCGCGCTGGTAAATCATATAGTTTCTCGCCGAGGAGCCGCCTAGGCATTTGCCACGCGCATAGTGCATTTCAACATTGAGTGCGTGCTGGAATCTAGGTTAGACCAAGCTAAATATATGCGGGCGTATTCACGTTCGTGTATACCTTTTGCGGACTAGTCACATATCCCCAGTCAATGAGAGGTTGCCAGTCATCCGGGTCTTTGGAGATGTAGTTATCGTCTAGCCCTGGCACCTGGCCCTTATTTCCGTTACCGATCTCGTAGAACGTGCCGGCCTCGACCACGGCGACACTACCGCTTTGTCCTTCCGCCAGACGCGCAGCTATAGTCAAACCGGCGTTGCCACCGCCCACGACAATGTAGTCAAACGTCGCATTCTTTCCCGGGATCCCAAATGACGACCCTAGAGGGCGGATTGCCCCCGCTAGCGTGGTGAGCCCAGCTAGGAAGGCACCCGCAGCCGTGAAACGATAAGGCATTCTAACAAGATACAGTTGGAGTTGATTCTCTCTATTACTCAAATTGTCCTACCTAATCGCCATTGCTGGCTTCTTTTATAGTTAGCCAACAGCTACGCCCAAATTGTGCCTGGGTTGTGGCTGGCAGCCATAATCACTAGGCCGAGAAGTGTAGATTGCCACCTCGTATGGTCTTAGGTGTACCTCCGAGCCGATAGCCTATTCACTGCGCCCCCGTTTTCTGTCAAAAATTGCACCGGCGTGTTTGAAGGGGCATAACGGCCAATGTCCCAATGGACGTTTTGGCCTAGTTTATGCCTGAAAATGTGTTATTGGTGCCTTATTTTGAATAGGCAGAAATTAAAATACCTGAATTGCAATAACATGTGTCTTTTAAGCAAAGTACCCAAAGTGCCCAAGTCCAATAAAATGAAGCTATTCCCACCACACAAAATATCATACACCCCCGGACCTGGCGATGAATATATTTTCTTCTCTCCTCTACTCTTTACCTTTGCCACTACCTAGTTATATCACCACTTTATGGTCATCTTAAGAAATGATGAAATGATGAAAGTGAAGCAAACATTTGAATGATGATGGGAATAGCTTCATTTACAATACATTGTATAGAGCGGTCAAAAAGGCGGTCTAGAACCAGACATCTTTAAGGCATCAACTAGGCCAAAAAGTCCATTGGGACATTGGCCATTATGCCCCTTCAACCAGAAAGGGGGATAGCATGATACTTGCTAGTTGGCTGCCCCCTAGAGATTGAGTTCTCAAAATATATAATATTATTGACAACAATAAAATCATAGACTTGTATTTCGGAATATTACAAGGAATTATATCTTTTTTTTATCATTGCTTTATTTCGTACTTCTTGTAGTTAGTCCCGAATACAGAATTTATACTCATACCTGTACGGTATACGGTATACGGTATACATACCAGCCTGCATATAGAACAGGGGGCGATGGCCCCAAGATGTTTCCGGGCCATCTTTTGTGAAAGATAGTGTAATAAACAGTCCCCGAGCCAATCACATTAATCCAATCATGAAGCTTGAAACATATTTCGTTCTTTTACGCCTAGTACAAGGTGGACCGTATTTAATACGCCGGCCTCATCGTATGACATACATCGCTTGTTTTAGTCTTACTGTATTCACTTGTTATTGAGAGTGGACACCTTTGATTATTGTGATTGTCGTGGAGTGTGGAGAAAAGGATTTATTTAGTAAAAAGCAACCAATTTAGCCGCATATGCATGCAGTGAGACTCGAACCTTGGAACTATTGCACAGGCCCGTGCTTACATACGACTGTGCTTACAACGAGGCCTGAAGTATTGTGTCTGGGCAGGACTTAAAAAAGGACATCGTCAGTATCAATTGCTCACCAAGTCATCAGAGATTTACTATTTCCTTGGATTAACACAAACCTCGTTACTTGTCACCTCATTACTCAGTTACATACCCATCAAATTAGTATGACGGTCACAAAGCGTCAAGTAAGGAGCCAGCCTTTCCGCCCATTGTATCAAGGCTAACATCTCCCGTCCGTGTGAACAGTCCCTGGTCCTTGACACGGCCCGTCAAGCTCTCAAGCAAGCTGAAAGGCTTGTCAGCTATCTTGAGGAAAACGGCCTGGAGGAGCCAAACTTCACTTCAAACTCCCCTCCTCATCCCGAGAACAGCGAGTACGATGAGATCCGCATCAGCCTCACTCAGGCAGCCGAGGACCTAACGTTGCTTGCCAATGGTCCTCTGCAATGGATTCGCACTTTCTGCTGCTGTGCCCATGATTTGGCCGCCTGGCAGGTTGCCTTGCGCTTCCACTACTTTACCATTGTGCCGCTGGATAGACCCATGTCGGTCAAGGACATGGCTGCCCAGGCACAAATGGATGAAGATCGTCTGCGTCGGGTCATGAAATTCCTCACCACCCAACGCTGCTTCCAGGAAGTGGCTGACGACCAGTTCGAGCACACTGCCCTGTCTGCTTATATTGCGAGAAACAAGGACATTGAGCAATGTTTCGCTTTCGAGTAAGTGTCTCCCAACTCATGCAATGCCTTGTAAAAAAGAAAAAAGAAGAATTGAAAAAAGAAAAAAGAACTAATCACAAGTTCCAGGGCCGATGAAATGTTCGAGGCAGCTTCACTGACAGCCGCGTCCATTGAAAAATCACCATATACCTCCAATGCTGAAGATAGCGCTTTCAACCTCCGATTTGGCACTTCCCCCTACAAGTGGTATGCGGAAAACCCCAAGCGCGGTGCCCGGTTTGCCTCTGCCATGGCTGGTTATGTTCAAAGTTCGTCATTTATCCTGTCGAACCCTTACCTTGCAAGAGACTGATTTGTTCGATTGATATTTAGTGAACAGAGATACCACAGAGCTGCGCAACCGATTCCCCTGGGCCGATCTCGCAAACAAGAAAGTGGTCGACGTGGGCGGAGGTAGTGGGCATATCTCCATCTTCCTTGCGACTGTAAGAGCAACCACACACCCACATTAGCCTGCTTCAGACGCTAATCTCCGTCCCGATATAGGAATTCCCCGAACTGAACTTTGTCGTACAAGACGTCAATACTGTCATGCTTGAGGAGGGCCCCAGAAGAGCGGATTTCCCTCGTGTCCAGGACCGCGTCTCGTTTATGCAGTACAGCTTCTACGAGCCACAGCCCGTCACCGATGCCGGGCTTTTCTTCCTCCGCCAAGTCATCCACAACTACCCGGATGACGTCTGTGTCAAGATCTTCAAGTCCTTCGTTCCGGCTATGGAGAAATGTGGCGCGGGCACCAGCTTGCTCATTAACGACATGCTTCTGCCCCCGCCCAATGTAGAGCCCAAAGTCGACGAGCATCACCTGCGACAAATTGATATCCACATGCTGGACGGATATGCCGCAAAGCAGCGAACACTTGAGGATTTCGACCAGCTCCTGAAGGAAGCTGATTCGCGATTTGAGGTATGTATTGCTTTTCGGTCTAAGGCTTCGATTATAGGCTAATGTTGTGTCATTTTCCAAATAGGTTGTCAAGGTCCATGGCAAGGGCATTATGGGATTGATCGAAGTACAGCTTGGCGCGTAAAAGTGCCAATAGAGGGTCATATTTGGATGAGGGCTGCCAGGGGAACAAGTCTCAGGGACAAGTCTTATAAAAATCAAATTTAGAAATACGAACCTCGTTGGAGCATAAGTTATAATGATTACAATCTGCTTTCATGGAAGATTATACCTCATAATTTAGCGTAGGCCGACGCCGGATGAGTACATATTTTTGTAGGACCCACCCTACAACATTAATGGTCCTGCCTATAGATTTCCTTTCTTCTTTTCTTTTCCCTCTCTGTACTTAATATTTCGTTTGAATGCACTCTTTTCAATTTAAAGACCTGGCTGGTAACAATCATTACCGCATAGATTGTTGAAATAGCGGGTTTTGTCATTTTAGAAAATCAGAGTTCTCCATATCAGCCCTAGTGCCCATACATTTCAATACGTCAGATTTCTGTCAGAATCCCTACCCTCAACCGCGTTTTTGCGGTTACTTAACCGCACCGCAGCGGTCAGACCGCGGTTGCTGCCGAGCTCTACTTCGGATCGTCCCGTCCCGGAATCTCCGCAACTACGGCAATCTGCTGGTAGCCCTGTTCCAACCGCGCGGTATTGCTGGCGTGGATCCAAAACACCCACGTTTCCGGTGTAGATTCTCGCACGCGATAGGAATACTCGATGGCTGCCTGGGCTTTTCTAATGATAGTCAAATCAGTTAGTTGTTATTCAACAGGCATTCTGATAGGGACCAACACCGGCCAACCCCACCAATGCCACCCGCTCGTGGCGCTGGCCAATCGCCTTATGTCCTTCCAGGCTTCTCCACATCTCCCCCAGTTGTCCAACGGGCATACTGGGTCGAATCTCTGAGGGGCCTCTTCCCCGACTGTTCCGGGCCATGATGTCCTCTCCATCTATGGACGGAAAGCAAGGGTTTTTGGAAGCTCTGAATTACCTACCCCATCTGTCGACGCCTGATATTTTCCGACTAGTCCAGGCAATCAATGGGACGCTCCCTGGATTAGATGATGTGTGCTCGCTGGGAGCGATGTTGAATCGATCACTGCCTTTACAGCTGGAAGCTGGTTTTTGACTCCCTCCTGTCCAAAACGTTTGGTAGTTGTAAATTTGGCGGCGAGAAATTTCTCGAAATTCGTAGACCACACCAACTGATCGAGTATTCTCTTCTTTTCTTTTGCTGGAAACTGGTATGGTTCTGGGGACTCAATTCGCTCGCGAATCCAGTCGTGCTCCTCATGGGTTGCGACGTGGGAATACTCAGCTCCGATCGAGTCACAATAAATGGATTCGCATGTTTTGCGAATATCTCGAAGTGTCATATATCGGCAGTTTGTGGATTTCAGGGAAGGGAGAACTTGGGGTCCAAGTGTAAACTCTCGGTCCAAGTCACTCTCAGTAAAGCAGTAGGAATCCAGTCGTAGTTCGGATGGTGACGGGTCTTTACCTGGGAGATCCAAGGGGTTGGTCTCTGCTATTTGGTGGCCAAAGTCTTGGAATGCTCAAACAAGCCGCTGTATTCTGGCTTGATCGTCATCTGCTGTTGACGGAATGCACGGGGTTTTCGCATAAACATTCAGGTCCGGAAGCATTGGTGAGGACCCTGGACCCCATTGGAATGGTACATACTTGGGAGGCTGGACTAAATATCCAGGTGGTTGCTTCCCGGCTTCTATTGTCTCGAAGTAATGTTTCCATGAGACATCAACCGAAGCAGCAGGGTCCTTCCGCCATTCCGCATACATGTCGTCCACATAATCTGCGGGGTTTCCTTGTAGAAAATTGTCTAGATGGAGCTACAATAATTCCAAATTGGCATTGGTAAACACTTCGTATGGATTCGGATCAGGTTAATCGTACGCGACGGTTTTATGTATAAATTTGCCAGTATGGCCTCAAGCAATGTTACCTGGTTGCCTGTCTCCCACATCCTACGCCCCAGCACCCCCCGTTCAAGGAAGCTTTGAGGAGGAACATGATAAAAACCAAAGAAAAGAGATGTTGTACTCTCCTTTTGATGAGAGTGGGAAAGATGGAAAACGCTGGAAATTCAATGCATCGCTCTGAAAGACTGTAGTCCAACAATCCGGCCAGCATTTTGCCCACGCGTGATATTGACGACTTGCTCCTTTCCATCCGAGACTGATCCACACCTACGTTTATATTACTGGAAAACCACATAAACGTAAGATAAAAGACTTCCATTCATATCAACTACTACAAAGGATTGCCCCTGTATTCACATTACGGAAGAGGGAAAAAAACCCCTAAACAGACGGGGAAAAAGACCTCCACTAGGGCACAAGGTAAAACCCGGAAATATGAAAACTAGATATTGCCATCCGCCGTCCTCAACCACCAAAACCCCTTCTTTTCGGCCTGCAACCATGGCAGCGAACCACTTCCTGTGTATATAGTTAGCTAATGAGCACAGAGGAACGAGTAAGGAAAAATAAGGGGGTGCGGCAAGGCATATCGGGGCCAGTGTAGTCGTATGAAAGGCGCAACAAATGGGAGTTTTAGCAAATTCTGATTGGACTTACTCGAATGGAACCTAGTCGTCCACTTCCCCGATATGCCATCTCTGGTTCTGGGCATTCTCATACCACTTTATCGAAAAACCATCTCTGGTTACCGACATTCTCATCTCTGTACGGGAAGGTAATGACGGGTTGCTCTGGCTGCGCCTTCGCCTCTTGAAGGTCGACCACTTGGCCATGAAACGCCGCGTTTTCAATCCTATATTTTTATTGAGTGGATGGTGGATGCCAATATTCAGATTGCATTAACATACCTGAAAGAACCATCTTCGTATTGGGAGAGTTTCCATCTCAGAATCTCATTGTTGTTGGGTTTGAGTCCTGAACTGAATAACTGGCTGTGACTGTTGTCGGCTGGATAACTGAATTAGCAGAGCAATCGTCGAGCTTTTGATGAAGGTGGGTAGGGCATACCGAGAGGGGAAAGGAGTTGATTGTCACTACTCTCATTGTCGAAAATCCATTGACCGTCGACTTGACTCAGCTTCCATGTTTGGGCTGCATTAGTTGTATTAAGTTTCCTATAAAGTTGTTAACACAGCAACCGTTAAAGTATTCTGAATTACAGAATTTTCGTACGCTAGTTGGACTCTTCCCCATGTCTTCCCATCTTTGAGCTCCAGAACCAGGTGAGCATCTAGATAACTGCGAATTCTGTAGACGCCGGTCTCAGGCATGTTGCGCTCAAGACAGAAATATTAGGATATCCGAAATGTTTCAACCTGGAGTAAAAGCTGCTGTATAATCTCCGTAAAGGCCACAACTTCCCACAGACACCACCTCTATTTAACTGTTTCGGTGGAGACCAGCAGCTCTGCTACTATCCAGGGTGCGCAGTCTCCATGCGTCATTGACGTTTTCATTACTGCCATGTTGACGTAGCTACAGACCAATGCGTCAAGTAAGATTGAGGATACTGGGAATAGAGGACGAACGATTTAGGACTTATTCCCCTATCGGGTCGATGCTATGACGCTTGCAAGTGTCGCCATACCCGGAATAAGAAGGCTCGTGTACCACTTTCCACGAGTACATTATTGGGATGTAACATATCTATGTCCCACAGATACCTATCGTACCGCATCCAGAAAAGCGGTCCAGCTTGATGGTTGTCAGCTTCGTAAGAACTGCGGAAGCTGAAAGTCCCCGTCACAATTCATATCCTAGGATTCTTGGCTTTCCGAGTGCAGATCGAGCGATTGCCTTACACAGGCTCCTATCCGTGGTTTCAACTCTGATGCGCGGGATTTTCATACTAATGTAGTGGGAAATAGTAGCATCTGCTAAGATAATCCAACCTTGGTGGCATATATGTATCGTATTGATGTAAAGCTGTATAATTGTGAATAGTGTGACAGCTTGTCTAATGGATAAAACAGATAAGGCCCTTTGCGTCTTGGGCTGTTTAGGTAAGTAAAATTGGAATAGTTACTTAATGCACACAGCCTATTCAGAAAACCGTGATAGACTTCGAATAAATGAAACGCGAAATCAAAGAATTTCAGCTGCTTTCAGAGGAGGCGTAAGAGAATGATGATTGCACTAGTTCATCCCTTCCTGTGTAATGTGCATTTACCTGGTAGTTACCGTATCGTTCAAGGCGAGCATTACGACACTATTGACGTCAGGCTCGGGAGAAAGAGTTGAAGTGACTGACCAAGTAGCATATGGCCGGCTCTGAAGTAATATCATGGCGGAATATCATGGCGGATGGAAACGGAGAATACGGTAAATGATGATGTGCATTTCATGTAAAGTACTAGTTCAGTTCCTCGCGTTCAATCAATACAGTCAAAGTCAACAGTTTACTACGATTGCCAGGTTTAGCCATTACTAAATATGGACGAACTCGACTATTTTACTTTTTTTTAAATGAGGCAGATGCCCCGAAAGATCTCTTCGTGTTCGGTAAACGTGTTCGCGCGATGAAAAATCGGCCTAGGTACGCCCGAGGCGGCTTCAAATTGAGAGTGAAACGAATAGCGACGTGGAAATGGGTTAGGTTGAAGACAAAATGCGTAGTGTGAGAAACTTTTCCTGCTGGGTTGGCTTCAACCCAGCTGGGATCCACCGATGGCGTGTACATATTCAACGGTGCAATGCACACTAGCTAGGGTGCCATATGGCCCAAGGTCGTAAAAAGCCTGAGGAATAAATAATAATTAAAAATCAATTAAAAATTAAAAATTAAAAAAAAGTATGTATATACCTGAACAGGGTCATCATGGTAAACTCGAAATTATAAATTGCCTTCTATGATTTAGAACAAGAGGAAATGGAATCGTAAGCTTTCCACCAAAAAGGGGTGACGTATCCTGTTCTGAAGCAGGTAATTAACTTGGCCCAGGGTTACCCATTTCCTAACCAGACAAAGATGGCCGGCAATGTTACGTTCGCAACATCGCCAGGAGGAATACCAAGAATTGATGGGAATTCGCCCGTCACCAACATAATAACCGCAGACAAATGCGTCCATGCATCTCACGCCCAGGATAGGATTTCGCTTCGGAAAATGCGGCCTCTTTCCACTAGGGGTCCGGGTCGTCCGGTTCGCATTCACCTCCGTTGTTCACTGCTCGTATGTTGTCCCGGCCGGAATGTGGACCCTGCTCGATATCGGTATGCGTCTCCGGCAATGAGGTGTGACGTGCGGGGCGGGCCGCCCGCCCGCCCATTTACAATTCAACCACTCTACCCATTACTAATCACTGATAAGCTAGCTGAGCTGTGTAATCCAGACGTGAACTCAGGCCGCTGTACCTGTGTGATTACATAAGAGCATTTAACCACTCGGCTAAAAGATCATAAGGACAATCGGAACCTCCGATTGTCACTGCAGCGGTATATATACTAGGCCCTAGACATTGCTCGGGACCACAGCTGACCGGTGTGACTATCACATGACTTGGTGGGGCCACCGGTCAGCTCAACTTCAGAGACAGGGGTCGGCTCAGCTGTCGTCACGAGGGTAGATTAGTGTTGTAGACACCTGATAGATTAGGCATGGTTCTTAGGCTGTCACACCCACATAAGTAGCTCTCTCTGCAGTTCTCTAGCAATCAACCTTTCTCCTCTCTCTCTCTTGACCAATTACTTAGGCCGCTCATCCCTACGCCCGCTCAGGTCGTGCTTAGGAAGCAAACCAGGGGGCCCAGATGATGATCAGTGAGTATATCAGGGCAGAGGAGGGTCAGGTGATGCTTAGTGAGCACCTGGGCAGACCTGAGCTCGGCCCCGGGGGGGCATGTTGATTATATAATGGTCAGTGATCAAGTTAGGGACGTGCTCAGTTTCACTCAGTGCTTAAAAAGCGGCAAGAGGTGAGCACTACACATGTTGATCAGTAAATCGTTAACTAGCAAGTTTGTGATAGGCCGAGGTTGAGGGTGTCACAGACAGGAATCTGATGTACAAAGTACATACAAGTCTTTGCGTTTATTTCATAGCCTATATGGTAAGCATTCAATGGATAGTTCAATAGTTATGTAGTGTTGGACATGTATAAGTGCCCAAATCATGAAATCATGTGAAACCCACCCTGATCGAAGCTAATAAATGCACCGCCACCCACACTGGCCCAATCAGGAATAGCTAGAAACAACATATGTGGCGATACGTGGCTAGAATGGGTTGTGGCTGCAATCATCTTCTCTCCTATTGGTCAGACCATCAACGGGAAGTCTTGGCAGCGTCAGAGCTGTTCGTTCGCAAGTTGTAACCTCCTTTATTGCCAAGGCAGCGGGCCCAAAGATACAGATCTGCAGCTCACAATCTCGCTTCATTTCTTGTTTACCCTTTCAGCCCTGTAGCCCTATCACATTCGAGTCTGCCTAATTCTTTCCTTTCATCCCTACCCCATTCTCGCTCAATTGTGTTCTAATAACCCGTGAGACTGCGACTCAAGCCCACGGCTCTTAATTTTTTCCGCCACCCTTCGGTGATATCCCTGGACCACATCAATTGTCCTTATTATGGCCGAGTACAGTGCACAGCCCGTCAACGGTATAGGAATCTCAGCCCTAGATCTGAAAATCTCGCAAACTAACCAAGCATGTTTGCAATCGCAGGGATGCCTCAAAATGGAGAAACGGGACAACAGACCACGCGCGGCTCGAACGACCGTTTTGAGCTCGTCTCCGGTCCCCTGATCAACCTCAAGAACATGCACTACGAAGCTACGACCACCTGGCACGGCAGTGTCTTGATTGTCACCAAGTCAACCCAGGAGCAGCCCCAGTTGCGCCTACGCCAGGTAGGCGCCGTGGATAGCGGAGCCCAGAACGACGATGGCAGGGTCCCGACGAGTCAAACAATCGAAGGCCTCAAGCTTTACGAGGATCCCCAGAAAGCGTTCTGGCGATTCTCGCTAGCCGTGCCAGTGGCCGCATTCGAGGCGCGCTGGGCGTACGACATCCCCGGTCTGTACAATGAGTCTGGGGCCCAGATCCAGACACCATGGGAATTCGTCGTTCCTGCAGAAGAGCAGTCCATGCGCATCATGTTCCACTCGTGCAATGGCTTTTCCGTCGGCACAGACATGAATGCGTGGGTGGGGCCGAACCTATGGAACGATGTGATGCGCGTGCATGGCGAGAGGCCATTCCATGTTATGGTTGGCGGCGGTGACCAGATCTACAACGACGGTATTCGTGTGGATGGCCCGCTCAAGCCTTGGACTACGATTTCGAACCCGCACAAGAGGCGCACCCATGACTTCGATAACAAGATGCGTGCTGATTGCGATGACTACTACTATGCCAACTATGTCCGCTGGTACAATACTGAGCCATTCCGCACAGCCAATGGCCGTATCCCCCAAGTCAATATCTGGGATGATCATGATATCATTGATGGATTCGGCTCGTATACGGATCACTTCATGAAGTGTGCTGTCTTCCGCGGTATCGGCGGTGTTGCTTTCAAGTATTACTGTCTCTTCCAGCACCACATTGCTCCGCCTAAGTCGACTTTCACTACCGATTCTCCGCAAACTATGCATGCCGTCAATGGAACCTCCGGTGTTGACCCGCGTCAAATGGAAAACACCTACGTTCTGGAGAACCAGGTCGAGGACGACAGCTGGATCATTGGCAAACGACCCGGTCCGTACGTGGAGGAGCGCAGCCGAAGTCTCTACATGCGCTTCGGCAAGCGCATTGCCTTTATGGGTCTGGATGCCCGCACAGAGCGCACCCGCCATCAGGTGAACTATGAGGACACCTACGATCTCATTTTCGACCGGTTGCAGCGTGAGATTGTCAACGCCGACGGCGACATTAAGCACCTGGTGGTATTGCTAGGTGTGCCAATCGCATACCCACGTCTCGCCTGGCTGGAGAACATCCTCTCCTCCCCGCTGATCGCGCCGATCCGGCTGCTGAACAAGCGCTTCGGTGTGGCGGGCGGCCTCTTCAACGAGTTCGACGGCCAAGTCGATCTCCTCGACGACCTGGACGACCACTACACTGCGCGCCAGCACAAGCGCGAGCGCAAGATGCTGGTACACCGCCTCCAAGAGCTCGCCCGCAGCCACAGCATGCGCGTAACCATCCTCGGCGGCGACGTCCACCTTGCCGCCATCGGCCGCTTCTACTCGAACCCGAAACTCAACCTCTCTGGCGAAAACGACCACCGCTACATCGTCAACGTTGTCAGCAGCGCTATCACAAATAAGCCCCCACCCCAGGCCGTTGCCAATCTCCTCGCCCGCAGAAACAAAATTCACCACCTCGACCGCGACTGCGACGAGACCCTCATGCCTTTCTTCGACAAGCAGCCTGGCGGCAAGGAGAAGAGCGCCGCCTGGAATAAGGTCACCATGCCATCCCGCAACTACGCCATTCTCACCGAGGTTGACACCCCAGGTCCCAGAAACCCCGGTGTCCTCGAAGGCGGTTCCGCGAAACTGGATTGTCTCCCTAAGGATGGCCACGCACCATTGCACAAGGGCGAAGTCGATGCCGGAACGACGCACAGCGCTGCTGACGGGTTCACATGTGCAAGTGGCATGTATGGCGGACTTGACGTTTCTGTCCGTGTTGAGATCGATCCTCAGAATCGTAATGCTACTACCGACGGGTATGGATTTAGTATCCCGCCCCTGTTGGCTACCGAGGGTCCCCCGTCTACCGGCCACCGACTTAGTCTGCACTCGCGCAGGTCTCACGGCCGACCGTCGACAGCGCAATAATTTGTCTTTTCTTTTCATACCGGGGTTTCATGTATATACCTACGTACTTGATTTCCTCTGCCACTTATTGGCCTTCCCTTTCCATCTTAATGCTCAGATCTTGCCGCTTTTTGACTGAGTGCAACTGAGCACCCGTGGACGCCCCTGAGTATTACATAATCACCAGGCTCGCTCAGGGCTGTGATCCACGCACAACAGCCGACGCAATATTATGTAAGATTTATAATGACTAATCATTGGGACTCGGGAAGACATCCTCGACGAAGTCATGTGATCCTCAACTTCATATATCAGATTGATAAGATGCAAACAACATCTCACACCGTTTTTCTCCCCTGGCACGTCTTATACGTATGGCCCATTTCATGGCAGTCCGAGCACCGATTTGGGGCCCTGGCTCTAGGGGGAACCCCCTTTGTAATTGGGAGATCCTCCCCTAAAGCCAGGGCATGTTCTGCCCCCCCGTTTTCGCGCACTTCCCCGCTACGTGCGCCTGTCCAGTGCATATAGTACCTAGGTAGGCATGTTGGGGTGGGTAGACGTGTGGGTTGGGAATAGTTGGGCAACGCGAGCGTATTCGCGCTAGGGGGCGGTCAGACCATGCGGTATTTTCCAAAACCCTGGAACAGCCCAATATAAAGACCGTCTCGCGCCTGGAATCTCGACCACATCTCAAAATTTCAATTGCATCACCTCCTTTTTCAATGGCAAAGACTCTGGAGGAATTCGCTCAATTAGAGCCACTCTGGGATAAAGTGATCCAATCCCCAGCGGAAATTTCAACCGAGGAGAAGCACCGAATGATGGAATGGCCGCCTCGTGCGGAGATGGAAACAACCACCCAGAAAGCCCTCGGAATTTCAGTGGATGAACTGGTTCAAAAGGCTGCCACGACTCCAGAGTCTCTAACATACTCGGAATGTCGTCTGATACGTGACAATTTCCGTATGTTAGGATATAGGGACCTAAGTGATCGATGGGAATGGCCGTTTATACGGCCCGATCTTCAAACTAAGAAAAGGCAAGCAGAAGAGGTAGCTTTGCCATCACTGGAGCGAGAGGCCATTCGGAACTTATACGAGATCTTCTACGAGAAGGAAACGACAGAGCTTGGCGCAAGACATGCAAAACGAAAGCCACTAGTATTCGGTATGCCACCCGAGTGGATACAAAGGATCATCGACCAAGGGGATGACAAGAGTTGGGGCTATATATTCTACCATCACAAAGATATAGCCGGATGGAAGGAATTTTTGGAGCTCTTTAATAGCATGCTAGACATGGGTCCATTTCTTGACGGGGCCATAGAAATTGTAAAACACTATTGGCACAGCAAAAAGTCTATAGAAATTAAAGATTTCAAATTGGCGCAATTTCTCCTATTCGAGACGGCAGAAAATGACATCGGCCATCTGCGACAGTGAGTATTGCTTCTATACAATATCGAAAGCTATTATTAACGCATAAGCTAGGGATTTTCTCAGTCGACGCGAGAGAGGCGATATAAGAACTGGAATCCTTAAGAACGTATTCTTCTTGTTAACAGATGAAGCTCGACAATCATTTGCTACCTATGGGGATGAACAGTTTGTTGGTTATGTTTGGGCGATCGACCCTGAGTGGTCTTCTTCGCGTCTGGGGATGGTTAACGACGGCCGACTCAAAATCAATGCACCCCAAATCTTCTGGCGGTTCTACGAGTTCATGTCGAGCCCTGATCCCCCTTTTTCACTCAAGGATATTTGACGTGACTTTCATGCTGTCAATACCGAAAAAAGCATATCCTAGATGCTTTCCGGAGCCGATTGCGTGGCATTTCACGAACCTTGATAAGCCCGCCTGGCCTTTCAACTAACTTCCCTGGAGTTCTAGGTGCGACTGTTAGTCTGGTAGCCTGCTGATTTTATCTCGTGTGCTGTTCTTGCTGTAGCTAGCAAAGTCCAACAAGTGTTACGACGAACGTCTTGGCTTGTCTAATACAGTCACTCTTTACCTACTTGAATTTACATTTCGTTGGTATATGTCAAGTATTGCAATAGTAAGATTTACGTTCACGAGACATGTTCAATTCCCTATTAACTTCCTATCAGATGTCATCAGCTGGAGTATGAGGACGACATTGGAGCTGCTTTGGAGATGGCTTTTTGTTTTGGTGGTGGGGGTTAGTAAGTCGAGACGGAGAGCGTCAGGGTGAGGCTCTTATGTGGGCCAGCTGCAGTACCTTGCGCTAGCCGTATTGGGCGTTAAATAAGTGTGAGGCTTAAATCACGTGACCCTTCCTCATCTTGTCTCCAGTGCAGCTTCGCTTCAACGCCCCATTTATTTGTGGGGGCCGAGGTAGTTGAGGGACTGCCATCACTGCCGTTGAAAGTGATGGGAAGGTCGTTCAGAAGTTTCTGTCAATTATGTGATAAGGTATGTAAAATGAACCAAATGATCGGTCATTTCAGGAGTAACTGTATTGTGAGCTTTTGGTAACTATATAGTAGGAAAACTACAGCCTAGCTTGCTTGCCCTTGCCCTTCACCATGACCAGCCATACGCTTAGTGTCTAGCCATATCTATGTCCGAGATGGGGTATAATTTGATTTCATGCATGTGCCAAAGCACAGATCCCCTCTCATTTATGAATGATAGGCTGTTTTTTAGCGCTTACCTGCTCTATTTTTGATTTAGCACTACTTGGGTCACCTCAGTGCCTGACCGTTTTGAAGGGTGGGCTGATCTCACGATCTAGACACTTGAGTTCACACGGCTAAGCCATTGACTGACAAACGATTGACAACCATCCTCTTGACCGCTATCTGAATTGATATCAAAATCGTCGTCATCGGAGCTTTCAATATCGATCCAGGAATGTCGATATAAAGGTTTTTCATTTGATGGGTACCCAGTGGATCTAAGCCAACCAAAGATTCCGCGAGTTGCAGCCTCCGAAGCTACCTGGGAAAATAAGTTTGAGTCATTTTCCATCGGGTAGTAGTTTTCCTTATGTCTCTGTGTCTGTGTTAGAAATTCTCCACCAAATTGCATCAGAGATATGCCGGAGTCTTCGAGTGTTTCTCCATTTGCTAGATTCCAGTTCCAAGTTTTGTACTTCAGACAGTGACAGCGGCAAGCGGCATGTTGCTGCACTGTAAGTTCAGTATCAAGAAGCCGAGTTTCTCCAAACGGTTTCCACGGATGCATAGGGGGTCTATCATGTCCATCACAGGCTGTGATAAATAGCAAACGACACTCGTCTTCCCTGCGGATCATTTGACCGTCATTACTACCAGGTTCCGTAGTTATAAAAGATTGGTGTGTTCCTGTCCATGCCGCTGCATTGAATTCCGTGGCTGCAAGCCCGATCCGGATATTTCGTATTGTAGGGTTTGCTAGTCCCACCACAGTCGCACCGAGCCAAAGGCTAGCTAATCTGGGCTGCCGATATCCAAGGACTTTGGCGAGGGTAAGAGGCTTCTCGTCCTGGACCAAAAGGTTTGTTATTGCAAAGATAGGACTGAGCCAGGCGCTGACAAGATTGCATTCAACCTCTTCGTTGAAGAAGGTACTGGAAAGTAAAGATCGCATGCCCCACACATTACAACTCAGCATCATATAACGGGAAAGAAATTCCGAGTATTCCTCCACTAGATTTGAGGATTTTTGTGACAGAGACGACGGTCCATAGTGCAAGGCTGGTTTCGGGACAGGAAGTGAAATAGAATCTCCGCTGAGCAATGGAATGTAAAGGGCGGCAACTAGGGCCACGGAACACTGTCCGTAGAGTCGGTGACGAGAGCAAAACCTAGCGAGATATTCCAAAGCAGCGCTAGATGACGGCGGTGCTTCCTTAGAGATTGGATAACCTCCTGCTATCCCCATTTTGGCTTTATCGGAAAGGATAACAGACCAAGGTGAGCAGTACCTTTTGTTTTTGTAATCTGTAGTTATTTCCCAGCCGCCGCCAGAGCGCAATATAGCATCCCACCAAGCAGCTTCAGCAGCTTCAACATCGGGTCCTATGTCAATTTCGAATGTATCATGGTGTCTGCAACCTGTCGCAAGCTGACCGGCCTTGTGCGTGAAGTTGCTACTGCATTGGTGTCCCGAGGCGTGCTTCAGTGATTCTGCCCATCGCGCAGAAAGGATGTAAGCCCACGCAAGGAACAAAATGCTAATATAATTTCCCTCGTCATGATTTGAGATACCGTCAACACCAGGCCATTCTTGCAGGGGGGCCGAATTTGCTATCTCCACTATCAATGGGTTGGGAACAGCCAGCAGAATATCCAAAGACATTGTTTTCGGTTCGAGGCAACATTGCCCATATGAAGTAGTCCAGGTCGATTGTCCGGAAATTAGGAGACCAAACTGCCCCCTGCTCGATTCCCTTTCTACACAAGTAAAGGGTAGCTCAGTGTCTTTAGAAACCAATCCATATCCAAGGAAAGACGGTGTTCTCTCGAGAAGCGATTTCAGTTCGATGGAAGAAGGTGGGAGGCGAGGGTTTTTATGAGCATTTGTCAGGTGGGACGACCATTCATCATAGCTTTCGGAAAGGATACGATCAATTTTTTCTTTGCTTGGACGAACGGCATCATCCATGTCAGACCCAGACTATGTAGTTGAGTCCAAGGCACTACCGCTACCGAGTGCTAGACAGACCAGTTCGAATAAAGATATCCAGGGGTTTCGATGCTTATGAACGCCAGACCATTAATGGGCAAAAGAACGCACGAAGCTGATGACTTGGGTGTATTCAAGGAACAAAGACAGCAACACTGGCAAGTTCAAGGGGAAGGGAGGTTGGGATTGTACTTGAACTATCGAGATGGTATCACATCGGCCTTCGGCTGAACCAATATTCCGAGCCCCCGCTTTATCATGATCCGCCCCTTTGCTCTAACCACTTTCCATCTTTCAGAAGTCTACAAAAAGAAAAAGGCAACAGGAGATACTGTAGAATAGAATATCTGTGAAGAAATGGTGAAATTGATTTTGATCCATCCTCTATATTTGAATATTTCGATGGAATTTTTGGCACGGCATAATAATAGCAGGAAATAGCAGTGACTGAGAGGGATAGCAGACACTTATGCTGCCTGTTTTGGTCTATAACAGTGGCACTCTCCGCGAGAGTAGGAAAATGAACGGACCTCAGATCTAGACGGAGAAGGGAATGTTGTTTAACCTCCTAATGGAGCTTTGGAATAGTATCAAGGCTAGGGCATAAAGGTATTGACGCGGAGACCGAGAATATTGCTTTGGGTAAAGGTTGGTTCGCTTTCTACACCATAGGAACGTCTCTCCTCCTTATGAGGCTCTCAACGTATGCGTAGAGGTGGATAACGGCTCGAGTTGAAATATCAATATTAAGAATAGCTATAGTCAAGTCTAGATATAAGACGTAGCGCGAGGAAGCAAAAGAAAGCAGTTTCCGGGACTCCTTCAACACTTGGTAAAACGGGAAACCCAGATTCTTTCTTATTTCTCGGAGGCTGAACATGGCGCTGATACCGAGGTGCAGAGTGGGACTTGGGGACTTGTAGTCGCAATGTCATTTCATTCGCACAACCCATTCTGACTTTGGTGTTGTATTATTGTAGATAGGCCCTTACGCCAACATGGCCCTGGTATCGGTACTGCTGCCCACATATTTGACGGACTTCGATAAAGACATGGACGGGCGAGATCAGAATCTCCTCGATCTGCGTGAGCTTGGGTAGGCCTAACGGTACCTCGTCGGGCTGCATCTCATTCTGTTTACCATATAGCCATACCGACTGGTCTTTATCTGCCTTTCGGTAGCGCTCACAGACTCCATCCCGAAGCTTCATTTCAAACCACCGCTCCCGGCAATGTGAGCAGGCTTCCATTTTATACTCTTGTAGCCGGGTACGGAAAGATTGAATTAACTCCCACTCCTGACTACCAATAGCTGGATCAGCCGGGTGCGTGGAATCTACGACTGGTATACGGTCTGCGACCACCGCTGGAGGATCTGTTGTAGATATCGATGTCGGTTGAGCGGCCTTTTCACGGTACTCAAGACATTGCTTTATTGCCTGGTTAAGCCTTTTGGGGTTCCCTGTGCTAGAGCCGCAACAGCAAGGAAACATTACCTCAATGACACAATTGGTGTAGCCAGGAGATCGGCTAGGTCCGTCTTGACATAGGAGGTAGATGCCTGAATGACTAGAGAGCAATCGACGACCCATCTGCCTTCAATAAACTCCTGTCGAAGGTCGTCTCACGGTAGTTTGAGCTTGACTTCGCTGTTCACTGAGTCGACCTTGTGGTATCCTTGGCTTAGTCTGTCGTCTTCGAAGATGACTTGACCAAATGAAACAAAAGGTAGTACTTATCATACCAATCTTCGCTTGCATCAGTAAGGCATGCGCGTGAAAACCCTGAGAAATGCCTAATTGTTGTCAGCTTATTATATCGCTAGTCAACAACGGATATAGCGTACATAACACCAGTGGCCTTGTCATAGATGATCTTCGACATAGTTGACATGCGCGGTAGGTAACCATACTTCTTCAGCTTTCTGATTTTTCAGAGAGCTTCTTGTCGATCACCCAGGTTTGGCGGGGCAGGTGGAGAGGCGGCTCGGATGGTGGATCGAGAGTGACGTCCTTGCCTTCGAGGCCGCAAAGGAACTTGGCAGTTTCGGGATTTTCCATGCTGGTTTTAGTTTTGCAACGATGGATGAAGATGTATTTTGGCAAATGAAAGCCTAGTGAAGCTGGTGTTTGGATGGGGGTAAAGGGGAGAGGTGTGGGAAAAGTGATCAGAGCAAAACAAAAGTGCAAAGCGTAGACAACCTTATAGAGAGGTGAGAGATGAGAGAGAGGTAAGAGAGAAGTAAGAGAGAAGTAAGAGAGAAGAGATATCCACTACAAATTGCCTGCTTAAGGGATGGGCGAGATTATTAGTATGAGCTACACTTGCTTCCAAAAGATCAACTTCATACGACGTAGTGATATTGATGGTTCAAGTCAGATTTTCCATAACGGCGAAATGCCCTAGCGATGTTAAAAATTCCAAGTATCCTCATCAGCCTCAACTGGGACATCCCCCGCGGGCTCAAACTGAATGTTTGCGTCCAACATAAGCGCTTTCCTGCTGCTGCCGATGACTGGCATCCAATTGAACTCTTCCATCCCATAACAATCCGAAACTGACATCATTGGGAGAATTTGGCTTGTTTGTATGTTCTCAAAGTCGAAACACATCAGAGGCCCCTTGTAATACCGATGCCTTCGAATTCTCCGAAAAGGGCCTGCCACAATCCTCGTCCGATCGTCAACTCGATACTTGCGGATGCAGGAGGATCGTAACACCGTGGATACGAGCAAGCAGGTCTTCCATGTATCGTAGTCCACAAAGTCCAATATCATGTCGTACAGTTCTGGCGGGAAGATGCTAGTCGGTTTTGATGCTGCCTGTCGGCTCGCGGCGACTTCGAAAAAGTTGACCAGCGTTGCGAGTCCGGGGAATTGGCCCTGTAGTCTTTCCACTGTCCCTGTACAATCTGAGTTTAAAATAAGCACACCACGGCGATGCCGCCTGGTCATTCCTGGGGTCGCCTCTGGCCGCTCGCGCACATGTGTACTGAGGCCATATCTTTTGCGTAGAGGGGACAGATAGACGGGATCGCTAACTTGAATGAATGGTCCCATACCGTTGGAGACAGAGACCTCTGCAAATATCACCTCAAAAAGAGATATAACAACGATCTGGAACTTGCTGCGCCCTTGATCAATGCCCCACGTAACGGCCTTCGAGACAGCGTCACCGTCGATACTTAGTGCAAGGCTGACAGGTACGTCCCCCATCCAGTATTGCGTCTCTATGGGCGACACTCCTGGTGGCTCACCCGGTCGATGGGAAGAGGAGCCGAACTCGAGCAAAGGGGCATCATCGCTTGCCCACTTTCCTACCCACTCTCCTGTCAACCATCCAGGTAACTTGCCCAGGTGATTTGACTCGCACCTCCATAAGCTGCAAGCTCGAGGATCGCAGTGTTGAGCGGGGAAGGAACGGAATTTCGCCTGGTCCGACGCGATTGAAACGAGAGCGAAAACCAGCTCACGGAATGGGAACGAGGCAGGGCTCCATTCTCTTCCGTATCTGATAATCTCCTCCTTATATCCAATAATGGTATTTGCCAGGACATATGTGAGAAACGCCTTTCGTGCGTCCCCGATGTTTGCTTTTGGAGATACGACACGGAAATCGTATGCGATGTTCCCGTTTCTCTCCGGAAGCTCCAAAGCTAGCGATACAAGATACTCTTCTGGGCAAAGATTGGGGGAGATGGTAGAGTTATTGGGATAGATGCAGTCTGCGATGGCGCGAATCCAAGGATCGACCTGGCGCGGAATATTGGTCAGCTTCCAGTGTATGCTATGGTTTATGGAAAGAACTTCGCGGTCAAGGTCGATGGTATAAACGTATCCTAAATCGTGACCCAGTCGTGGGAGCTCGGAGGGAAGCACGTAAAACTCGCGAAACTCCGAATAGTCGGGCTCAGAGCCATCGCTAATTTCGTAAACACTTCTTTCGAGGGCAATTTCCTTCGCAGCATATTCGACTTGCATCGATTCCAGCCATTCTGTTGATATTTAGTATTCGCCAAGGCATAGACTTCCCCTCGAAGCGTACCCTTGTACAACCCATCGTCGATAGGGATGCTGGCCACGATTTTCTTGCCAAGGTCCTCGAAGTAACCATCGCACCGGTGGTGGCGTATGTAATAACGCCTGTTGAAGCGCACAATCTCAAGGCCTCTGGTACCCATTGTGATCTGGTTAGAAAATCAGAGGTCTTCTCGTGGGGGCTGATTCACTGCAGGATGGACATAAAGGGGAAAGGAGACCGGCGTGAGTTGACGCGAATTGACAGGTCACGCGGACCCGTGTGATCGTGTCTCAGGGCGCAATCGCAATTGTTTTTGGGAATGGGCAGTTGCTACACTCCTCCCTCGCAACTGCAAGTCCATACACATGACGCTGTCGCCGCCTAATTCCCGAGGCTTTCAATCTGTTGTTAGTTGTTGATAAGGAAGTTTGATTCTTTTTATTGTATAGAGAATACTTGGGACTATATTGTTGAAAAATCATCCCATGCATACTCTCCCACAGTCCCTCGGATCTATTATATAGTGTCGCCGGTGTCATTGAGCACGGAAGAAAACGTCCACACAAACAAGAACTTCAGAAGACCGTGGATTTCCAAGAGATGGACGGAGGGTTCATAGGAGAATCTGGGGGCAGACAACTTGACTGATTGTTGAGAATTTCGGATGTGATATGTATCCACCTACACTGGACTAGACTTAACGACGGTCAAGAGTCAACCTTAGCCTAGTCAAATAGTTATGATTCGTAGCACCTAGGAAGCCAACCACGTTGAAGGCGTATGAAATGGAATCTGATTGACTTTTTTTGATAATTTGAGGAAAGTGAATGCGCTTCATCGGTTTAATTCCAGCATTCTCTATATGAAGAATCGAGTTGATTGGGAATAATCGATTTGATATAGTTATATATATAATAGTTATGTTGTATATATTACTAGGTGGGGAGAAAGCAGAAGAAGAATCATTAATTCATTAAAGCTAGAAATGCAGGGGTTTATATACCCTGTTATAAAACATCTGAACAAAGGCTCATTCTGTAGCAAATAGCAAACATGCATGCATGCTACGCAGCGGTACAGGCCTACGTATTTCCGGTAAATGTTGATACCTTAATGCCTGGCTTTGGAATGGGCTGATTCTACACTTTTTATTCTTTATGGACTGGCCTCTGTATATATATACTCTCTGGGAGAGATCCTGCTCGGCGTTTGGCTTCGAGTTCTTGCTTCAGCTGGATGAAGCGCCTGTATAGTCATACGCAACTAGTTAGACTGCAACAAGTTAATTTAACTTTGATTGATTCGACCCAAACTGGGTTATACGGAAGTCTAGTCCTATTCGCCTAATGCTAGCTCAAAGATGTCACATGCCTTTTTGTGTTTGAAAATAAAAAGAAGAGACCTCATCTTTACTTCTTCCCACAACAACAATTTCTTGCCCCTATCACTCACAAGGCTCATACCATACCTCCACCATCTTGTTCTCTTTCCTCATCAGAAGGAACCTAACGCTATTCACCATGTCGTCACACCGTGTCCAGCCCTCAATAAGACCACTAGAATGTGAGAATACCAAACTATGTCTCTATCTGAAATACTTTTGACTGATCTTCCTAGTTTGCCCGAATTGTGCTAGCTATTTGACCATCTTACCCCGTGCTACCGATTCAGTTCATGGATTTCAAAACTATTTTACTTGTCGGGCATGTCCATATATCTGTCTGGTGTCCGAAAGCGAATCTTGCGAGGATGAATCTTGCAGCGACGAGACTGCTGATGACGAGACTGCTGATGACAAGACCACGGACGATGAAGCTGTGGACGATGAAGCTGTGGACGATGAAGCTGTGGACGATGAAGCTGCGAACGATGAAGCTGCGAACGATGAATATCCCGTGGATCCCTTGAAGTCATACATACATACCGCAGTCCAGGAGATGCAAGATATCCAAGATGGTCAAGTAACTTCACTCTTGGCTGATACGAAATTCCCCTCCCAGGCTTTTATGTCTCCAAAGCAGGATGAAGGTGTCTATCTTTCCAACATACCCCTAGGAAGGGTGGTCCAACATATGATCACAAAAATTCTTGAGACAAACTCGCAAAAAAGGCGCTATCAAGATTTTGTCAACAACCGTCAGAACATCGAAAATCTTTTGCTAGGTTCTCTAACCATGGCCACTCTAGCCATTGTTCAGGGTCAATTGATCGGCCCAAACGAGCTGATCAAGATAGGGGGTGATCCAGAGAGTGACCCTAACGCAGGAGTCTATCTTCATATCCTTCTCATACCAGGTCTTATGTATCTCTATACCGGGCAAGCAGATGACCTTTCCGAGCGTATTAGATACCATAACGACCCAGCATTTCGGAGAAGACACCCCTCGCTGCATTACAAAATATGGGAATGGCTCGAAGAAACTGGAGAACTTACCTCTGTTTTTGTGAAGGTCGCAGGTTTCAAACAGAAGTTACGAGGCGAATTAGACCAGCTACTCCTAAACCTCCTGGAGATGTTTATAGCATGTGTGTTCCAGACGCTCCGGTCCTCCGATCTAGAGTTCTACCTACCTGATGAGGTTGAAATTTGTTGGGGAGGACGAGGCCTAAATGTTGCTCTGCCTATTTGGCAGGGCTATACGTTAGGAGAGGGGAAGAAATTCCTTCATGAGATCGGGCTATCTAAGCAGGATTTCTCAGCTGCACTACATAGTCAAGATGTCCTAGTCCGTGAATGGGCTATGGAGGTTCGAGATGCCTACCAAAGTCTTCGAAATCACCCTGATCCAAGAGTTCAAGAAGTTTGGATCCAGGGATTTCGAAAATTTCGAGATGCCGCTGCGAAACGCATTTACTCTCACCAGGATCAGGAAGATATCTCTAGCGATCCCGACTATTCCCTCTATTTCTTTGAAGAAGGTAGATTGTCCTACGGAAAGGGTAGTAATCGAAAATGGACTATTGAGCTACAACAAAAGTCTTTTAAGAGTGCCCAAGAATTCCTTTCCTCTGGGAAGCAAGTTGGACTCTATAGGACTGGTAAGAGGGGTATATTCGGTGTTTACTATTCTCTTTATAATATCTCCCTTTCTACCGTTTCCCACCTTTTAAAAGGGGACGGGGATACTATCCCTGAAAAAAGTGGCTATGTTCCGGGCAAATCAGTTTTCCTGAAACCGATTCTACTCACAAGACCAACCCCATTACGGTACACACAAAGAGCCTTTCTGAATGACCCAGCGAGCAGACTGATTATACTCGCGGATATCGAGCCTGGAGATGGCACGGGTCAATTCCACCGTTTAGAGACGAATTCGGAGGTAGCACCTTTGAAGTTCAACCGGCTTGTGGACCTTATGGAAGGGATTTGGTACAAGGAGTCAAGATCTTTGCCTCGTCGATGGTTCCAGAAAAGATAGTCAAGGGTGCAAACTAGCGGTTGAAGAAGGACAAGGATCTGGAGGAGTTTTTAAACCGTATCTGACGGGGGCTACCTATGTAATTAGGTCTGATGTGAAGGTTCCATAGCTATAACATTCGAGGATTTCCCTGTCGGGGTATTATGGAAGTTGTGAGAATTATTTGTTATTAAGCAAGTGTGGCCGAGTGGTTAAGGCGCTGTGTTTAGGTAATCATATAATTGACTACAAGTCCACAGTTCTAACGAGCGTGAGTTCGAATCTCACCGCTTGCAAAGTCTTTTTTTTGTTGCCCCTCCAACCATGGATGGAAAAAGAAACCAGTATGTATAGGAGAGGAAGGACACGTCAGCGGTTCAGGGGCGTGGAGAATTATTATGGTCTAGAATAGTGGTGTTCGGGCATTCAGGTGAATGGGCTGAAAGGACTAAAGAGTAGGGCGGTAAGAGGGGATTTCCTAACGAATCAAAAACAAAAAACATACAACAGTGAGTGAGTGTATGACCGTGTGCGAAGGGGCATAACGGCCAAAGGTCAAATGCCTGGATTTTCAGGCTGGATGCCCGAATTTGCCTGAATATGCCTGAATATTGTCTCATTTTATTCTGGCAGAAATTAAAATACCTGAATTATTATGACAGATACCTTAATAAGCAAAGTACCTACCTAGGTAGGTAATGAATGGATTTGAAAAATGAAGCTATTCCTACCATACAAATTTTTGTATACATCCATTTCTAGGCGTTAAAGCTATTGCGACTGAAAAAATATCTCTACTAAAAAGGTTTTTTCTCGGCGTTAACTTTAACTACGTAATTGCCCCCCTCTTTTCTTCTTCTTCTTCTTCCCCTCTACTACCCCCGTACGCCTACTATAGCCGCCGCTCGAAGCTTCTCTTAAGGTAATCTATACGTCCTTATATTTCTGTTGCCGATGCTAACGATTTGTGAGGTGGGAATAGCTTCAATTCGAGGGCTTATGCGGTCAGGGGCAGTGTTCAACGCCAGGGATTCGAAGAAAGCGACGATTTGTGAGGTGGGAATAACTTCAATTTTGAGGAATTTATTATGGTATGTGGGAATAGATTCAATTTACAGTACACGATATAGAGCGGTGGCAAAAGCGGTCTATAATTCAGGCAAATTCAGGCACATTAAGGCATCAGGCCTGAAAGTTCAGGCATTTAACCTTTGGCCATTATGCCCCTTCGCAACCGTGGTCACCTAGCGCCCACGGTTCGGCGTGGGCGGCTCGCCGCTCTATTCAGGGCACTCAGGGCAGAAATTCTGTTGGAGATCACGTGACGGTCATGTGGGGCTGTCGCCTAACAGGACTTATGTTTAGACAGTAGCTAGTTTCTCTCTCTTCCTTTGTTTCTCTCCAGAGTCTACAATATTAATTCCCTATGGGTTAACATCCTTTCTTGCGTAGCCTGCATACCATCTGACAAATTCACCTACCTGAATATTCCTCACCCGAATATTCAGCCCGTATAGCAAAAGGTACATTTCTCATCATGACCAAAAAAAGCTACAATACTTGCTATAAGTACCCAAAAAAAATCAAAAAGCACCGGGCGCGGATCGAACGCGCTACCTCGCGATGATTGCTAGATTTGCAATCGCACGCTCTACCAAATGAGCTACCGGTGCTCTTATTTTTGAAGAGAGGGATCTCTTTGGATTAATAAACAAGCCTAAGAATTTCTATTTCAGGACGGCTTGCTTACAAAGCTCTACGTAACGTATTTCACCACCGAGCGGTCAACCCTAAAACACCATAGTAAATGCGACATTTTACAACTTCATATAACAGCAACTACGTTATTATTTGATTTAGTTCTTACTCGATAGCTATTGATAAGGATTTCAAACACTATATATTAATTTTGAGAAAATCGAAAGCTGCATTATCACGGTATCAAAAGTTACGTTTCTTGAAACTGGAATTATATATATTTATATACAGCCCAATCATAAAGTCATAAGTGACCTTTAAACTCCTTTAGAAAAGTCATATATCACCTAAAAAGCATTAAGCCACAAAGAAAGCTCTATATAAGCAACTGTTGTTGAAATATTATGTTGTAATTTATCGCATTTACTATGTGTTTTGGAGATGGCCACTCGGGGGTAGTGGCCACTCGGTAGTGAAATACGTTAGACGGATTGATTAACTAAGATCCTAGCTAGCTAACTACAAGTAGCCTAAGAAGCCTTAGCTAAAATTCCTTAGTAAAATTGAGGCGTAACAGCACAAACATACTTACGGTCGATCTTATTTACAATACCTCCTCGAATTCCATACACGCGTAACTAGTCTCTAAATCCATCCCGTTAGACTAAGGTAGTGAAGTTATACCGCAATAAGGAGAAGGTCAACGCCTTCGTTAGGTCGGGTCCTTAAGCAGTAATCCTTCTAAAGAATAGCAAATCCTTTATAGTTTCATTCTATTCTAAGGTCTATAACTCTCTTCCGTTAGGTAGCTTTACAGTAAGAACCTCGGTCATAGTAGCAAGCCCTTTAAAGGCACTATCCGGTACCCTATAGACGATTACCTAGAAAATAAAACTTATCCTAAGTACCGGATACTCCCTAAACCAATTTTTAGTCTAATTTTATTATATTAGTTATTTCTAAATACGATAATTATAGCTCGTAAACTTATAAGGTAGTATCGTCGCGATAGCGCTAGCCTTTCAAGAATTCGGGATCAGATAAAGGTAGTTATTAAATAAGTTATTAGCTAACCTGGTTTATGAGTGGACTGTCGAACTAACTAGGGGAACTAATATAACTTAATACTAAATAAAGGCTTACGGTACGGAAATAATCTTTTGTAAGAAGTAGCAAGCTTCTATCTATATAACCCCTAAATGCTCACTAGTGTATATCAACAAGTAGGTCCTGTATAGAAGAAAAGGAGCTGATGAAATGATAGTTCCGACTGACAATATGTTACATACCAGTGACCTAGGTACCATAGTTAGAGGCTTTCGCATTCTTTTGATACCTCTTTTCTTTTAATTTCTATAAAATCATAATACATTCTATATTTTCTATGTCTTATCCAGGTATATCTTATCCTATCACATCTCGAAGCCAATCTCGTAGATCAAATGCGGAGAACTTCCCCTCGCATGGATTTAGTTGCTTTTTAGGGTTAGGCCTGGCGTCAAGGTTTCTCTTATCTTGTCTTCTTTTATTTACTTCCAAGCCGACTTTTTCTATTGATTATCTTTCTAGTGTATATAAAGATATGGAAAAAAAAAACCAATAGGAAGATATTATGCCCGTAAACCCCCTCTAGCCCTAGTTTCACCTTTTTAACCTTACTCCACTTCAAATCCGCGGTTATCTTCACCTGTCATTGCAGAATGCGAGACTCTTCCTCTTTCGGACTGCAGTATTTACAAATGTACTTTGGTGGCGTGTTATACGATATGAGAATCCATATGATTAGCTGCACCTCCGCATATTATTGGGTTACGTTACGCGTTGACTTTCCAAGGTTGTACTTCATATCATCCGTGTACAAATAACTCCTAGTTATCCCAATAGCTTGCAGGAGCCAACTATTTATATGCCTACTACTATCCAACTCCAGACAACGTCTACTAGACATATATATCCCTTATAACTATTGACCTGGTGCCGTCACCATGAATCTGAAGAAGGAAATTAACCCTTCACCTTCTTCCCCCGAGACCATGAAAAGGGCACAATCGAGAACTTCGAACTAGACCGTCTAGGCTATAAACAAGAACTATGTCGCAATCGATCAGTCCTAACTCTCCTCTTCCAAACCCTCGCCATAGCAGCAATCCCCTACGGCGAAGGTTCCGCGCTCCTCTCCGCCATCTACGGCGGCGGTCCCCTCTCAATCTTCATAGGCTGGATAGTCGTTTGCGTCCTCGACCAATGCATCGCCTTCTCCCTCGCCGAGCTCGCCTCCCGCTACCCAACATCCGCAGGCCCCTACTACTGGACCTTCCAAATCTCCCATGGCAACAAAACAACCCTCTCCTTCATCAACGCCTGGATATGGCTAATCGGAAACTGGACCATAACCCTCTCCGTAAACTTCGGCTTCGCTTCCATGCTCTCGGCAACAGTCTCAATCTACCACCCAGACTGGTCAGCATCCAGCTGGCAGCTCCTACTAATCTTCTACGCAGTTTGCCTCACTTCCCTGACAATCTGCATCTTCGCAAATAAACACCTCCCACTAGTCGACACCCTCTGCGCATCATGGACCCTGCTCACAATAATAATCATCCTAATCGCCCTCTCCGTCAAAGCAGATACGGGCCGCCACTCACCATCATACACCCTATCCCACTACGACAAATCCTTCGCCGGCTGGGGAAACTTCACCTTCTTTATCGGCCTCCTCCCGGCTGCATACACCTTCTCCGCAATAGGAATGGTCACCTCAATGGCAGAAGAATGCGCAGACCCAGCGGTGAAAGTACCCCGCGCAATAGCACTCTCCGTCCCAGTCGGCGGAACAGCCGGTCTATTCTTCATCATCCCCATCTGCGCAACCCTGCCCCCACTCCAAGATATCATCAACGCCCCAGCAGGCCAGGCCCTCCCCTACATCCTAGCTCGCGTAATGGGTTCCCCCGCTGCCGGTCTCGGCCTCATCTCCCTCGTCCTGGTGATAACAGTCTTCTGCTCGATTAGTATAACCGTGGCCGCATCGCGCGCGACCTGGGCCGTCGCTCGTGATGACGCCATTCCGCTAGCGAAAGTATGGGCGCGTGTCGATGAGCGCTGGGGCGTGCCTGCTTGGGCGTTGCTTTTGTTGACGGGGATTCAGATGTTGCTTGGGTTGATTAATCTCGGGAGTTCCAGTGCGTTTACCGCGTTTGTTTCGGTGGGTGTTATGGCCCTCGCGGCGGCTTATGCTATTCCTATCTTTTTGAGTTTGTGGCATGGTCGTGAGGAGGTTGCTAAGGCGCCGTGGACTTGTGGTGGGGTTTTTGGGAGGTTTGTGAATGTTGTTGCGTTGGCTTGGATTGCGTTTGAGTTGGTGTTGTTTAGTATGCCGACTACTTTGCCGGTTACGGCGGTGTCGATGAATTATGCTTCGGTTGTTTTTGTTGGGTTTATGGCAATTTCGGGGGTTTGGTATGTGGTTTATGCGAGGAAATGTAAGTTTTTGGACTTGACTTGAATACTGGGGATTTTGATGCTGACAATTCATAGATTATAAGGGTCCGCCTGAGTCGGATGCTCTTGATTGAGGATGCGATTTGTACAATTTTGTTGACAATTGCTGTTCATTCTTATTAATTACGGGATTCGGGCTTAGGTTGATAATTATAATGGATTTTTAATAGTGATATTGAACCCCCAAGCCCCTGAGACGGTGATACATTAGCTCAGAAGCACCTGGCCGCGTTTTCACTGCTCATACCCCTGCCCTGGGATAATCTTCTTTTCATTGAAAAGGAGATGATGAATCAAATGACCCCCAACGTGAGACTCGCTGTAGAAGGGAGCATGCTCGCCAGGGACAAAAAGGTTGGCCATGCAATCAAAACGTCAGTGCGTGAAGATTAGTACGGCAGGCGGGCTATACGTGAGCTTCATCTTACCCTTAGTCTTCTGAGGCAGCTAGGCAGTCCTAGATAGATGTTTGAACTTCTCTCTCTAGTTTGTCTCCGCCCTTAACATGTTGGAACGTTCAGAGCTGGCAGAGCTAACTCCGTTCTACACGAGAAAGTATCAATACAAGCAAGTTAGAATGTGTTTATATATTGAGCATCTAAGATTGGATGGAGACCTGGTATTTAAGGGGGCAACATGGCCAATTGTTGCTACAGATATAGCAAATAGAGAGACTGAGACTTGAGACTTGGGAAACTGTGAGATATTTAATTTGCTATGGGTTAGTTACGTAGTCGCAGCTTCTTTTTAAGACAGGATGTCTATAAATTCAGACTTTTTTCACGCAGTATTAGCACACGCAAAGCTAGCGCTGCCAGGGTTGTTATGGATGGCCGAGCCAGAAGCATAGAGACCAAGAACACACTAGTTAAGTCAAGATTAGTTAGCTAAGTGTTCACAGCTATCGATGAGAGAATAAGAGATACTCACTAGAGTGATACCAACACCAATCGCGAACGTGTTAAGTAATGTCAGCATGATTTTCTTAGGAGAAGAAAACCACAGCCCTTTATTCATGTGTAGCCAAAACATCCCGGTAAATCCAAAGGTAAACCAACTACCAAACAGTGCAGTCTGTTGATTCAAGCATAGGTTAGACGTATCGATTTCAAAGATAATGCACAGCCAATACTTACAATTAAGCTGAGAAGGTTGTTGAAGACTGGGATCGCTTCAGCGATTACCCAAGCGATGACCCAAAGACCAAATGCGATACCAACCCAGGAACCCATAGACACCCAGTCTCTTTTGTGCATCCGGTCAGTGCCAGCAAAGATGCGGACGTAAAGCGATTTGGCTGCAACGTGGCCGTTGATGACTCCAGCAATCACAATCTTCTACGGTCAGCTTTGATACTTAAACACGGAAAGTAAATCTCACTGTAGGAAGGGCGATTCCATAGGCTATCCTGGAAATCAACAGTCCAGCTGAGCCTAGGGCAGGGGAGGCAACATCTGCCCCAGTAAAGCGATAAATAACAACCGCGGCGACGATGTAAAGGGTCATATCAATCGACTGTAGAAGTGCAAGAGCCTTGGGGAAGTCTTTTGGGTCCTTGAGCTCTGCCATGAATGTGAAGAAGGTATTGTGGCTGACTATAGACGGTTAAGCTGATATTTTTGATTTCGTTTCTAGTCGTGCTCACCATATGAGAATGCGATGTTGCAGGCCGACATAATGCCAGTGACAAGGTTGGCCTCAACAACTGGCTTCACAGCTGCACCATCGTTTTGTATTCCGAGGGCGATCATCGTAACCATCACGGCGGTGAAAATACTAATGAACGCTGATCATAGTTAGAATTTAGGAATTGTAGATCAGACACAGATAGTTTTGTAACTCACAGACAAGTGAAAGCCAGGACATTTTCTCAAGAGTTCGAGGAAGAGAAAGGATCAAAGATAGAATCAGTCCAACAACACCGAACACAATGGAGCAGGTGCCATGACCAGTAATAGAATTGAGAGCCACAGTGAAGGTCAAGATATGACTGGCCATAAGGAAGATTAGGAAGAGCAATTGACCAGTTCCAAGCAACTCTCGACCGAACGGACCCATCAGCACCTCACCGGCATCAGCCATACTCGAGATATGAGGATATCTCCATTTGAACTGTCCAATGACATAACCTGTGTAGGTAGAGAGTAGCCCAAGGCCAATGAGAATGATAAGCCCCGGAACCAGACCTATCCCAGCTATAGCAGCTGGTAAGGAGAGAATTCCTAGGGAGATGGTTTCGGCAACCATTAGAAGACCTCCTTGCCTAAGACCATCAGTAAACGAGAGGGGAATTTTTATACTTCGTCACATACCACCATTTCAGAACCTTGTACTTGATTTCTGCATTTGTTTCATCCCCAAAAGCATCCTGCCGGTGTTCAATAAGATCAGGCTTTTCTAATTCTCCATGTAGACTTTCTGCATCTTGAACTGTCGGCTCAGTCTCGATGGGACTGGGTAGGTCAATAATTTCCGATCTCATATTGAAAGTCTTTATAATTGAAGATTAGGGGTATGAGGAATTTACATTTTAAGCAAAATGGATATCGCCAAGTAGAGATATAAAAGTCAGAAGGAAAGGCATTCCCCTAGACCCCGGGGGGTTTTGCGGGGAAGCCCAAAGATTGCCAATCTCCTTCCATTTACAGATAGTAAAATCACTACATACAGTAGACAGTGATAATGAGCAAGATCCCATCGACGCCCTTATCTGTCTAGACAGAATCCATTCGCTGGCTTTTATCTAGGATAAGAAATTATAGGAAATTAGGCCGATGGACTAGTCCTTCAATTGAATGATTTGGATTAACTACCTTAGTCAACCTAGTACTTATTTGATGAGCTCCCCAGACGTTTACCCCATTTTTCTATTAAACCTCATTCTCGTAGATAATCTACATATGTGATTATTAGAGTTGACTATTGTAATAGCCCGTTCGGAATCACCTTCCTTCCCGAGAACACTCTTCTCTTTCGGAGTTTCGGCATCCATGGCCAATTCCTAGCGTCATTATCTAAAAAGTGGAAAAGAGATAGCGCATTTGTATCCACTATACCCACGGCTGTGACAATGGGGATCTACGAGAGAACTTTAACAACAGCAGCTCCCTCGGAAAACGGAAAAGCAGGCAAATTACAGATTTATACCGAGGGTATTACTTTGATAGTAACACCTCCAGAGGGCAAGTGATTCCGATATGAAGACACATGTTCAGTAGGAGAAGATATTATACTAGCATGGGCCCCGGAATGACCTGTGGTAGAACACAGACTCGTATGCATATTCACGCTCTTAACTGCTAGTTAGTTAGTGGATGAATCGAGAACGCTGTAAACGTAGATCCTTGAAGGTGCAAATCTTTAGATATAGCCTTACCTGCCAGTTCTTTCAAGTAAAATAGCGCATGTCATTTGTAGTATGGCAATATATTGGACCATTTAGTGGTAGTTATGCAACTTTCTCCTATGTTACCTAAATCCATCCATGCCGGATGACTGATATGCTGACTAATTTGTAATATTTCAAGGCTCTTACGTCTTTTCTGGTAAGATACCCGTAAGATAAAAATAGCGGGGTTTTGTGGGGTCCCAGCCAACCCTGGAACCCAAGAGCCTCTAATTTAAGGTTAAACTTTCTCCTGCTGGGCCGGTTATGTAAACTAGTACTAACTACCTAGGTACCTAGGTAGTTATGTACTTCAAGGCTATTCACTGGACCTGTAGACCCTTCTAGCTTATGTCAAACCCATATATAGCCCTGGAGCTGGAAGTATTGTACTTATTGATCCGTTGGAAACCAATAATTCTCACTCCTGTTGAACTCCCTCTGTCATCGCACATGATGGCTTCATGCACCATAATAGGTGGTTTTCCCAGTACAATCCTAGCACTCGCAGGCTTCAGCAGTTTGACCGCACATGTTCTACTCTACCGTCATGGAGAATAAGATCTTAAGGCCCCGCTCCTTATAACCTCATTCATCTTTCTGTTTATAAGTGCTACACCTGGAACAGGACAAGCAAAATGATCTCCCACTTGGTGCGCCAAGTCAATTAGCCGCGAAGCTTTTAGGTACCACATTTTGGGTATCTACACGAGTATGCCCTTCTACCGAGCCTTCTTACATCGTCTGTCACGATTCCAATGCTAAAGTTTCCGAGCCACATGTGGCGAATTGAGAGGCTGTAACTAACTAGTTATTGAGTATAATAATACATGTAGGGGTTGTATAGTTAGAAGGGATTTTGAATATTAACGATCTATCAAGATCTTCCAAGGTTGAGACCAACCCTTTCACCTCTAGAACTTGTCCAATATTATGTTCCAGTCTAGGTTGTATTAACAGTATGTCCACCTTCCCATAAGCCCCATGTATAAACCTGCCAAACCAAATGGGTATCTATGCAAAATACAATTACAAATCAGTTTTCCTCTTTCAAGCGCAAACGCTTCACGTCTCCTGACTCGGGTCTCGATAACTTCCTTTTCTGGGGTCGTGATCGCTTAAGTGGCCGAGTATGCAACGTAGCACGGTGAAAGTCGATAATCAACGCTCGTCCAAGCTCCTTATTCCAAAGAATATTGTCATATCGAAGATCATCATGAATAACGCCCAACCCTTTGATTTCCTTCGTCGATCTCCGGATTTCCCGGCTAAGCCATGGCTCTATCTCCATCTCTGCAGTGCTTTCGCCGGCCCAGCCCATGACTAACATATGTCGAATCTCTCCAGCCCGGTATAGAAAATAGATTTTGGCTAAATCGATTGTACCGAGGAAAACCGGCACCGCTGAAGCTTGTGCTCTCCGTAGGATTCGATATACCTGCGCTTCGCTAGAGACTTGTTTCCATAGGTTCGATGTGGTTCCTTTCCCGACGACTGTATAACCATATACGATGCAAGTCAGTTTGAACGGTGCACCGTATGACCCGCAACGTCCGAACGGTATGCATCGGTCGATGTTATCGTCCAGTTGTTCATTTAGTAAACGTACTAAATCATCCGAGGTGATAGGGTGTTTGACGTCATTTGGGTCCCGACGGTGAAGCTTTACGTTTGGACAGTCGTCATCTAGGTTACCCCCGGTTTGCAGCCCGAGGAGACATCTTTGGGTGCAGAATTGTGCATCCCGACGGGACTGACTATCTTCATATCTCCTAGCGTCTTCCATCCGATCCGCTCGCTGGGTAGACGGGGAAGATGTGACTTGGCTGAAGCCCCGTTTTCGTCCCATTGCTTGATTAGAGTCGGAGCCTGACGAGTCTGGCGACTGCGCGCGGTGTCGGTCATTTTGGGGCGTACAGGTTCCTCGAGACCTTAAAGTCATTCGACGGCCCTCTGCTGCCGGTTCCGTCGGAGATGCTGGGGGGATGACGAAGGATCATAAGCCGAACCGGATTCCGGACTCGGGTACTCTGGGCACGTGCCATCAGAGTTGGGAAGAGGTGGTTGTCCGGGGGCCTTAGCATCGCTGCGTTTAAGGTTGGATTCCCAGATATGAGAACTATTGCGGGCACGATCCCTCCATTCATTGTCACGTATAGATGAACCGAATGCCATTAAGCATAGACATAGCACTCTGGCAATAGAAGTCTTTGGCTCTTGGAACCCATTCTCGGCTTCCATGTCCACTTCTAAATTGGGATCACAAAAGTGATAGTAAAGGGTGCTAGGTTTATCACGGGGGACACGAAGAAGAACACGGACGATCCCAGTCGTCAAGTAGGAGTACTCGAGTCCCAACTGAATCATCACATGATATTCTTGAACAATAGCGGAGCAAACGAGTCGCTCTGCATTATACCTTAACTTCGCTGCCTCTTCCGTCGGGAATTTGTTTGGCCAGACTATTTCTTTATACAAATCCATCTCCCGTAGTCCTAGGCGACAGTCTTCCACGGAAAGCTTGTGAGGCGGCTTATATTCGGCTGTGGTAAGGATGGTGTGAGTGTTGCCGTCGACCCGGTTGATAAAAAAAAAGGAATCGGGTTTTGGGTTTTCTATTTCCGACGGCTGACTTGCACTCTCTTCGGTGCCTTCATCCGCCTCGAGTAAGTTTTTATGACTGTCAAACATGATCCCATCTCCAAGTCCAAACTCCTCTCGCGCGGCATCAATGTTGCATAGCTCCAGGATTATGTTATGGACATAATTCTCCACGCCATTTCGTTCGTAGTTCTGGAGGGCTTGCTCGCTGCTCATTGACAGAAAGCCGAATTGTTTTGCATTTTCTTCGAGGGCATTCAGCGGTGCAAAGAATCGTGCTTGGCCCTCCTCAGCTGGCTGTAGATAGTTGCACACGGACGCGTAGATCTCTTGCTGTCGAGCTGAACAGTCTGTCCACACTTCTAGTCGCGATGGACAATATTTTCCGTCTGGAGTGGGTATTTTCCCTGTAGTCGACTTAGATGGCAATGCAGCTCTCAGCGGCCGCGATAATAAGTTGTGGCAAAGTCGGATGAGTTCCGCGAAAGTTGTTGGACGGTTGCGCTCTCTTTCCAATCTCCCTTCATCCTCTGCCTGCTTTCGACTCTCTTCTGCCTGCTTCTGGCTCTCCTCTGCCTGCTTCTGGCTCTCCTCTGCCTGCTTCTGTCTCTCTTCTGCCTGTTTCCGTCTCTCTTGCTCCTCCAGAAAGAGTTTCTTGTAGTCGGGTGAGCTGGCCATGGAAGCGTTTAGGAAGGACTTGAAGGTTCAGGAAGATGAGGCTAAGGGGGGATCGAGACCCACAGGTGGACCAGTGGAACCAATGTGGGTCATTTATCAGCGGATAGGCGAAATTATTATCCGGGAAACTTTATACTTCCGAGGTTCAATACCTACATACTCAGGTAGTTATCTTAGTTAACTACGTGCTTATTTACAAAGTAACTAGTTAACTAGTTAACTAGTTAACTAGGGAAAAGACGTCAAAACATAATTAAAAAAGACATTATGGCATACATGACCAAATATTCTTGTCAAACATTAACAATCACGTAGGTACTCCGGATAAGACACAGAAACAGAAAACTACGTTCCATATATCGGGAAGGGAGAAAGAAAGACGGATGAAGGGCCAATTGATACGCATTAGATACATGAGTGCACACAAGTTTATTTCTATTTAATAAGAGAGAGAAAAAAAGCAACTATCAAGATGTCTGGAGGGACCATTCAGTTGGCTTGTAACAACCAGGGGACCAAAAGATACCTTGAAGCCATGAATGTTCGATCAATTCCCTCGGGGTCTTTCGATCTCCTGGTCGCCAGGTAATCATTCCCTTCATCGAGTCCAAGAACATCTGTTAGAGATAAAGCAGTAGGACTACAATAAGAGAGTAATATAATATCCTAATATGTTTCCCGAGTCAAAACATCCTACAAAAGGCACCACATACTTACAATTAGATGCAACTACCTGTATAAGAACAATATGGATTAGTTATAGTTAGCAACTCTATGACCAAAATCACTCTCGATCAGCAAGAATCCCCTCCTCAGTCTCACTCCCACCCCTCCGGCGCCTAGGAACACCCTCATTCATAGAATTAACCTGCTTCGGAACAGACACCGAAACCGAAGCATCACTCGGTCTACGCCGTCTAACAAGCTGATATCCCCTATCAAGCTCAATCTCAACCGCCTCTCGGACCTTCAGCGCACTAATCGCTGGCCAAACCCCCCTCTCTCCCTTAAGCGCCCACTCAGAGACGCGGTCTTTCGTTGGACTTTGGAATAGTTTCCTCAGATCCCAGAAACACAAGTCTGGCACGAGAGTTAGGTTCGGCCCAGGGATGGTCTCGTCAATGAGGAGTCTGCTCAGTGGGGCTGGCAGCACGCCTAGGTAGTCGAGTTGGCGGAGCCGGTGGCGTAGTTCGACGATTATTAGTCGCATTGCGGAGCGGGAGAGGTTGTTCCAGCCTGTTTGACGTCGGTCGAGGAGGTTCAGCTCTGACCGCAGGAATGGGACTAGGTATGGTCGAGCTTGGGAGACGATAAAGTGGTTTACGTTGAAAAGTTCTGAGATTCGTGAGAGGGGGGATTCGCCTTCGTTGTATTGGACGTGTCGCCAGGGTCGGAAGACTGCGTCTTGTGTGTGGGGCCATGGGATTATTGTGCCTGTTTCGTCTTTGCAGTAGATCGTCACTGGTGAGTAGAGGCCTGAGGAAGAGGCGTTAGATGCTACGGCTGCGGACCAGATGAGCTGGAAATGGTGTTAGATATCACTGACACCGGAAAATAGGGGAGAAATACATACCACATTCGGCGCAGTCAAGTAATTCAACAGGTTTGGCGTCCCATTCTTCCCCGTCGTCGCAACGGTGATGTTCAAAATGCGCTTCGACCTCGCATAGGCCTCTTCGAACGTAAGATCCCCAACATTAGCCCGAACACATTCCTCCAAAACACCAACGTCAAACAAATATCCCTTCCTCAGCAACCTCCTCATCCTTCGATAAAACGTCCCAACCCAACTAGAATCAGAGTTGCCCCCATCCCCACCATTCACCATCTTCCGCCTCTCAAAAGCAGAAAGATCAATCCCCTCCCCATCAAGTAACGGCAATAACTCATCCTCGGAATGAATCCCCACAAGCGCGGCAATCATCGCCCCAGTCGCAGTGCCCGTAATGATCCGCGGCAACAGACCCTGTAAATGCAGTGCCTTCACAACACCAAGGTGACACAGTCCGAACGCAGACCCGCCCTGCAGCAGCAGTGTCGTCCGCCCAAACGCCTGTCGCGTGTCGTGCAGCAGCTCCAGCTTCGCTTGCGAGCTAAACCCGCTCGGGTGCATCGGTGCTCCTGGCACCGATGTCACGTACTGGATTGACAGCGCTACTTGCGTGATGTAATCGTCAATTAAAAGCTTGGTCCCTGCGTACGCGTGCGTAAATAGCTTCGTGCTGGTTATATTGCCCAGATTGCGTACTAGCCCCGAGCGGAGCAGATTGACTAGTGTTAGAATGTCTTCTGACTCTCGCGCGCTCATCAGTGCTTCAAGTCGGCCAAGGATTAGTCGGTAGTCGTAATGGCGGCTGACGGGGTTTTGGCGCCTGCGTAGGTGGTTAGATGGTGGTTTGGTACATTGGGTTTCAAGTCGGGTTCGGTTGATATCATACCATAAATCTTTACTTTGTAGCTCGTCGAGCTCAAATGCCGCCTCTTCCCACTCCTCGTAGCTCTGCGCGTTGGATAGCGTATGGAAAAGCCGATCTCGAGGGGATTTGGAATGCCACCAGGATAATAGTTTCTAGGTGACATTTATTAGCTCAAGATCAGATCGAAAACAGAATCCAATGTTATGTCTTGTGTCTCTTTGATCTTTTGCCATCTCAGGCTCAGAGCTCTCCCCGCATACAAGACACCCGGGCTGGGATTGGAGAACAATACTCACGTCTCTCCAGAACTGAGCAACATCAAGCACCATATTCCAGATCGCACCAGCGATCTTCCATAGTCCGAGCCACCAGGATCCCATTTTTAATTATTCGAGGGATATGTCTGCGTTGTGGCTGGTGGAGGGAGAGGTGCACATGCGGGCCAGGGTATTCGCTTTCACATGCTACAACGTCACGCACGTTACACCAGGGAATTGGAGGTTGAGATCGAGGTAGTGAAAATCGATTGATAGGAGATCGAGTGGTCAATTGTGATATGTATTCGAGTGAAGCTGAGTTATGGAGATGAATAGGGCTCGATTGGTTCTGAGGAAGGAATTGTGTTGGAAGGTTGGAGAGTTGGAGAGTTGGAGAGTTGTACCAGGTCGATCCAGATTCCCCCGGATCTTCTTCATCTTCAACTACCATCTGCCCCGTGACAAATACATATAGTACATACATAGTTATCTCTCTCTACTTAATACTTATAGTATTAAAGTAATGAAGTATAATGGAATTGCCACGGGCGCACATTTCTACATGCCACATACAAAGACGTTATTCGCGTAAGGGAATCAGTGAATTTCAAAAGGGTCGTTTTGTTTTTGACATTTCGCTTTGCTTCCCTATATGCAAGTAGGCGAAATTAAAGAAACCTCTCCCGGACACCCCATACATTCCCAAGCAGTACATTTACTCTTCGATGATGTTGCCCTTCTCCGACACGTAAAGACCGTCCAAGAACTGCAGGTGGTCAGTATAAATTCAGAGACTCGGGTCATCCCAGTAAAAGCAATTATGTTCGTATAACTAACCTTACGGATATCCTTGTTACGGACACGGCAGATCTGCTGGATGTCGGCGGCGGACTGGGACACACCCTCGAGGGAGTTACCGGTGAGGACGAGCTCATCCTTGACGTTGGCGGAGGGAGCAATGTCGACATCGGGCTGGGCAGTGATGCGGCGGACGTACTTCTCACCGAGGAAGTTGCTGATGACAAAACGTTAGCGCGAGTTCCTTCACAACTGACTTTCACGGTATATTTCCGAATATCATATCGAGAAAGAAAAAGACGTAGGTTCGAGGGTTCCATACCGGATCTCCACAATAGAGCGGCCAGTCTCTTGGTTGGGCTCAATGTTGACGTTGATGGGGAAGTGAGCGTAGACGTAACGCATCTTGTACTTGAAGCCACGGGTAACACCGATCATCAGGTTGTTAATGATGGTGCGGACGGTACGGAGGGTAGCAACACCCTTGCGGGCACCGTGGTGCAGCTCGATGGAGATAACGTTCTGCTCGGGGCGGCCGAAGGTGACGGCAATGTGGGAGAGATCCTTGACGAGCTTGCCGCGGGGACCCTCGACAGTCACGACGCGGGAGCGAATCTGGACCTTCACTATAGAGCAAAAAAAGATTCGGGTTAGTTCAAGGCCATTTCTTTTTTTTGTGAAATTCAATATTTTGAAGAATCAAAATCAAGAATTGTCCGGTAGATGTGCGAGTCGCCGATCCCACACAACATTCCCTCCTGCTTCCGCTGCATTGATGCTGGGTATTGATCGTATGTCGTGCTAGGCTTGTGTGTTGAATTTCGTGCCCTCAAAAGAGAAGTTGTATTGTGTGCGACCGGCTTCCTCCCATCATAAAAAAAAAAAGAAATTCGCTCACCATTGTCCAGAATGGGCAACCGTTCCTCGGAGTGAATGTACCGCATCTTGACGTGACTTTTGGTGGTTGCCGGGGGTGTAGATTGTCGATGTCGGGGAGGTTCAAAATTCGAATGGACTTGGTGGTGGAGCGAAATTGGATGTCACGGGGTTGTGCGTCGCTTAGGGCCATTTTGGGTCTAGCGCAATTAGGGTTCCTTATCAGCTTATCGTCTTATCGTGACTTGTACCAGTACTTGCTCCACCGGTTTTAATTGAGTGATTGCCAAGTAAAGGTACATGTGGTAAATATTAAGCTGGAGCCTGGAGTTCCTGAGCAAGTTCACTACTATGTACAATGCAAATAAGCTGCAACAACCATATATCTCCCCCTCCCGCTGATTTTCTGCCAGCTATGAGCTATGGCTATCAAAATTTGAAACTTATTTTACAATACTAACCTCATAGTGTTTTCTCAACCTCCTGGTGCGACACATCCACGATCCATTTCCCGCCCATTTGTCGCAGCGTCGAAGCCAGCTCGTCGCTCTGATCCAATGCCGCAATATCGTCCCCACCACCTATACTCTTCCCGCTCACGAGCACATTGGGCACAGTGCGACGCCCCGTACTCTGCGCAAGCAGGGCCTGCAGATACGGTCCAAGCGGGTGTTTATCCAATTCGACGACGAACGGTTTCGGCTCAATAGAGTAGTGCTCCAGCAAAATCGACTTGGCTTTCTTGCTGTAGGGGCAGTAGGATTTGGAGAAAACGATGACTGGATGCGGTTAGTCTTGGATACGGCCAAGAAATGGACAATGGGAAACAGAAACATACCTGGAGCCCGCTTAAGAATCGCATTAAGCTCTGCCGTCGCCTCGGCCTCTTTCTTTTCTTTCTCCTCACGCTCTCTTTTTGCTTTTTCTTCGCGCTCCTTCTCCTCTTCGCTCTTCATATCCGATTGGACCTCTGACGGTGTATCCTGGCTCCCCTTCTTGGGAATGATCATCTTCGTCCGTCCGGCAATCGGGATCTCCTCCATATCTTCATTCCCTGTAGCAGGAGGAACGGCAGCTTTCTCGACCTCAGCGATGGGCACCTTATCACCTGCGCCCGCGCCCGCAGCGCCATTCTGTCCGGGTGCATGCACAGGTTGCTGGATCTTCTCTTGGGCCTTGGCCTGTTTGGCTTGCTCTTTCGCTTTCATTGCGTCGAGGGTTGACCGATAAAACTTTTGATTTTGGATTTTGCTTGCATCGCCCTGTTGATTCGATTGCATCGTATCAGATATCTGAAGAAACGGGGCGAAAGAGGGAGATCTAGGGACGTACAGTGTAGTAAAAGACCATGAAAAGAATCGCGATGACCGCAATGACAATTAGTCGAAGCCGCCGATGTGAAGAAGGCATGGAGAATTGTGCTTATAACCGTGTGGCTTGTGATTTGAATCAAAAAAAAAAAAAAGTTGATTCCAAAATGTTCAAGTGAAGTTCGAGGTGACGTGTTTCCAGAAGCCAAGAATTCCTCCGTTCCCGGCAGATCTAACAATTTAGGATATTGGGAGCACTCGGCACTTGCGCATCTGATCCAAAATCTTCCAAACCTGACAATTAAAAGATCAAAAGCCCCAAACAGGTCAGGAGAAGTGGGGTCAAGGGGCCAAGGGCATGTTATCCCTGATTTGCGGGTTTGCCCCGTCTGAGCGCTGATGCTTGGCGGAGCTATGATGTACATATTATGCTTGTTTTATACGAAGTATGTCGTACTCTTATTTGAATTTTTACTATGGAGATCAAACTGAATTATCAATATTGATTAGAATATGGCATGACTGGGTATTATGCTAAATCAGACGGGCTCTTTTGTTCAAAGGTAAAACCCATGTCGACAGTAAATCATAGAGAGGGCATGAACCTCGCACCAGTAGGTGTATGTGGATGGGTAAGAAATAGGGTAAGAATAAATGATAGGATATAGAAGTTCAAGGGAGTAGGTCAGAATAGTGAGGATCGCAGACCAGCTGCGACCAAGCCTGTGTGGAAACGAGAGTGAGGGTAATTAGTGGAAGATACGCCACCAGGGCTGAAGGTGTAGTAGATGTCGAAGACATCAGATAAAGGGGGAGACTGGGGGGATCAAGTTTGAATCGGGACACCAGGCCGTGTAGCATGGCTGGCAGTGGCTCGGCGTTTGCCTTGGACAAGGATCGTCCAGTCCTCCCACTCCTTGGCAATCTCGGTCAAGACATTTCCCATGACACCAGCAGATGCCATGAGGCCGTGGCCTTCCCCTTCAAGGATCCGGACCTCGCAGCGGCGCATTGTCTTGCCAAGCCACTGGACATTCTCCACTGGAACACGGGGGTCTTTGCTTCCATGATGGATCACCACTGATCGTGTGATGTCCACGTAGCGGAACCCAATCGTTTGGCGACGCTCGAGGCAGACCAACAAATCAACCGCCGGTTTGGCGTTGGTAGTAGCCAGCTCCCAGATCCTGTAGGTGAGACGGGTATCATAGTCATGCTGCCGTTCGACTTCGTCTTCTGGGGACTTTGCGCGAGAGGCGAGAGTGGTATCACTTTTTCTGTGCGAAGGGATGGTCGAAGCGGACGGTTTGATATTCGGTACAATATCCACTCGCTGGGTTTGTAGGTTGTTTTCAACGAAAGGTATAGGCGGCACAGGAGGGATGGCATTCGCATTGGAAGTCTCTTTAGCGGTAGCCTTGCGCTTGGCCCGCCGTGGGGACTTGGGTAGACTGGTGGTGATGCTGGCACTAGTGGCACTCATAAAGCTTGAATTGGCCACTTTGAGAAGGGACGTGGGAAGAGCACGGAGAATTTTTTGGGAGTAAGGGACCGCGTTGGTGGGCGCAGGATCCTTCTTGGAGCCGATAGTAGACAACTGAGATGGGGGAATCCATGGAGCTAAGAGATGAATGCGGCCACGAATGTGCTGCGGGATTCGGAGAGCCGTGGCAAGAGCGTAGATTGCGCCGGCGGAATGGGCAAGAATGGAAAATTTGGTCACTCGGAGGTGGTTGCAAACGATTGCAACATCATCTGTTACTGATTAGCGCGGGGTTAGAATCTCTCGGGGTAGTCTTGCTTACCAGGCCAGCTGAGAGGGGTGGTCGGCTCGTCTCCCTGGTGCGGGCCACTCTCGCCAATGCCAGGGCGGTCCAATGTCACCAGTCGTAGATTGAGCGTCCGAGCCAACTCATCATAAAATGCCATCAGATACCGAGTGAGACCCATGCCGACACAGCAAAGCACGACATGGCCCTTCGGATCACCGACTTCTGAGAATGCGATGGAGCGGCCAGTGGTTGGGTGGATCACTCTCTGGGTCAGCCTCGGCGAAAAGATGTAGTCGTCGACAGCAAGATCAATTGAATCCGCACTCGATGGTCGTTCAGTGCTGTATGAGGGACGTCCATTCGACACATGGGACAGATGACCGGAGGGAGTGCGGCGATGGGTAGTTGGTTTGATTGGCTCGAGGGACTGCCTGTATCTAGCTCTCTCAGAATCCAGGTTTTCGGTGGATGACTTGGGCAACTGCGGTGGTAGATGGGTAGGTTTCGATGCGAGTGGTGCTCCTAGTCGGTTCGCGCTGCGACTTTTCCCTGTCATCACGTTTGGAGAAGGAGCACTCTCGTTGAAAGATGGCCGATCGCGGGCTAATCCATTCTGCATAGCCTGATCGACCTCATAGCCTAGAACGCGCGAGACCTTCGAAGCCTTTGCCTGCTTCACGGGGCTCTTCTTAGTCGGGGATTCAGGGCTGTTTCCCACTTCCAATTCGGTCTTGATCTTCTGCTGCTGTTCTTTTAACTCTTGGATCCGGCGGGTCACCTGTTCTGCGTCATTGCTCGTTCCCGGTGTGCCATTGTCTGTGTTGAACTCTTTGCTGGCCGTGGAAGAGTATCGACTATGACGACCAGACAGGTGCTTTTTCGAGCTGGACGACTGGCTATGCCGATGTCGCAGAGAGGAGTCGCGAGTTGGAATGACTCTACCGCTTCCAATTCCGCCGGGTTTACTAGCATCTGGAGTACCGTGTAACGATTGATAATCTTTAGTGGGTGGAGTACTCGCGACTTTCTCTTCGTATGGCTCTTCCTTGACATCCGCAGGACGAGCCTCCTCTGTAAGTTCCGCCATTGAATGTAATGAGCGCAAGCTTGTTCGGTTGCGCGGGACGTTATGTCGTAGACTGTCGTTGTAGCTGGTAGTTTTTCGCAGGCGTTCGACATGTGGATCCTTTTCACCCATGAATTCTCGTGATGACCTCTTCAATAGACTAAATTGACCCTTTAGGCTTTTTGTCCGCCCTGCAGAACTATTCGAAGCAATACTCGGGGTTGACATGCGGGGGCCAGGCTCTGTGCTGATCGTTCCGAATGAGGAAGACTCTGGGGCAGCCGTCACAGATGTATAGGATTCCCTTGAGGCTGGGCGAGTGGAGCATGAGTCGGTCGTTCTGAAATGTTTGAATCTCGGCGATCGAGGGGACTTTGGTGACGGGGGTGCCCTAGCCATGCGAATGACAGGGGACGATGCCGCATCGTCGGGGTGTAAAAATGGGGTTTCCGATAGCGCGGGTGGCTCAACCGCTGGCTTGTAGGCACCGTAACTCATTCCAAACCCATGTTGCTCGGACGAAGGAAGGGAGTGAACTGGAGCTGTGCGTGGTACTTCCGGTAATGCTGGATCTGATTCGGTATCGAACTTTGGAACGGTGTCAAAGTGCGAGTTTAGAGGCACGGAGATGGTAGAAAGGGAGGAAATGAGGGAGGAAATGACTTCAGGCGAGGTGGGATCAGTTCCATGGCGTGAAGGCAGCGATTTACGACGGCGACGACGACTAAGCAGGGCCGATTCTGCCTGGATGGGGTTTTCATTCGACATAGTTCAATAGTCTAAGGGTTACACCCTTGGAACTAACAAACTTCAAGGATCGGATGCAGGTTAAAAATGGGTACACGCATGATCTACTGCATGCGAAAGATGGTTTTGATAAGGGTTTCTGGTTCATAAACACAATTTCCCCCTTACAATATTTGAGATGTTGAGATAATAATAAAAAAAAGAAGATTGAAAGTGAGTGAATGTAAGAAAATTAAAAGAAGGGATCCCGGTTATACCGGAGGGGGTGAAAAGAAAGAAAAGGGAGTCTTATTATTTTTTTTGGAGATCTCTTAGCGTTCACGCCTTTTCTCCACTGGGGGGGATCTTAATTTGCCGATAACACTAGGTGGATGTAGGGGGAGTAAGAAATATATGATAGAGTACGAAGTACAGATATAATAATATAATATAACTAGTTATAAGATTCTTTATTATCAACCGTAAGGTCCAAGTATTTGAGATTCCACGTGGATTCCAAATTACTCTCCTTCTGGAAGAACCCCTTAATAGGCGTTTAATAGGCTCGATAGGCTGACTATACGAGGATGATGCTGATCAAACTCATATTATAGAATATATAGAATACGAAATAAATATCCAGCTGATATCCAATTAATTTGTTATGTGTTTCAAGTTCTATAAATGTGAATATAAAATAGAACGTGAAATAGTATAAACATAGAAGAATAGGGCTAAACAAATATATATAGCAGATCTATATATTCGGACAGATAATTGCCAATCATAAGCTAGACACCAATTAAACGTCTGATATTTACCACACTGTATTAGTTTATTTGCATATATCTATTTTATGCAGATATCTAAAAAAACATTGAATCTAAACATGTCAAAATACTAATAATACAATCCATCAATGGTCAACTAACTACGGAGTACTCCCTGGCCACCTGATCGATGTAAACATAGTTGACCGCCCATCATCGCCAGATGGCAGTATCCCCCAACCATTGCCTAGTTATCTTACCCCAAAACATCATTGAAACTCCAAACGATATTTGGGCCTTACTCTCGTTAACAGCCTAGTTATTTATATCTTGCTCCTAAAACCCCAAGGTTTCCACTTATCCTCTAGACATGAGGTGACTGCGCTGCGAAACAGCCATTGCCCGCAATGGACGCCTACCCCGAAGACTACATCAATCACAATCTGCCTCTAATCCTACTCTCAGGACTGGAGGCAGATTCTGAAAATGACACTGAAACATTCTCAAGCTATCCTCTGCTACTAGAGAAGGGGACTCATATCTTCTCAGATTTCCCACCTCTGAGCGGGGCTGTTGCGGAGGAGCTCCGGAACATGATTCTAGAGGAAGATAGCTCTCAGATGCCATGGAAGTCCAGAGTGACTGTAAGCGGGAATACTACGATAGCAAATATTGGTTACCGCATCAAAAGTTCTGGCCGCGTATGTTGATACTCTTATGATTCCAATCGAGTTGGTTTCACAACATCGTACTGCGGACTACTTGCTAACACCGACACAGTCATGCAGACTCCCTCCACGAAAAGCTGACCCCCCCTATCCCCTCACCACCAACTACTCCCAGCGATGACCAGGACAATGAACACTCGGAATCGAGCGCACACTATGTCCTCCACTCGCCCATATCGCCTTTGTCACCGGGTTCCCCAACTTTCCCAGATGGCTTGCTCACCCCTCTATGGGTAACCAAACACCAAGATCTGGTTCCAGCAGCAGTGATCAATTTCTTCCCATTCTCATTAGACCCGAATATGAACTCGCTACGAGACAATCAGCTCAAGATCGAGATCAACAGCTTGAAAAAGGAATGGCAATCCTCCGGGTACAAGACGCGATTTGTGGTCGTTTTGATATCAGAAGAGGGAGAAGAAGGCGGATACGAGGGCGAGATTGATGATCGCATTGCGGGTATTCGGCGGGCAACAAACCTTGACTCCAGGTCGATATTTGTGATCCCACCAGACGCGATTTCCTCGGAACTGCAAGACTTTGTGAAATCACTCTTCTCTCTACTGCAACCATCGGTCGTTGAATACTATCGGGATCTGTCCAAGCATGCCAGGCGCAAACGTAACAGGGGCAGTATCCCTCCTCCGACTGCACCGCCAACGACCGGAACTTCTCAGACCCTATCATCTCAAGGCTGGAACGTACGGTATGAATTCAAGCTGGGAATCCTTGCCGAGTTTCGCCAAGAAATGGATGCAGCCTGTCGGAACTATGAGAGTGCGTATGATACTCTATTTGGACATGAAGTATTCGAAATTATTGCGGGCTGGAATCCTCGATTTAACGATGCGCGCCTCTTGGCCGACGCCCTTGCCATTCGGATTATACGCTGTCTGTTATGGACGGCTCAGACGACCGCCGCAGCTCGGTTTTGGGTAGACCACAGAATCCGTGTAAAGGATATTGTCAATCGCAGAGGAAAGGGCAGTAAACACTACGGATGGGAGGCCTGGGAGGCGCGCTGGTCGATGGTAATGGCACAGCTTATCCGCCGAGCAGAAATTCCGTCTCTTTCCAGCGAGATCTCTTCTGAAAAGCCTGGCGATCTCTATACTTTACCCGAGAAATCGATTCCAACCGGGGAAAGAATCAGACCCTGGGAACATCTCCACCACGAGGGCTACTGGCTGCACCGCTCAGCGAAACATACAATGATCCGACGTGCGCTTGCCCATGAAATTCCCATGGAAGACCGCAAGGCCCCCGGTCAATCACCCGCCTCACAACTTGCGAACAAATCCTACTTGTACGACACATATCTTGTTCCCGATACTCATGTGGAAACACCCCAAGAAGGACGAACTGGCTTCGACCACTCTGGTCTAATATTGAACACGCTGAAGGCTGCTATCGAGGAATTTGCAAAACGCCACCAAACAAGGAAAGTTGAGAGCTTGAGCCTTGAGGCGGCCGAGGAGTATATGCGCATTCGTTCATGGTCCGAAGCGCATAACCTTCTCCAGCCGCTGTGGCCTACTCTTAGCTGGCGCCGCTCAGGGTGGTGGCATCTGATGGTGAATTTCGGATGGGCACTCAGAGAATGTGCTCTCAGGGTGCAGGACAGTGAGACAGTCTTGCGAGTGGACTGGGAGCTGCTGAACAAGAGTGAGCTAATCCCCGTTATCCGAGCGTATTGTCTTCAATGTTAATCTTCATTCCGATAGATTTCAAACCAAGACCTGCGTGGCATTATGACATCCACAGGAGTCTTGAAAGTTTACCTTCAGAAAAGCCAAAACCTTCTCTTATCCTTCGCGCAGAGGATGTATTAACAAGTCGTAAGTTGGCAAGCCCGAAATGCAAAGATTGCACTGACCTCTGTCTTCAAAGTGACCGCATCATTGGTGTTCGAGAAATCCGATGGCAACGTTGGGGAACCTCTACAGGCTCAACTTTCCATTACATCATGTGCTCATAAATCCTCGGCCCCTATCCGGCTTTCAGAGGTCAAACTGGTTTTCGAAGGATGTCTTCGCCCAGTAAAGGTTCAATCTGACCAGAATCAGGATGCTGACACCACAACGCCATGTCGCATCGCAACTCTTCCACTCCGCGAGCCGAGCAACCCTGATACCGTTGTCCAATCCCCAGCCGGTGGACTGACCGCACTGGTGGGTATAGCAGATCTGACTCTGGGGCCCTCCCAGACCAAAATATTCAACCTCACCTGCATTCCTCGCGAAGCTGGTGAAGCCAGGGTTGCTTCAGTCACCATGCTGATCGAAGAAGAACAATTTGATTTGGGCTATGCGATCACCGAGCCAGACCAGCGTGAATCGTTCTGGTGGCAGCAGACGCAAAAGGGCGTGACCCGCAGAAGAGTGGGCAAGGATCGGGATACCGGCAGATGCAAGGTTATGCCTAAGCCTCCCAAGATTCGCCTCACAACTCCCAACCTGAAGGAGACCTACTATACCAATGAACTGGTGATGCTTCAGATTGGTATACACAATGAAGAAGACGAAGCTGCCGATGTATCTGCTGAAATCAGACTCTTCGGCACCGAGTCCACAGCTCAACTACAGTGGCTTGACGGCGATGGCAACTCTGAACCCCTCGAATCAGGCGCCAGCACCCCGACTGAGGGGCTGTCTCATTACTTGAAACGAGCTGTGGGTGTTCTGGAGCGCTCTTCGAACAAAACACTTACAATCGTGCTGGCGGATACCCGGGAGGCTACGGATTTCACGTTGGAAGTTTCGGCTGTGTACCATTTGGTGTCTGATATCCAGACACCGATTATAAAGAACATCACCGTGGACCTAACATTTATTCGGCCGTTTGAAGCAAACTATGAATTCTTGCCTGCAATTCACCCTCAGCCATGGCCCAATTTCTTCGCTGTTAGCGATAACCTACTCGAGGATGGCTCTGCGCCAAGTCCTGCAGGCCTGTTCCAGAAGTGGTGCCTTAATTCCAAGGTGGTTTCCTTTGCATTGGAGCCGCTGGTAATCGACAAGATCTCCCTGATTCTTCTCGAAGCCAACGGGGGAGCCATATGCGAGGTTCACTCGGAAGAGCTTGTCAGTCCAGAAACGGCCCATCTCGCACCAGAAGAACTGCGCGAGTCCAACTTCTGCCTCGATATTCAGAAGCTCATTCTCGGAGACCGTCGGCCAACGGCACTCACCTGCGCATTGGAGGTCAATTGGCGTCGGCAGTCCTCTGAATCTGCAGCTTTCTCTGACGCAGACAACCCGGTTACAACCACCGTCCTCGATATTCCCCGATTCGTCGTCCCCATGGGTGAGCCTCGAGTCCTTGCATCGGCTACCCCATCCAACAATATGCCAGGGTTGATCCATATGGATTACGTGCTAGAAAACTCCTCCACCCACTTCCTCACCTTCAATCTGGTCATGGAAGCCAGCGAGCACTTTGCCTTTAGCGGGCCGAAGACTACCGTTGTGCAGCTTGTGCCGCTGAGTCGTCATACAGTGAACTTTAATTTGTTTGCGGCGAAGCGCGGCCTATGGATTCAGCCACAGCTGGTGGTTATTGATACCTACTTCAACAAAACGCTTCGTGTCCTTCCAACGGGAGATATGAAATCGGACAAGAAGGGGGTTCTGGTATGGGTTGATGCCGACGATTGAATGATATGACTAGGATCTGAGATACATGCTGTAGATGAATTCGACTGTCTCATAATAAGCAAATATTGTACATAGAATAAACATCCCCAATTTCACACTTGCTACATGGTATGTCACGTGTTCAACCCTTATCACATAACCCGGGTTTCCTAATGAGGCTAGCGGCGGTCGGTCTTCCGCATGTCTTGCCGTCAGAGAGCTTCATCACAGTCACTCAAAGACATTCCAGCTCACTTCCCTTGATCTCCGTAATATCTACACATATAATTGAGGCCTCAGCATCGAAATACACAGCCTCTTACCTTTCCCCTCCTCGGGAATCCGTTCCCACGCCTCATTTGCCCGAGGACCCCCTCCAACGCGCAACCAAACTTATCTAACCCGACAGCCTCGTTGCTGACACCGTAACTATGGCGGCGCAAGCAGCGTTGATCGCTGATACTATCATTGGAATGAAGCGGGCCTTGCGCAGAGAGCGTGACGGTAAGTTACTGGCCAAGCAGTCTGTCTTTTCAAGTAGAATTGTTTTCTGACATCTTTCTTCACTAGATAATGGCCCGGACGACCCGATCATGGCACCGACGAACCGGGGAAATAAAATGCATGCGAATGCAAAGTATGTGAGCGAAGGTGCATTGGGCTACATCAACGCCGAGGATTACTACAAGCAGGTGCGTTGTTTGCCGATCTCGGCACTTGGGTGCTGTGGCAATGAGTTGGGACCAGGATTTTATGAAAACTGACTTTTTGGCTGGTAATTAGAGGGTTGATCATGCTGGTTATACGCGCTACATTCTTCAGCCGAACCCTGTTCGCTATGATTCAGAGGGAGACGAGCTTGATGAGGATGATGAAGATTCCGAGGCTGATGCTGTTGCCGCTGAAGAGAACCCGTTCTCTGGGATTGCGCTTGAAAGTAGGTTCTTTATCCCCCTTTTAGAGTATTATCTGTGGCTTCATGACTGACCTGTTTCTTTTTCTTTTCTTTTTTTTCTAGCCCTTCTGTGTCCATTGAAGCATCCGTCCGAACTCCCCACCCATCCTTCTATGTCCCAAGCATACACTTCGGAAGCCCTGGAGAAGATGACAGCGGCGGTAGAACACAAGCTCCGCCAGGAACGGGCTTTGCTCTGGCGCGCCAGGAACTTGCATAGGCAATTCCTCGGTGATAGCGGTTGGATGCCGTGCGGTGCGCTCGAGACGCCCAATGACCACTTGATCTTCGACCCTAGGCTTGCTAGTAATGATCCGAGCGTATATGCCGGTCAAAGTGCAAGTGGGGCTGGTACTCCATCCACCGCTAGGGACCTCAATGGCCCACAGGATGTGGCACAAAAGGTATCTGCATCAATAGCCCCACAAGACTCGCAGCTGGCACAGAACGGCACAAAAGCCCAGCCCAGTTCAACGCAGAATGACGTGGAAATGGCAGAGGTTCCAGCACAGGGCGAACCCACCAAGAACGGCCTGCAGCTTAAATCGGAAGAGACCGATGCCACCGTCAAAGACCTCCCACCTCACCCTAACACCTCGACTCCCGCCCAGGAGAGCAACAACAGCGATGCAGTCGGGGCAAGCACAAACCCACCCCGCAACGGGAAACAAGATATGGACACGAGAGAAGCCGATCCCGTCAATACAACCGAACTCAATGACGACACAGAACAAGACCTCGAGATGCACGACGGCGACTCACCAGAACCGCCACGGCGAATGAAAACGCGCGCGCAAGCCAACACAGTCAACCCAAACGAAACTGAAAATGGCTCCCCACTCTCCTCCGACACAGCCTTCCCACTCCCAACTCCGCATCCTCTCTTCCTAGTTCCGGACAACATCCGCCCCGATCCCAACTTCGGCCTCCCCGCCGCTGAAGCCGAGGAAACCCGCCGCCTGCTCTGGTCATATATCCAAAAGCAGGAGGAGACGGTGCGCGGGGTTGAGCACATGCTCGATTCGCTGAATAGATCTTGCCGCATGAAAGCCGATGTTTTGGAGTGGTGTAAGGCTGAGGGACATGTTGGCGAGATGAGTGATGGCGAGGACTGGTATGACCGTGAGCAATGGGGACTTGCTGAGGGGGAGGACTTGAAGAAGGGCACTGATGAGGATGAGGTTGAGACTGTCGATGAGAGTCGGACACAGGGGAAGAGGGGGAGGGGAAGGCGGCAGTGAGGGATGGGCTGTTGTTGGCAGTGCTATTCTATTTTGCTTTGCTTCTTCTTCTCTTTTGATCTTGGGGCCTTCTGGCATTGTCATGTCCAGGTCTCTCTCTTCCTGGTGATATAAACTCTACATACTAGTACCTTGTCTCTTGTCTCTGTCTCTTTGGGTTCTTTGATTCATGTGGCGTCGGTATATACCCTCATTTCTATAATAATCATGGTTTTGGTTACTGTTTCGGGGTTCAACAAGACATCTTTCATTAAATCTACATAAAAAAAATAACACCTGGAATGTCCTTGAGACAGCCATTCCAGGAGGGCACGCATGTCCACTTGGATAGGAGACAATGCGTGCATGGTGAGCCTGTCCAGGGGCTATTGTATTGCTGTTGTCCTCATTCGCATTCATAATTGGTATTGTTGTTGCTCTGGCCTTCATCATCGTAGGTTTGCGCCTCGTCTTTCGGGCCTCGTCATGTCCGCCCATGACAATCTTGAGGTCATAGCTGCTACGCCCCTGCAGCTGCAGACGTTTTGGCCCGTGAGAAAGGATGTATGTAGCATTGATGATAACTGCCAGAATTCGGTATCCGGACTTCTTCCCTCGGCATAGTCGAACAATGTCCTGTAGTTATCGGGGGGAAGGGCTCGGTTCAGGCTGCCAGATTGATCGTCAGCTTGACGGTCGAATTACGACTCTGTTTCTTGCTTTCCAGGACTTCCATACCAAGATCCCGCGCGCAACGCGTCAATTGTCATGTCTGGGTATGACAAGTCGTGGTTATCATCCTCATAGAGGGTGTGCATTAGGTCTTCTGTGTCTTCAGCTTCGAATTGCGCCTTCCACAGTGGTGCCAGTAGTTTACTGGTTGCTGGAAGTCCACACAGTCTTTGTCCAGGTAGTTTTCTCGGCATACCAAGGTACACCGGTCAGAACATGGACCTGGCGAATGCTGTTTTGTTCTTGTTTTTTCTTTTCGAATTCCGTAGATGTTGAAAGTGGTAAATGGTTCGTATCGAGTCTTGGATGTGCTTCTTCTTCTGTGGGTATGTTCATCTCCCCAGGCATGATCGAGCCAGGGGGCTGGACTTCGGAAGTACCGTAGTTTCTCGGTGCTCCCTGCTCCACCATTCCTGTCTCTGAACTTCGAATGATCGAGTGTGTTCCTCCAGGGTTGCATCGGGCTCAACAGGACAAGTTCATCATGGTTTTCGCCCGGAGTTCCAAGTGCTGGGTTGCCTTTTATCACGCGTGGGCTGGTTCACCAAGCCCTTGTAGATTTCATAGCGTAGGAAGAACACACCCAGCATGACCCTCGCTGTGAAGATATTCCTTCCCCCCGTCCGAAAGCCTCAGAGAAGGAAAGACCAGCAAAGAGTATCGGTGGCAAAGAGTATCGGTAGCGGCCGGCGAACTTTATACTTCGAGTCCTTGTCAAAGGGCGAGATATGGTAGTATCCCGTTTTAGTCCGCGACCAAGGAAGGTCATGCCTAGCGAATCCGACATGTTGGAAGCCGCTTTTGCTTTTGGTTGGTTCCTGATATGTCTTTTCCGCTTTCCGAACGCGGGCTATTAGGTGGCTTGTGCAGATGCATCCGATGGCCGGCCGAAATCATGCTTGCTTCTCTCATTTGTTTTTCACTTTCTCCTCACCGGAGAGGAGATGCACAAAGAGCGGTACCGCCGGCGGTGCATCAGATGGTACAAATGCAACGCCGCTACGGTACGAGCCCGAGGGGGGCTGGTGCCGGCGGAAAGCTGGCAGTAGGACTGGCCCCTTGCCTGGCTTTTGCTGCAGCCTGCCGCTTTTGGGTCTCAAGGTTTTTGACCGGGTTGAGACCCGAGGAGAGAAGAGGAGAGAAGAGGAAAGTCGAGCGTTCTTATCATATATATGTCGGAACTACGAACGCGCGTTGGTTTCTAGCAAACGACCTTCCACAGGCCGGGGCGTTGCATAGTTAAATTGAGGCATTGGGTATAGACCGAGATAATATGAAGACATTGGGATATAGTATAACCCTATCACAACTGAGCTGATGACCAGGCCCTTTTAACAAGGGCATATACCCCAGCGAATGCTTGTGTGAATGCGTGTAAAGGTTTTTTCGGTTACTTGTTAGGGTAGGGGAGTATAACAGGGTTTCTAAGTTAAAGACTATTTCTTGAGGAGCCCTAAGCTTCCTCTAGGTAGTTCAATTCATGGCTAACTAGTTATATAGTTCCTCTTAGGAAATACGGCAAAGCCGGATATAACCGGATGTGATATAGAGAGCGGGGAAAGGATGAATATGTTATTTTGGAAGCTTTCTCCCTCTATAGGGCTTCCTTAATAAAAAGAGAGGGAGACCTAGCGTTCTACCGCCTAAAGGCTAAAGTCTGTTACACTGATAGTCAGGGGAAGGCAAGATGGTTCCTATTCGTAGCAAGCCCACGCTGCCTATGGAGGGGCAGCGGGTCTGTGCTGACTAACTACTATTATGTAACATCTGCCGCCGCCGAAAGGCTCGGCCGCCCCGGCCGCAGCAGGGAAATGCGAGAAAAGTGGGCAAATAGCTAGTAAATCATGTAAACTGGGGGTGCAACAAGCAAATATTGATGCAGAGCAAGGGGAATTATCAGATGTAGCCGGCCTTCCCTCTATCGTCCGTAACGTGTCGCTACAGCAAAGAGTCATCGGCGTAAGGTATTTGCGAAGCAGCGAGTGTGTTGTCAGCGGGGCGTCGTTTCTGGGTCGCTGTCGCTGTTTGCTGGTAACAGTTTTGCCCATTCGTTACGCAAGCGCCTGAAGATGTCGACTGGGAGGTCGTCGCGTTCTTCGCTGCTCACCGCTGCGGAGAAGGCGGGCAGGCTTTGTGCGAAGTGGATCGCGTCCCTAATATGTGCTGCGTCCGCCTCGGTTACGATGTTCGACAGCGTGTCGTTCATGTACGTTGGCAGCATTTGCTGCTTCGTACGCTGGAGTAGGGTAGTCGCCTCCGTGTCGGTCATGCTATTCTGGCCTGCGAGGCGTAGAAACTGCAGTGCTTTCTTGCTCGCTGCACAACTGGCTGCGAGTGCTTCGAGACGGCTAGCGGCGGTCATCAGTACCGGGAACGATTGAGCTGCTTCCAGCCTCGCGAGGTTATAAAAGGATTGTAAGGTCGCGAGGTTCTGCTGGGTTTCGGTGTGAACCTCGGGCGCGGGAATTGTAGTGATGTCGATGCTCCGTTCCGAGTCGTCCGTCATTGTAGCTGCGTCCCTGGTTTGCACTTTGATTTTGCCTGCTGGCTGTGTCGTGTTCGCGTTGCTGTCTTCCGGCTCTGGGGTCGAGCTGGCAGTCGGAGTGGTAGCGGTGAGTGTGATCGGCTTTGTCTTGCGACGCTTCGCCGGGGTCGCTGCGGCTGTCGATGCTTTCGTCTTGCGGTATCGAGACGGGTGCGGTTTCGCGATCTCTTCCCATTTGAACCGTGTGCCGGTCCGTTCGGGGGTGATTTCTTCCGTCCAGTTGCTGTGCAGAGCTGCTTCGTATTCCTCTTCTGTCTGGTTGGGGTTCCGTAGACAGATCTCGTAGGGGTTGTCCTCGTCCGCGGATTGACAGATCTTGGGGTGAAAGTGTTTCTGTCCTTGCAGCGTACCAATCATTCCTCCTTTCTCGGTGATGATGAGCACTGGGTAGCTGACGCGTTGATTCCCCTCGAAGTAGATCTTGTTGTCGCGGGCGTACTCGGTCCATTTGTTGATCGGCAGGCTGCCGGCCTGAGGTTCGTAACTGTCGAGCGTGATGTTTGCTGATGCGGTAGGCTCCTTCGCTGGTAGTATCAAGCCGGCTGTAAAGCGATTGACTGGCCCGGGGTTGCTGCTTAGGAGCCATCCGCAATTGTTCGTGCCGCCGGTGAAGGCGTACCAGTCTTTCCAGACAGGTATGGTTTTGAGGCCGTTCTGCATGATCGTGATCGTTGGTCCGATAGGCACGCGTATCTTCCGAATCTCCCCTTTCGAGTCGAAGTCCCATGGTAGGAAGGTTGCGCGATATTGCTTGTCGTGGATGCAGATCGATACGATCGCAGCGTCGTCCGTCAGGCGTACGTACTTCGGTTCCCAGAGCACGCGGCCTGATCTATCGAAAAGCTGGTCCTGTGGCGGTAGCGACATTAGCTTCCAGCCGCTGTGTCCGCCGCGTTGCCCTTTGATCTGCTCGAACTCTTCGCCGGCACCGTCACCGTCCACCCATCGATTTGTCACGTTTAGCTGGCCTCTCGCGTGCTGCCGGGCGAATTCGCTGTCGCACCATTCCCGTAGCGGTCTGATCTCCAATGCTAGTCTTTGCTCCTCCGTTGTCAAGGTGTCCATGTTGGCGAGTGAGGTTGATGTATGGATGCGAGTGTAGATGAGAGTTGTTGAGTGGGCAGTCGGTGTTATTGGTGTTGGTTGATGGGAGTGGGATGAGAGATGAAGGAATGGAAAAATAATGGGAGGTGTTGGATAGCGAAGTAATGGATGTGGTAATCAGGCTCGGTGAGCGTGCAGTGAGAAGAAAGTGAGAGTGTGTCGATTTACGTTATGCTGTTTAGGTGATGCTGTCATAACAATGTCTGCGTTTGCCTTACTGTCTCTGGCGATTGAATTCCTCGATTGCTTCCTCCGCCCCTACTGCGTCTCTCTCTTTGACCCATTCAGCTTCCTCCCTTGACTGACCGCGCCACTGTATCAGGTAGTCTGTGCGGGGAGTTCTGTATCTGCCCGCGCGGCGCGTTCGTGAATCAAGCACGCGTTCAACTTCGTGGCGGTCGGTGTCGTCTGGGAAGCGTTCATCGTTTGTGGCTTCCGGTGCTGCGGCTTCTCTGTCGAATGGGTCCGGGCTTGGTGCCGGTTCTAGGTGTTCGACACTGATCACTGGATGTATTTTCCACGCTGCGGGAATGTCGATCCGGTATGCAAGCCGTCCGACGCGTTCCAGTACTGTGAAGCACCCAGCGTACTGTTGTCCTAACTTCTTGGTGTATGCGTCATTGATGGGAATATTGTAGCCTTTCCATAGCCGGAGTAATACTTTGTCGCCTACCACGAAGTGTTTTGGTAAGTGGGTGCGGTCGTAGTACTCCTTCATCTTGATGGCTGCGTACTTTAGGCATTCGGCAGCGTCCTGGCGAGCTGAGGTGTCTTGTTGCTGTCCGCTCAGGGCTGTCTGCAGTAGGTTCCATGGCATTCGGAGGTTCACGCCAAATAGAAGCTTGTGTGGTGTCTCGTGCGTAGCTGCTGATACTGAGCTGTTCATCGCTGCGATTAGTCCTGGTAGACCGTTCGGCCAGTCTGCTGCGCGATGGAGAGCGCAGTAGTGGCGAAGCCAAATCTCTGCTGTCTGGTTCGTTCTTTCGCTCTGGCCATCCGCTTGAGCGTGATAGGCTGCAGTGTAGAACAGTGAGACTCGCAATGCGGTGAACATAGCTTTCCAGAATCCTTTGGTGAATTTAGGATCGCGGTCGCTGATCCACACCGTCGGGATACCCCAGTCTGCTGCTTGCAAGAAGGCTAGCACTGCTAGGGCCCATTCCTTGCTTGTCCATGTCGATTTTCCGGGAACCGCTCCTAGGCGCTTAGAGAATTTGCAGGTCAGAGAGGCTACCGCATCGAATCCTTCTTTGGATGTCGGCAACCCTGTGATGAAATCGATACAGATTGTATGGCAGGGTATCGGTGGAGAGATGATTGGCTGCAGTGTGCCGTATGGTCGGTGTCTCCTTACGTTGTTGCGGAGGCATGCGGGACAGTGCCTGATGTATGTCTTCAGCTCATACATCCCGCGGTAAATTACCAGGCCTGCCATCTTTGCTCTGCAGCGCTCGAAGCCTTGATGGCCCTGGTCATCATGGACCAACTGGAATATGTCTTTCCGCAATGTGCGCGGGATACATAGCCAGTGACTGCCGTCCTCCTGTATCGAATACAGTAGACCGTCTTCCATGGTGTATGGTAGCTTTGCCACCATCGGATCTGATTCCTCTTCATTGGTTGCGAGTTCTTGTATGACCGTTCTCCAACGTTGATCGTTTTCATAGCCTTCTCTGACCTTTGTCTGGAATTCATCGCTGAGCTGGATCGCCGTGGTTTGTAACGCATAGGTCGCTGGGTCGCGGTCAGGGCTATCCGTTTGCGGTATGCTGCGAGGGTCGGCAGCCGCCGCACAAGGGTCGGTGAATGATGTGTAAGGGTCGGCTGTCGCAGTTAGTGCCTCTAAGTCGTCGTCCTCTTTCGCCGGCGTCGGCGAGGTGCTTGGCAGTCTTGATAATGCGTCTGCAATCCTATTTGTCTTCCCTGGTCTGTGGAAGATCTTGATGGGGAATTGCTGCATATACATCGATGCTCGCACTAGACGGAGGTTCAATCGTTCCGTGGATGAGGTTTTCAACGAGGTGGCGACTGCGATTGTTGCGGAGTGATCAGTGTAGAAGATGACCGGCTTGTGCGCTGTTTCTATCAGGTGTCGGACTTTTTTAATCGTCCATGTGATACAGCTCACTTCCAGTTCGGTGGCCCAGTAGTTCTTTTCTGCTGGTGTTAGCAGCCTACTCAGGAACATGATGGGTTCCGTGGCTGCTGCCGGTGGTGGCTTGGATGGGTCCTTTTCCTGATACTCCTTCTTGGCGTGGTAGATAACTACCCCGAATCCTGTCTGTTGTGATGCATCGACGTCGATGTATGCTTGTCTGCTACCGTCCCAATGTGCCAGTTTGCTATCGGCGTCTGATGACGATGAGCGTGCTCGGAAGTTGTCCTGAAGGATTTGGAAGGACTGAAGCTCTTCGTCGGTCGGATTGCCGTATCGCGTCCTCTTTGCCCATTCTTGCCGCGGTCGCCCCGCTAGAGGGCTACCACGCAGTAGCGCTGTCTTCCGTATCTGTAGTGGTTGTGCTTTCTGGGCGTACCATGGGATGATATGGCGGAGGTCTCCTGTCATTCCGAGGTATGTTTCGAGTTTCTGCAGCGTGTCTGGGAATTGGAGGTCTGCTACCGCTTTGAGCTTCTCTTCCGGTGTCGACATGCCTAGCGCATCTACTCGCTGCCCGAGTAGAGCGACTTCTGGAAAGCCGATGTATGCTTTTTTCGGTTCGAGCTTGATATTGTAGCTCTCTAGGCGTCGGAATAGCTGGTGGAGGTGGGAGATATGCTCTTCCAATGTCGGTGATGCAACGACAATGTCGTCCATATATGTCTTACACCATCCCGCGAAATCCTTGAGGATAAGGTCCATTTGTCTTTGAACGTATGCGACAGAATTCCGATAACCCATGATTGCAACGTTGAAAATCTCCTGTCCGCGGTGGCTGATCACTGCCATTCGCTGGCGGTGTTGCGGTTTGATCCGCCATTGGTAGAAGAAACTCTTCGCGTCAAGAACTGTAATGAACTTTTTCCCGGAACACATGTGAATGACTTCGCTTTGGCTGCGTACCGGGTATATATCCGGGATCGTGATCTTGTTCAATCCGCGGATATCGACGACGGGTCTTCCTTTCCGTACTGGAGCGCCATCCTTCCAGGTTGTCCGGTATGCCACGAAGACGGGGAAGCCTGTTGGTGTATGGTGTTCCGCCCATGACATCTTTCCTTCCGCGTGCAGTTTGTCGAATTGCTCGTCGACTAGTGCGCGGTCTGCCGCGCCGAGCGGGTATGTGCGTGGCTTGGGTAGTTTACCCTGCCATCCTTCCTGCAGCGGAATTTCCATCCAGCGATCTGAAGGTATGTCGACTAGTCCGCTATTGCCATCTGCTCCCCAGACGTTGTACTGGTCACAGACTTCGGCTAGCGCTGCGACTGCTTTGTCGTTGGCTGTCTTGTTACTCCCGAAAATCGTGACTCCGTTCGGTAGTCGCGTCTCGTTCTGCGCGTAGGTGGCTCCGGACCCGTGATCGGGGTTGTTTGGCTCTGATCGGGCAAGCTCCGCGACCTCCGGTGCGACTTGGAATGCATGTGTCGCGTCGCTCTCCGTAAGGTCACCTATCCAGGCCTTCTTCGGGATCGTATACCATTTGTTGGAATGGTTGACTCCTTGTACCCAGCCGAAGTTGGCGTCTACTATGTGGGAGTAGAGACTGATGTTTGGGTAGCTTCCTTGAAAGATATATTCCCGATCTTGTGGCAGTTCTTCGGTGGCTATTGGTATTCGGAAGTTGGAGTACGGGGGTATTCTGACAGCCGTTGCGTTGTAGACGTCCCTATGTTGCTTATGGTTCGGCTTCGCGTGAATTGCGACTGGGAAAGTGACTCCCATACAGGATGCTATGCGGATTTGCTTTGTTTCCAGGTCGATTCTGAAACCTTCTGGTCCGGCCACGTCGGAGCCGATCAGTAGGTTGGCTCTGAGGTTATCCACTAGGTGCGCTTCGATGTTCAGTTTGGCTGTGTTCTCTGTGCCCTCGAAGAAGATGGGTAGTTTGATATAATTGGTGGATGAATGTTTCGAACCTAGTCCTGATACGGAGATAGGTGGGTTCGGTCGCTTCTGCAGGCCGAGAGTGTCGGCTAGCGAGGCGTCGATTAGTGTGATGCCGCATCCTGTGTCGATGCAGATTGAAATTTTGCGTTCGGGGGAGCCAACTCCTGCGGTAGCGCTGACGTAGCGCCATGGCCGGAAGGCTGCACCTGGGGGTTCTTTTGTCTTGATGTTGGATTCAATGATTGGCTTGGGTTCTTGTTCTTCAGGCTCACTACCCTCACCGGCGGTGGCTTGGAATGCAGCGGGCTCCGTGGCTGCCTTGCCACTACAGTCGGGCAGGTGTCGGAATAGCTTATTCCTGGATTCGAATTCTGCACCGCACTGCTGGCAACGGACGATTGAATTAGAAAGGGGTGCGGTAGCCCACTCGCCCGTCAAACGAGTGGCCGCCCTCCGAAAAGGAGGCTGGGCAAAGAATGCATCTATACCCGGATCGTCGTCGTAACCGCCGTGATCGTCGTATGTGTCTGCATCATACTCATCGTAAGCGGGGCCCATGTCTTCGTAGGGATACGCTTCGAAGTGGTCGTTTGGGTAGCCATTGTTCTGTGCCGCTTCGGGGGCAACGTCTTGGATTGGTGCTCCGTAGGTGTCATGTGCTGCTGCGGGTTCTTGTCCGTATGCAGCGGTGTGTTCGTCACCTTCTGCAAAGTAGGCGGTGCCTCTTTGTGCAGTGTTGGGCCGGTTCCAGGGCTGCCGAGGGGTTCTCTGGGTAAAGTTTCTGCTTTGTGGATTATAGTTGTATGACCGCTGTTGTTGTTGTTGTGCTGGGCCAGATTGCTGCAGCTGTTGATTGAATCGTCGGTAGCCGGTCTGCTGTGGGCTGTTGTACCTGCTATAATCCTGGGAGTTCCCCCATGATCGGCGATCCGCGACTGCTTGGTAGCTCTGCTGCTGCTGTGGTTGAGCTTGGTATGGCTGTTGCAGCTGTTGATGCGGTCGCTGATACGTCGTGTATCGCTGGCGTGACTGTGGCTGTTGCTGCTGGCCTCGCCTTGGTCGGTAGCCGCGTTGGTTCCGGGAGGATTCTCTGGCGATGCTCATGCCGTGCCATTGTGTGTACCGGTGGTCCAGCTGCTGCATGAAGCTGTCTACTGTGGTTGTCTCAGTTGGCTCAGGCACGTCCCGTTGCAATGCGGGATCAATCTTCACCCAGATCATGCGCAGCTGTTGGGTTGTATCGTTGAAACCTGCGGCTTGGGCCATCCGCAGCACGTTCTGGGCCCAGGCTGATGCCGGTCGAGCGTTCCGAACATCATTCCAGGAGTAGCTCGCGTTCTGCAGTTGCATGGTTGCTGTCGTAGCGTGGGGCTTGAATCGACGTTCGAGGGCGGCAAACCAGCCTTCGGGATGGTTGACGTCTACGCTACGCAGACCGATTCTTGCTAGCTCCGAGATGTCTGTTGTGTACCAGCGTTGCGCGCTATCTAGCAGAAGTGATTGCAGATTGGCGCGTACTACGGGTTCCGTTTTCAATGGGATTAAGCTTCGCAATTGGTTGAGAAATGCGTATACGTTCATATAATAGGTTGTTCCTCGGATCGTACGTGTTGGGAGTTCGCTTTCGATGTTCGGAGCGAAATACCCGATTTCGTCCGTTTTCCACGACGTGTTTACCACTGGCGGTGCCATCGCGTCTAGCCCGTTACGGCCTGGGATGCCTTGAGGTCCGGGAGGGCCTGGTGTGGCAGCTTCTGCCTGCAATGTTCTCATCATCTCCATCAATGTCGCCATCTGCTGCGGCGAGAATCCGGATTCCGAAGCTTCTGTCTCGGTGGTCTGCGCCCTGGTGTGCCTCTCAGCTGGGGGCTCCTGATGTCGGTCATCTTGCCTGCGCTGTTGGCGTTGCCCCATCGGGACTGTTCCCATCGCTTGCATAAATTGTCTGGATAGTTCATCCCTGCTCGGCTGGGGGTGAGGGCGTGGGGCCGAGTCTGGGAATGTGCCGGGCGGCGGTGCCGTATCCCCGTCTCGTCCGGTTGGCATAGCGGGTGGTATGCTGCTATGACCAAACTCAGTGAGCGATGGGGATGGGCTCTGGCTGTATTTCGCTACGGAGGTTTGTGATCGGGCGCGTTTGTGTGCCCGAGGCGCGGCTGGCCTCACGGTGCTCGTAAGGCTTTGCGAGCGGTGCGGCCGCTGGGGAGTTGCGGGTTGTCCCGCGGTGGCTGTGTCCGGCTGTTGCCGCTCTGTAGCCCGCTCCTGTTGGAGGTATCTGTGAAGTCGCAGCAGGTCGCGTATGGCTTTTTTGATTGGCTGGCTGCTTTCCAGAAGCCACTCAGGCGGAAAGCGGAATGGAGTTGCTGGAAATGTGGGTAAGAAGGGTCTTGGTTGGTTGTTCGTAACTTGGTCTATCAGCTGGACTACTTCGTCTGTGAAGTACTGTTGGTGTGGTCTGTCTTTGTCTTCACTATAAAGTCGCAACTGAAACGCTAGCCTTAGCTCGCGGGCTTGCTGCTCGGTGGTGTTCGATCGGGGCGGTGGGGTCATCGGGCTGCCGCCGCCGAGAGTCCTACCGGGGGGCAGAAAAATTCTTTTCTCTCACCGCTTTGGCTGCCACGCAGCTCAGAGCGAGACGCGGCGTCGAGTCGTCGCTGCGCGGGTGCCACGCAGCGATCTTTGATGCCGGGAGATCTTTGATGCCGGGAGATAAAGGGAGATGTCGAGAGATGAAGAGAGATGGAGTCTCGCTACGGAGCTCCGGGGTGATGGTGGGGCTGCGCGGGTACCACGCAACGCCCAGTTTACTACTGCGCGGGTGCCACGCAGCAGTCTTCGTCGCTTGCGCGTCGGATCAGCGCGAAAAAATTCGAAAAACTGCTAAAAAAACGAAAACTGGGGTCCTGGATGGAACCTAGGACATGCTACCAGTTGTTACACTGATAGTCAGGGGAAGGCAAGATGGTTCCTATTCGTAGCAAGCCCACGCTGCCTATGGAGGGGCAGCGGGTCTGTGCTGACTAACTACTATTATGTAACAAAGTCCTACTAGATCCTAGAGGCCTAAGGTACCAATCTATAAATAACCTTATGATAGGACATATTGTAACAATTCATCCCTCCTTTTAAGATCGCCTGCCCTTAAGCGAGGTGATAGCTAGGAAGGAGCGTATGTAGGGAATAACAAAGCGAGTGTATGTTGTAATGGATAATCCATGCAAACCACAGAAGTGGATCTCCGGCGGATCTCCGGCGCATTTATGGGAGAAATGCGGGTATGTATAGTGGAAACTCTGCTATGATAACCTGTTCGGTTATAATAAGTGGACTTTTTGGTTAATGCTTGGTTTATCACGAACAGTATCCTTGGCGGAGAATTTAGCCTAGAGCCTAAATTCCCTTACAGCGAGGTTCTCTCTAGGTGCCTAGAGACGCGGGCACAGAGACTGTACGAACGCTACGAAATCATCAAACAGGGGACCCAATTCATTCAAGAGTATGCTCCAGTTGAGGTCAGAGATGACCTGCTGTAGGTTTGCGGCATATTCTTGAATGAATTAGGTTCCCTGTGATAGTTTCGTAATGTTCGTACAGTTTCTCTGTGGAGATGTGTTCCCCGAACTCCAGGTCCATACGCACTAAAACCAATAATTAGTTAGTGCTAATTACATAGGAAAGGGCCTTCTGGGATCATAGTACCAGTTGACCGGAAATAGGGAGAACCTCGCTTTGTCATTCCCTACGCGTGCTCCTTCCTATTTTATACTTACTATCTATCACCTCACTTAAGGACACGCGATCTTAAAAGAAGAAGAAGAAGAAGGATTGATTCTCTACAAACAAACAAAAGCTAACTAAGTGCTAGGTGGGATACGGGGCACTAAAGTGTGCTACCTTTGACTTAATTAATATTGGTTCATATTGCTAGTAGTGATTTTGTAGTATTGATGTCTGAATGGTAAAACACTATTAAGTGCTAACCAATTAGGTAGGGACTATCTTGGCAGTAATTTTCAGCCTAAGTGTCATTTATTATGGTATCGCCATGGTAAAAAACATCCCCCCTGAATACGAATACAGCTAGGTTCAGCATTCTCTCACTTTGACTGGAATTCCTGTTAACGAATAGGATCCTGAGGTTTCTGGTAATTTCGTTATAGCCATAAAAGAACATCTTATCATATTCATGAAAACTTCTGGCTAAGCTATCCATACTCTACTCCCCGGGCTCTCCATCTTTACCGTATAGGCCTTGGGCCTAGGATAAACGCCCACTTGGCTTTTATGGGGGCCCAATGGGCCTCAAACAATACAAAAATGCCAATTCTTGGCAGATTCATAAGTAATGCAGATTCTTCTAGTATTTTTGAGTATTTAAGTTACCGCCTAAGACCCAAGTTGACCGAGTCTTTATGGGAATTAAGTCCATTAATTGGTAGACTTGACCATAGATAAATCTGCTAATGATACTTATATTCTTTATTATTATTAAAGTGGCATTTGAAGTTTTCAAAGTTTAGCCCGTATTGAAGATGTACCTAACTAACTACTTCTATCTATATGAAATATATATATCTGTACATTGATAATCTATCACCTATTGAACCCCCGTATTAGGCTAGACTAGGGCTAGCGGGCCGAGATCTTCCAAGTAAGCTTACAGACTAGAACATGCGTAAAAAATAGCATTATTCAGTAGGTTTATGAGCGTCAAGACGGGATTTATGCATAGAAGGTCTTTGTTGGGGGCCTATGAGGCCCCCAACAAAGGGCCATAGGCTTAGTTGATCTTTGAAGGTAGGGCCCATAGCCCACTGCTGGTTGGTTTATGGGTCTAAGGTCCTGGACCAACTCGGCCCATTGCGGAGGTCTACTACTAACCGACCAGGGAATCCAGAGAGTGGAGTTGATCGAGAAGAGTGGTTGAGGAGATCAGTGCTGGCTGGTGTTTCCATTCGACGATCCACTCGTTACAGAGGTCAAGAATCTGATCTCGAGCTTGACGCATATTAACGAGATCTTGGCCCTCGTAGTACTCGTGCCTCCATTTGTCTATAGCTATCACGTTAGCCCGTTGGTTGAGGACTTTAATAGTGGAATCCTTAGTGAATGTTCCCTATAAACGCTCTCTACACATCTATAAGCTGACAGCGTAGTACTCCTTAGATGCCTTTTTCTAGCACTCTTGAATATCTTTGTTGGGTTAGTAGGCTATAACGTCGTAATCAAGGAGCACGGCCCCTCTATAGGCAAGATTGTTTCTCGCTTAACGCTCCGACAGTTCGGTATATGTTTTTGACCAAGTGTCTAGTATAGAACCTCTGATTTGATTCCTAGTCTCTTTGGCCAGCTTCTCATAGTACTGCAATCTGGCCTTGGCGTTATGTACGGATGCCTATAGCATCTGATCTAGCAGATCAAATCCAGCGGCGTTGGCCCATGCATTCCGGTCATTGGAGTACTGCATGTCCTGGGAGTTGATGGTTCGTTGGATTGCAGACAGTGGCTGTTTCGGGCCTCTGCCGTAGAGGATGAAGTTGGCCTCGTGCTATTCAGTGTGAGTACTCATTGGTTCATATTGCCAGGCAATAATTTAGATCCACTCTCACTTCACAAGTACCATGTTGAATCTATATGTTGTAGTTAACTAGTTATATAAATGAAAACTATAACTATTAATTATTTAAAACCCGGCTCTTTATACTCCTAACTCTTAAGACTTAACTCTTGATTTCTTACTATCTTACTATCTTAATCTGAACCGAACCTGAATTGAATATGAAGTGAATCTGAAGTGAATCTGAACTGAAGCTGAACTGAATCTGAACTGAATCTGAACTGAATCTGAACTGAATCTGAACTGAAGCTGAACTGAATCTGAACTGAATCTGAACTGAATCTGAACTGAATCTGAACTGAACTTATAAAGTGTATAGTATAGAAATAAAAGAGAAGTTAAAATTAGTGAATGTTTCAAGAAGGCTGTAATGAACTAGGCGGCGAGGTAGTAACTAGAGAGTTATCTGTCGCCCGTATAGTCGGAGATTGCACTTTTGATAAGATGCTAATTATAGCTAACCTTGCCAAGTGGCTGCCGGATGGATGATGGTCGTTTAGCGGGAATGTTTGGCGGTTCTGCCTTCGCTTTGCTAGGTTTTGGAGGGTCAGGGGCAGCTGTCTGCTTGGGTCGCTTTGGGGTGGATTGATTCTTTACAAACAAATAGAAGCTAACTAAGTGCTAGGTGGGATACGGGGGACTAAATGTGCTGCTACCTTTGACTTAATTAATATTGGTTCATATTGCTAGTAGTGATTTTTAAGGTTAGTTATCTAAAGGCCATTGGAATGCCTAACTAGGTAGTATTTATGCCTGAATTCTACCTTATTCTAGACTAGTATAAATTGATACCTGAATTACTATAGTAGAGGGTTTAATAAATAAAGTAGGAATATATCTAAGTTCAAAAATATGAAGCTATTCCTACTATACAAATCCCCGTATACACGTATTTCTCGGCGTTAAATCTTTTCACTATAATATTAAGTATATTAAATTGAAGCATACTAAGCTGAAGTATAATTGGAGTATAATATATACCGCGGTCGGTGAGAACATATACCCATGTCGACGAAGATACTAGTTAACTAGTAAGAAGCACTCTCCTATAGTCTTCAATATCGCCAATTTCAATCTTTTCTTATAGGATTTGGTTGATCAACTGGAACCAAGCCTCTTACTCTTCTTTTGAACTAGTATGACGACGAATACCAAGCCGGAGCCGAAGTCTTTACAATATATGAGGACTAATATTGAAGCCTTTCAAGTTCCGCCTAAAGAGTAGTAGTGATTTGCTTATTGGGGCGTAGTTTATGGCGTACGGCTTGGAGGTCCGCTCAATTTGTTACAACCTGCCCCTGGACTGGCAATTTGAAGTTACACACTAGGCCAAAAGACCATTACATCTGAGCATTACACTCATATTTTCCAGGCTCCGATATATAGTGCATGACATGACACAATTCCCTATACTTAAATACGTCTCCTTATTGCACGGTGTATAATATTGAGGCTATACGTAGCGTATAAAGTGTCGTATGTAGAATTAAATATATACCGCCCTAAAGAAGAGTAGTAATTTCATCTTTATAAGGTTTAAGATCAATAGAAGGGCGAAACAAACCAGGTATTGGGGTAAGATGGTCTATCGGAGCCTTCATAAACATACTATATCTTTCTTAACTGCTTAGATTGTTGTTCAGTGGTCATCGCTTTGCTATTCTATTCTTCATGATAGAAGTATAATGCATAGGAAGTGGTGGAGAGAATATAATCGTACAATATTAGATGTGTTATATTCCAAGGTTTTTCTCTGGAGCATCTTTTGTCTGTTATAGATATCTCTGCCCCTTTGCCCTAAAACAGACAAACACTCCCAGAGTTCCTTGTACATCCTCAGCAATCACAAGTGAGCAACAAAGGTCTACTAATTCACAGTTGTACTGCAGGTTTGGCGCGATGGGTTGATTGAATTATATCTTTTGTAGTCGCGTAAGGGAAATCAAGCTGGGGCCTTGTCCTGTTATACTCATCCCCAGTATCAAGGACAAGGCAAAGATCTATCGTCTACAGGTCCAGCATTGTTGAAGATTCGGATGCATCCATGTGCTGGAAACTTGTCGTGGGCAACCATAGACCTTTTGGATGTCGAGTTGCCTGAAGCAACCTGGCCTCTCTTTAGGTGTGCGGATTGTGGATGTTGAATGTCCTGGCCAATCCTGGTATACATTTGTGGCGTTTACTGCTTCTTGCCGCCCTGCTTCTTGGCACGCTCACGCTCACGCTTGGCGTAGATCTCAGCGGTGAAGGGGCTAGAGACAGTCAGTTTGGTTCTAGGAGTGCTTCAAAAATGACTACTTACTCTTCCCAGCCAAGAGCGAACCAGTACAGGACAAAGACCTGAGCAGTCAAAAGGATACCAGCAACCTTGCCGTGATACAGTGCAACACCAAGGAAGTTCAAGGTGCTACCCCAGTACATCGGCGAGCCGGTCACGTTGAAAGGGAACCCGGTGACGGGAGCGTCCATGAGAATACCGAAGTAATCGCCAAGGTAGGTACCAGTTACACCAAGAGCCCACATGCTGGAGAGAACCAGGACGGAACCGACAGTAAACAAAACACCTCCAACGATGGGTTGGTGGACAGGAGCGTAGAAGGGCTGGTCAGCTAGAGCGAGTTGGTAGACATGGTCACGGAGAATCCCGAGGGAAAAGATGGTGACTGCAAGAGCGTAGCAGCCATTGTACGCGCCTCCGAAGAGACGGGTCAAGAAGTGATTGCGGTACTCTGTTCTGTGGTTAGCCAAGGTCGGACGCAACAGTCCTCGGGTGGAATCGGCTAACCTGCGCGGGCAACAATGCTAGAAAGTTTAGGTTAGCTATTGCTGGACAGGATCATTGCCATTGTGGTTTTCTCGACCAACATTGTCACTCACTTCCAAAAAATTGGGTTAAAAGCAATAGTCGCGGCGGACCCTGTTGGGGTTAATCACATGCAAATTGTTGAGATCCTGTAAAGACCAGCTTACATAGTAAAGGCTTGGAGGAAAAATCGACAAAATCTGTAAGAGAGGCCATGGCGCAAAAACCGGTAAACCAGGAAGAGTGAAGAGAAAAGAATAGGAAGAAGGAAGAAGAAGAAGAAGAAGAAGAAGAAGAGGGGAAAGACGAAGATGAATGTTGGCCCCGGATTAACAACAGCTTAAGTAAACAAATGACGTCCACCCGTGTCCAAGTGGGTTCCTCGCGCACGGTCACGGGATTGCGTCTTTCTCGACTCTTTGCTTGGCTCTTCTTTTTGACACCAGTACGGCTGGGATCCACGACTTTATCTCTTCTCTTCTGACTCCTAGGCACATTGCACCACCACATATCGACTTCATTCCAGGACGCTCGATACGACTGAGAGCTTCACCGCCAATCAGGCCCAGTTGACCGAGACCACAATACTATGCCGAGCCGTTCGCTCCCTAGTTCCCGGGAGTGATCGTTATGAGCCGTGGAGCTCTGACAAGAGAGTGGGGAGAATGGCCCTTAGCCGCCGTGACCTCGTTCTGGCGGGCGTCGGCGTATTCATCGCTTGGGGTCTTGTGGTTCGCTGGCTGCCGATCCTCCGCTATCTAGGATATGCCTTGACACTGGGTGTTATCCTATCTTCTGCAGGACTTTTCGGACTTGTCGCATTGACAATCCGGCATCAGAATGCCGAAGTCAACACTAAGAGAGTTTCAGTGGCTTTCATAAAACCCAACCAATGGCGAAAAGAAGTGCTGAATGTCCGCCGGAGCACGCGATACCGGCCCCGGCCACTCTATCCTCAGTCCTTTGTTGTATCGGAAGGGATCGACGAACTTTTATCTTTCATAACCCGAGACTTTGTTTCCTCGTGGTATCACAGTATCAGCCCGAACCCCATATTTGTCAATGAAGTTGATCGAACGATCCGTGTCGCCCTTGAGAACCTCCGGGATAGGTTGGTTGCGGAGGACATGGTATCGCTGATCGTATCGCGCATCTTTCCTATCGTGACATCGCATCTCAAGGAATTTGACATTGCCGAACGTTCAGTTCGGGGACGCAATCTCAGTCGAAATGTGACCGAGTCTGGAGAGCTTGATCTGGCCATTGCAAACAAATACCGTGATGGTCGTTTACATCCTGCTGTTGCAACATCTGCGTCCGATCAAAAGTCTGTTCAACAGGAGTACCTGCGCAAGCTAGCGGTTGGCCTTTTACCCCAGCTATTCCCGGAAAGCGTGCTGAACGGTCGAATTGTGTCGGTTCTGATTCGCGAAATCATCTCATGCGCTGTGCTTATTCCAATAGTTACTTCATTATCAGATCCAGACACATGGAACCAACTAATGGAAGCATATGGCCGTACAGCTTTGCAGGATCGGAAGACTGTACGCAAACTGCGCGCCGCTTTGGACCAGCATGCGTCACCCACACCTAAGTCCAAGCGTGGGCAACCATTCCCACGACTATCCGCAACCGATTCAGAGCGAGCCTTTGAGCGCTTTGTGAGAGCAATCAGGAAATGTAACAACCTTTCCGATGCCCGCCGGTTCCGTGCCCTCGTTTCCAGTCAATTGAAGCAAGAGAGTGTGGTGGAGGGTCAGGATCAGGTCTATTTGAAGCGACTCGAAACAGGAAAACGTGTTCTTGATCAGAAAGTGGCGAAACTTGCGAGACCTGGCGAGGACTCCCATGTACCTCCAGCATTAGACCTTCGACCCGAGGTCCCACCTAGAACGCATGAATCGTCACTGGTTGACGTGATGCACAGCGCATCTGGACTTTCTTATTTTATGGAGTTTATGGACCGCCAAAAGCTGATGTCGCTTGTTCAATTTTGGGTTGTTGTGGATGGATTCCGCAACCCACTTGAAGACGACTTTGGAGATGAGGCAGTGCCCACTTCATTAGCATGGAAGCCAGCAGACAGAAACGACCTAGCCCTCATTAGTGAAACCTACCTATCAAAGCCCGAACTAAAGGTCTCTGAGGAGTCTCGGCGAACAGTCAAGATATTCCTGAGTGCAGGAAAGCGTGCCACCCCGGAACAATACCGAAAAGCGCGAATGGTGGTTCTGACAACTCAGTCCACCATTCTAGAGCATCTCCAAGATACTTATTATCCAAAGTTCAAGGAGTCTGATCTATACTGGAAGTATCTTGCATCCGATGAAGCATCCGCTGCCCAGGCGCCAGTTCGTCAATCCTCTCCCATAGCAGTCACCTTTGAAACTCCCGAGAGGCGACCTCTCCCCCTTTATTGTCACGAACCACCTCCCAGCCGGGAGTGAGATCATCCAGAGATTTGCGACGAGCAGCTGTCTCGTCTAGTGATATGCGGGGGATGGGGAAATTGTTTGATGATGACGATTCACCACGACGATCAATGGATTCAGAACGATCTGCTCATCTTTTTGATGATGACTATGACACCGACAATCTCGCCACGTCCACCCATAGTTTGGGCAAGGATTCCCAGAATGGTGAGAATGATTCTAGCCAGAGCCAAAGCCAAGTCCTAGAGACGATGGAGGCAGCGCTTAATGATATCATTACCAATGAGCCCAAAAATGGAAGAATCGAAGACCTCAAAGGAGATGCTGCCGGTCTGTTTGGGCCGGAGCGCCCTGTCCTTTCGTCGCGCAGCTCGTCCGAAATTCCCCAGGTTGACAACCGGAATGAGAGAACCAAGAAAAGCATCGCATCGCTTGGTCTGGTGGATCATGCGTCGCGACTTGGTGTATTTGATGACGACTTATTTCCGGATCAGCAGAAATTCATCGAAGATGAATACGAAGAACCAGACGGCGTGGATGAAAAAGACTCGGCAGATGAAGTGCATGAAGCTGCACCGGGTGACTTGGGTCTAACAGAAGCGATTGAGGCGCTCTCGGTAGATATCGACAAGCTTGCAGCCCAGGACTCCGTGGTCCAAGCATTGACACGAAAAGCAGAACTGACAAACAACACTGCGGAACTGAGAATCCTGCGCAAGTCCAAGGCCAGCATCCAGCGCGAAATGCACCGCAAGGAAATGCAGCGGCAACAGTACATTCTCCAGGAAAGCGATAACAGCTTGTTTGGGCGGTCGACTGTTAGCCTCAAGTCTACTGTTGTGGGCAAAGAAGAGGATGATGGCCGTGAATTTGCAATGTGTAAGAGAAGCTCCTAATGTACCGCGTGTGTGCCCAGGCTAACGAGTTATCTTAGATGTCGTGGAGGTTCGAAGAAATGCCGGCGAACAAATGCCCGCTGCATCGTGGGTCGTTGCACGGCGATACAGCGAGTTCCATGATCTACATCAGAAGCTACGCCAACGCTATCCCTCTGTCCGGCACTTGGAATTCCCCGGCGACGCGTCGTGATGAAGCTACAGAAAGAGTTCCTTCACAAACGGCGACTCGCTCTTGAAGCCTATCTGCAGAAACTCCTCCTTCTACCAGAGGTCTGTCGCAGCCGCGATCTACGTGCATTCCTCTCTCAGCGTGCCATACTTCCCCGTAAGGAAAATGTCCGCGACAATGAAGGGGAAACCAAAGACCTTGTTACACGCATCTACAACTCCGTCGCAGATGGCATGGATGACTTCCTCGGCAACTTCGGCGTCCTAGACCAGCTGTCTACCGCAGGCCAGAACCTCATATCAGCGGCCACCCAGCAAGCCAGCAGCAACACGACAGTCCCAGACTCCAGCCTCGCAACCGAAGATGCCGTCACAGCCGCCGAAGCCGAAGCGGAACTAAATGCCTTCGAAGACCGCGAGCTCGAGCCATTCATCAAGCCCATCTGCGATCTCTTCCTCGAAGCGTTCGAGCTAAACCGCGGCAACAACTGGCTGCGCGGCCGTGCCGTCGTCGTCGTCCTGCACCAGCTCCTCGGCGGAACAATAGAGCGCAAGGTCCGCGACGGAGCGCGGGGCCTGACACAGGATGACTCGCTTGTCAAGTACCTTGCTCTCGCTCGCGATACCCTCTGGCCCGGCGGCGTACTCCGTAAAGCCCCACCTCGTTCGGCCGCAGACCGTCTCAATAGTCGTGCCGAGGCCACTGTGGTCTTGGCTACGCTCATCCCGGATCTGGCGGGTAATGTCGTGGGCAGAGCTAATGCACAGGCTGCAGCCCGTCGCATTTTTGCTACGCTGAATAATCCGTATCTTAATACCCATCTTGTTTTTACGATTCTTGACGAGATCGTCCTGGTTCTCTTTGGGAGTTCGGGTCGTTCTCGATGAGAAGTGAATCTTTATTCTTTCCCTTTACAACCACTGTATATACATACCCGATTACAACCATCTCTACAATCTCTACATAATTCCAAGCATGTCTATTTAACACATTCCAAAATCCAAATAATCCCGCCAAGATAAAAATAGCCATCACGTGTACTGTGTACATGTGATGAGGCTCAATTGTGCCCAATCTGGAGCCCCTAAACCCTCCCAAGCTGAATTTCAACAGCTCATATTCTTCTTCTTCTTTCTTCTTCTTCTTCTTCTCAACCCCAATGGCCCCTCCCCCAACATCAGCCCAATCCCACGCCCTATCCATCCCCGAAATCTTCGAACTAATCCTCCTTAACCTGGACACCCGCACCCTCCTCACAAAAGCAACCCGAATCTGCCACGCCTGGTCCCATTTCATCAACTCCTCCCCACCAATCCAATGGGCCCTATTCTTCCGCCCCCTCACAAACAGCCTGAACAAAACAAAAACCCAAAATCCACTACTAGCAGCAACCTTCCCGTCAATCTTCCACCAGTCCACGTCCAGCAATGGAGGAAGTACCAATAAAAACAACGACCCGGAAACAGACACTAGTACTATAGACGACAAAATCAACTCCAGGCTCACTTTCACCTCCTTCGATATGGTCCGCAACCCGCTGAAATGGGACGCTTATATCAGACCAGAGGCTAGTTGGCGGCGTATGTTGGTCCAGCAGCCGCCGGTGTATACGCTGTCGCTGCTACGGAGTAATGTCGGTCATGGTGGTCAGTATTTGTACATTTATGAAGCGTTGGTGAGTATCATGGTCTATTTTTTACATAATATATACGTATAGTTATCTAACTATCTATATCTACATAATCATCTTTGTATTTGTTATATCTTTTTACACACACACACACACACACACACACACACATATATATCATATGTTCATTTCCCTCCCTCCCGCAAAGAACCCTAGCTGACATTCATGATCACCCTAAAGGGCGACCAAAAAGAACCAGCCCGTGGCCTACGAATGGATATCGTCTTTGAAGCGCTGGTTTTCGGTGACAGGTGGGATCAGGATGAGTACTCCGCGACGGAGATGGTCTGGGGACAGGAATTCCTCCCTCAACGGATTCGGGGAGACATGGAGCTCTTTGGTGTCCGGGATTTGGATTTGGTGTTTTATACTCGTCTGGGCGAGACGTCCAGTGGTCGTGGTTATTATGTGTCGAATCTGGAAGGTGATGTTGTGAAAAATGTTAAGGCGGCATATGCTAGACTGGGGATGAAGCCAAAGTATTCCGATAAGGCTTTTTTGAGAGGGCGGAAGTCTTGGGGGTCGCTTTGGGATTAGAATCGGTGTAGGGGATAGAAATATTGTCTTCTCATGAATCTATAGGATATGCCCATGTACAATATGAAGTTGTGAATATCAAGGTAACTATAGCGATCTACATTGGAAATGGATAGCCGGGAATTACTTAATTTGATCTCCACTGGGCATCAGAAGGAGTGAACGGCACATACCGGTCCACCCAGGGTAGATACATACAAGCCGGGACAGAAATGACAGAAAGATAGACAAGATAAGATCAAAATACGAAATCCCTCGCGCCCTCCTAATTCTTGTTTCTACATTGGAAACACAGTGAACACAGAGCAGCCGAACGGGACTGTGGAAAAGCAGAACATAAACTTGGGGGAGTCAATAGTCCCCGGTAAGAACATCCATTATCATGATAAAGTCAAGGAATAAAAGGTTGAAGAAATTGAAGAAATTGAAGAGGTCATCCGGGGACACTTGCCTGTGTTCATGATCATGTCATGAAACACCCGGGTTGATGGGCTGATACCAATCTATGCCTCGTCCTTGGACTTCTTCTTGCTCTTTTTGCTTGGCTGTGGTGCACCCTCCTTCTTCTGATGCACGATCAATCGGGTCCAGCACTCTTCCTTGTCCCACTCGAAACCAGCGAGGTAGGGTTTGTCAAGTTCATCATCCGCCTAGCGGGGTCACGTCAATCATCATGAACTCTCTATGTTCTAGACTGTGGAGCCACTGACCTTCTTCTTGAACTGCTTGTAGATGGCATCTAATGCGTCCTTGATTGTGACGCCCTTGAGGTTCCGTGCGGTGACTTCTAGGCCAAGGGGGAAGTGTAGGTCAATCTTCTTGACGGGTGGGGTGACGAGGAACATTTTGAGGATTTCTTTGTCCTCAATGGTTGAGGGGGAGGTGTTGAGTTTCCTGGAGACAAGTCAGTGAGACTGATCTATATGTGAGGAATTGAGATGAGATACTGACCACCCAGTCTTCTGCGTTTCGATTGGTAGTTCAATGTCCATCTTTTGCTCTTCTGGAGTATCATCAGTATAGTTTCCTTCACTGAGATTGGTGATGTCTCCTTACCAAGGTCCTTGATGTTCCAGACACCTTCTGCCGTTGAGGAGGACCGTCTATGGGTCTTGGTCTTGACCTCCTTTTCAGTGTCGGGTTTCTCACCAGATATGGACAAGCCAGCGATGGCGGAATCGACTTTGGTTAAAGGAACAGACATGTTTGTAGAGTGTATCTGATCAAGTTAGTGATGGGGAAAGGATCAAGAAGAGATGAGGAATATACTCTCAGATGAATCAGGAGATGAATGGAAGATCAGGAGATTTGGAAGGAAAGAAGGAAAGAAGAGGGGAAGAGGCAGGTGACCAAGGTTGTGTGAGAGGGGGTGCAGAATCCACCGTGTCATGGATTGTCATGTTACTTGGGTTTGGGTGGTTGTGTCTATAATAAGGAAGTACCTTTTTTCTCTATCTCATTCTACTACTCTTTTTCTTTTTCTTTTTTTCTTTTATCACTTCTAACTATTTAAATTATTATGACTCTTACTATCATCTTTTATTTAGATATATAACAAATATACCAATATCAATATCAATATCACAATCACAATCACCGGCCTCCCCCGGATTGAACTGACATCAACATTGTCAATCTTGGCCAATCTTAGTGCTGCACCCCGCATTTGAGCTCCACTTTATTAACGGTAGATCACTCTTATATGCCATGTTAGTATATTAGTATAGCCCTTATTAGTACTATATTAGTACTATTAGTATAGTACTATTAACTAGTTAGCTATATTAATATATTAATATATATATTAATATACCATATTATATACTATCATACGACTATCACCTGATCATATCGAGGTACTCCATCGTACCACTCCCTAATCGATCTACGCTAAGATGAAACTGACCACGTGAGGTCATTCCGTACAATATAATGCCAAACTCAATGCTTCCTAGATCCTGTATAGCATAATTAACCACCAATATAGACTCAAGGAATCTATTCTAGGGACAATGTCCTATAACATCTCGGGATATTAGATAGTGTATATGTACTTATCATCTTAAACTCAACAATCTCCTGGACCACAAAAATATAAAGACATAACTCAATACCATATTAGGCGATACAAAGCTGTTGAGCCACTTACGACTCAGTATAAACTTTTTGTAGACATTCGTATAAACTGGCATAGCGCAGAGAAAGCAAAGATCAAATCAAGTCTTATTGTTAGTTACATCTCCCTGGATGCCTCAAACTGACCACTGAGTTGAACTTCATCCAGTAAGATCATCTATCGAAATGATTACCAAACGGATAACTGCAGTCCGACTATGTTGCCTTGGTAGTCGTGTCGTGACTCAGGGTATCCATGGACAGCTACATGGCTATAATGCTATAATTCTATCAATAACATGAGCGTGTAAATAAAGATCAAGTATGCCCAAGTAAATTAGATTAAAAAAGAAAAAAGTGGGAAGTTAATTGGAGAAGAATACTCAAGTGAAGGTTGGAAGTATAAAATCCACACACAGAGGCGGTGAGATATATTTTCTGCCGGCATTGCGCATCGCTTTCTGTCGAGCTACAATTATCATCGAGTTCTCTCTGTCTCTTCCTTTCTCCACTGAGCTCGATTTTCTTTCTTCTTCTCTGCATGACTCTTCTGCTGTGAATTCAGCTTTGCCTTTGTTTTCTGTTCACATCCTTTCATCCACTCCTCGATACCCTTTACCACATCGCACCTCGCGTCCTTTCAAATGTCACTTTTCGGCGCCGGCGCGTCGTCGGCCTCGGCAGGCCAGACAAACACCACCGGCGACATTTCCAAGGACGTCGCCCTCAACACTCCCCCCGAGGATGGCATTTCGGATCTCCGCTTCTCGCCTACCAGCGAACACCTAGCCGTGGCCTCGTGGGATAAGAAAGTCCGCATCTACGAAATCAACGACCAGGGACAAAGTGAAGGAAAGGCACTCTTCGAGCACGAAGCTCCAGTTCTGAACTGCTGCTGGTCTCCAGTAAGTCCCCACTGCTTCTCACTAACTCCCCCCACATATTCACCCCCCAACAACCCAACCTCCATGCACAGAAACTAACATCATCCTTTTTTTTCTCATAGGATGGAACCAAGGTCGTCGGTGCCGGTGCCGATAAGGCAGCCCGCATGCTCGATCTCGGCTCAGGCACTACAACCCAAGTTGCTGCCCACGATGCCCCAATTCGAAGCTGCCATATGATCCCCAATCCCTCCGTGGGCGGAACCCCACTCCTGATCACCGGCTCGTGGGACAAGACAGTCAAATACTGGGATTTGCGCCAGTCGACCGCAATCGCTTCCGTCGACTGCCAGGAGCGTGTCTACACCATGGACGTCAAGAACAAGCTTCTCGTCGTCGGCACCGCAGACCGTTACATCAACATCATCAACCTCGACCAGCCAACCAAGTTCTACAAGACAATGCAATCCCCCTCAAGTGGCAGACGCGGGTAGTCAGCTGCTTCGCAGATGCCTCGGGCTTCGCCGTCGGCTCCGTCGAGGGCCGCTGTGCTATCCAGTACGTCGAGGAGAAGGATTCCGCCTCCAACTTCTCCTTCAAGTGCCACCGTGAAAACCCGCCCGCAAACCGCGACGTCTGCAATATCTACTCCGTCAACGCTATCTCTTTCCACCCCATCCACGGCACCTTCAGCACTGCCGGTGCCGACGGTACTTTCCACTTCTGGGATAAGGATGCGAAGCACCGTCTCAAGGGTTACCCCGCTGTCGGAGGCCCTATCACTACCTCCGCTTTCAACCGTACTGGAAATATCTTCGCTTACTCCGTCAGCTACGACTGGAGCAAGGGTTACTCCGCCAATACCCAGCAGACTACCAACAAGGTCATGCTGCACCCTATCGGACCTGATGAGACAAAGCCCAGACCCAGCACGCGCAAGCGTTGATTTGAACCTGAGCTTCCTTTTTTCTTCTTTTTTGCGTGGGATAAGGGGGATTTTCTTTTTTCGTTAATCGCTTTCATGTCCCATCGCTACAACGAGCATGTAATGAAACTTTTTACCATATCGGCGTGTTTTGATTAAGTGCAAATGAGATTTCTTTGCCGACCTGGCTTTTTTTGTTTTCTTGAAGGGTCTCGCAAGACCTTGGATATGTATTTTCTACTATGAATATAGATATAGATTGTAGAAGCTAAACAAGGAGACGTAGAGACATCCAGGATCAAGCCAATCAAAAACAAAACACCTTCATTGCATCCATGCGTATGATACCAAAAAAAAAGGAAGAATCCCCCAAGCCAGTTGAATATGCCCAGAAGATGACCCATTCACCACATCTCTCATAGAGAATCATAAAAAGAAAAAAAAGCCCCTACAACACGCCTTAGATGTATTTTCTTATCTAGATCACCCTGTTGAATACCTGACCATCTACGAGGTAGGCAGAGTAACCTGCGCCACCCCATCAGCAATCTTCTCAACAGCCTCGTCATTCTTGCCTTCGGTCGTGACGGAGATCTTCTCCGCACCACCCTTAGCAGACCCCTCAACACCACCTTCAGGAGCACCAGCACGGCCCTTCTCCTTCTTCTCCTTCTTCTTAGCCTTAGCAGCGGCCTTCTTCGCAGCCACCTTGGCAGCATCATCCTCCTTCTTCTTCCGGTCAGCCTGCGAGCCACCAAACAACTCACGCCATTCATCCGCCTTCTTGGGATCAATACGTGTGAACAGGTAAGCGGCCTTGCCGATCTTGTGGCCGGCCTTCAGGGAAGTAGGCTTCCAGCCAGACTGGAGCTCTTCCACAGAAGGGATGTATTGGAAGGGTGCGTTCAGCTGCTCCAGAATCGACTTGGAGGTTGCAGGCATGTATGGCGAGAACACGCTGGACAGCAGGTGGATCAGGTTGAGCACTGTGCCGACGACAGCAGCGGCGCGCTCGGGCTCGTTCGCAATCAGCGCATTGTCGAGTCGGTTCGCCTGGATCAGTCCGTTACCTGCCTCGGCGATGCGCATGGCTGTCTGCACACCGGCGCGGAGGTGCGCACCTTCCAGATCTTCGTGGTACTGGCGCAGGTGTTCGGTGACTTCCTCTAGGAATGGGTTGAAGGTCTCTGGCACGGTGAATTCTGGAATGACGGAGCCGTAAGAGGCGGTGACGAGCTTGATGACGCGGTTGACGAGGTTACCGAGCTTGGCCAGGAGCTCGCCGTTGTTGCTGTCCACAAAGGGACCCCACTCGAATTGAGTGTCGCCGGTCTCCGGGCGGTTCTTCAGCAGGAAGTAACGCCACACATCGGCGGAAACGCCGGTTTCACGGGCGTTCGTGCCGAACACACCCACGCCGCGCGACTTACTAAACTTACCACCCTCGTAGTTGAGATACTCGGTCGTGCTCAGGTGGTGCAGCATGGTCCACTTGTCTCTCGTACCGATCTGTGTACCGGGGAAGATCACACTGTGGAAGGGCACGTTGTCCTTGCCCAGGAACTGCCACAACTGCACATCCTCCGGGTTGCGCCACCACTTCTCCCAGTCGTCTGTGTAGTTGGCTGTGATGGAGGGGTAGCCGATGCAAGCCTCAAACCACACGTAGAGAACCTTGTTCTCGTATCCCTCCAGTGGGACGGGAACACCCCACTTCAAGTCTCGGGTGATACCACGACCCTTCAAGCCCTCCTTCAACCAGGACTCGGTGATAATGCGGGAGTTCCTGGGCCAGTTACCCTTTTCAATAGCGGGGTGGGCCCATTTCTCGATCTCCGGTTGGAGCTTGTCGAGCAGGATGTGGATGTGTTTCGTCTCGCGGCGGATGGGGGAAGCGCCGTCAAGCTTGCAGCGGGGGTTGATGAGATCAAAGGGATCGAGGAGGTGACCGCACTTGTCACACTGGTCTCCACGGGCATCGTCGTAGTGGCAGCGGGGGCATTCACCCTCCACGAAGCGATCAGCCAGGAACGATCCGTGCTGTTCGCAGAAGGGCTGTTCGGCGGTCCGTTCGCCGAGGAAACCGTTCTCGTGTAGGCGCTTGAAGATCGACTGCGAGATCTCGGTGTGCTTCTGTGTGGGGGTGCGACCGAAGTGATCGAAGCCGATGTTGAACCATTCATAGACATCTTGGTGGATCTTGTTGTATTTGGCGCACAAATCCTCCGGCGACACCTTCTCCTCCAGCGCCTTGGTCTCGGTTGCGGTTCCGTATTCATCTGTACCGCAGATGTACAATGTGCGTCGACCACAAGCCTTGTGGTATCTATTGAGTAACTGTCAGTTTCATGGCGCAAAGCTGTATTCTGTGTGGGGTTGACTCATACCTGGCGAATACATCGGCACTCAGCACGGAGCCCACGACGTTACCCAGATGGGGAACATTATTCACGTAAGGCAAAGCACTCGTCACGAGGATATTTCGCTCGCCAGCTTTGGGCAATATGGGATCCGTCGTCATCTTGTGGTGTTTGAAGAGGAGAACGTCTTGGTTGGAGGGGCAAAGGCGGGAAAATCAGAAAGTGGGCATCTCGTCACATGCCCCGCGCATATCAGAAAAAAAAAAACATTATCAATTGGCTTCTTCAACTTTTGACTCATATCTGTCTTATATCCACAATGGATCACAATATTCTGGACAGTCTCCTTGATCTGGAGGAACAATTCTACAATGAGGGATATGAGCTAGGTACCGCGGATGGAGCCGCTACCGGATATACCGAAGGCAGTGTTTTCGCCGTTGAGAAAGGCTTCGAGAAGTTCGTCGAGATGGGACGCTTGTATGGCAAGGCATTAGTCTGGGCACAGAGACTCGATATCAAATCGTCCGAAGGCGCCGCGTCGCAGGTGGATAGCACAACGGATACTCTTTCTCTTGATCCATCTATCTGTGCAGACATGCCCAGCCTTCCACCACACAGCACTCGACTGGCCAGAAATCTTCAGACGCTTCTTGAACTCGTTGATCCGGCTACGCTGGATATGAGTAACACGGAGGAAGCTGTCAATGACGTCGACGAGCGTCTCAAAGGCGCCGCCACGAAGGCGAAGCTCATCCAACGTGCAATGGGCGAGCGTGAGGATTCGGCCACCCAGGCTGAACCCAAAGATATGACGACTTCTGGAGATGGCTCTGGAAGCATTGAAGATATTAGTGCATTGAACATTCGTCACTGAGGGCTCGGTCATGCTTCATCAAATCGGTAGGCATGCCAGACGGTCGATTCCCGGACTCTACCGATGCCCTTGGATTAGAGCGCCAAAGGCCAGTCCTTCGTTAGTAACAAAGCACTCGCTTTGGTCGTCACGTGGAAAAGTGCTCCAATATCTGAAGCGCCATTGCATAAAGCCTGAGAAAGGTCATTCGAGACCCATTCTCCCAGGCTTGGTTTACACCTTCCGAATACCAAGGCTTCTCGCTCGTTTGCCACTGAGAAACAACAATCGGACTCTGTCCGAATTTGATGCCCCAGACATATCAAAACTCGTCTACTATATCTTGGACACCAAAGTAGAGGAGCCCCGAAGAGTTATCCCGGGCGTTCTACTGACGACAGACGTTCGCGGTGTCCAGTGGTTTCATGCAAGACCAAATTGATTATTTACAATCATTTCTGAAGACCCCGAGTTACAAAGGGATAATTGTCATGTCAAAATAAATCATAGATTTCCTTTGGATGTCATAATATAGAACATTTCATCAAAAATGCAACAGTTTTCTTTTAGTCTTTAGATATCATCAAACCACAAAAATATCTATAGCTCAAGGCTGCGCTCAGCCATAGCCATAGCACCCTCTTTCGTCTTGTGGCCACCGATGAATCCACTAGCGTGAACAAAGACCGCACCCTCGGGAATCTTGCTCTGACCATTCTTCTCAGCCTCCGCAGCCATAACACCATCAAGGTCCTGGTCACGGACACCGCGCCACGCCTCAGGCAGAGGCTTGCGAGACTCAAAGCTGCTCTCGGAGACAGAGACGCACTGCACGCGCCACTTGGCTTCCTCGGTAGCGTTCTCGGGGTACAGAACGTAGTACGCCTGGGCAGCGGGGTCAATCTCCTTGGATCCCGAAGCCTCGGCCTCGAAGTTGTAAAGGTGCTCCTTCCAGGGCACGCCGCCCTGGGGGAGGACGATAATGCGACCGGAGGGGTGGGTGTCCTTACGCGAAGCGTAAGCGGAGCCGACGGTCGTGCGGGCAGGCATCCAGGATGTGCAAGCGTGGTGCATCTTGCGTGCGAAAGCGTTGCCGATGAGCGTGCTGGCGCGTCCGAACAGGCTGTCCTCGTCCTGGGGCTCGCCGGGAGGGCTGGTGGGGTCTGGGTTGTTCATGTCGCCGACCATTGAGGCAAGCGTGATGCCGCCGTTCTTGAAGCGCTTCTCGACTCCGGCGGCGGCAAGCGCGGCCTGGTCATAGGCGGAGATACCGTTGTCGTTGGCGTCAATCGCTTCGATGAAGTCCGTGTACAGCTTCTCGTACAGCAGGTCTACGTCGGCATGCTCCACGGGCAGAGACAGCTTCTGGGCGAGGATCGCCTTACCGAAGTGCATGTACACCAGGCCGGCAGAGGAGAGCTTGGTGGCGTGCTGCGGGAAAGTCGTTGCGAAGGTGCGCTGGTGGTGGTCATAACGGTGGATGGCGGGGTCGTACACGCCGCCCACGTCGACGACAGTGTGACATTTCTCCAACTCGGCGGGGTCGCGCGAGCGGACGAGAGGGGAGGAGGCGTATGTGGGGAGCAGACGGAGGAGGTAGACGGCCAGGGCCTCGTCGGCATGGAAGTGGCCGCTGTTTTAGTCGGTATATGAGCAGATAATGAGTAGTAATTTCAGGAATATTGCACTCACTTGTGTGTCCCGATCAAGGGGGACGAGGTCTTGAGCTTCTTTGCTACGTTTTCGGCCATTTTGAAGTAGTTATTGAATCTGAGCATTCAAAATGAAAGGGAATGGTCTAAAGGTCTTCACGTATTAATTGCTGCGCTCTGGCTGGCTGAGTTTCTTATCTGCGTTGCCATATCGGGTTATTAGGGCTTAAATTCAGGGCCGAAAGCTAGCATGTGACTATTGGCTCTCGATGTATGAGATCTAGAATAGCATCCCTAATATCATCTTAAGCCAAACGAATCAGGTTATTGGAACTATTGAACTACATCGTCAAGGGCAGAGGTTGCACCGGGCTTATGCGATTACTCTTGTGCCTAGACGAGATAAATGGACTGAAACTCGAATGGATTTGACCAAGCAAAGCTGGAAGAAACGGAGATGTGCTGCCTGGCTTAGATAGCCATGAAATGCCGAATTAATCAATGACTTTCTATTAGACTACAACAGTTCAGCTCTACAACACTCGAATCGATTCTAGAAAGAAAATCGAATATCTATTAAACCGCCACCCAGCGCCTGGCAAGAAATACAAGAGAAGAAAGAACCAGGTATCCTATGTACAAGTAATGGCTTCAGATCATTGGGCTGCGTGTGCGTGTGCGCGGATTGAGCAAGATTCGGCTGAGGGGGAGCGAAAAAGAAACCAGGAAGCTGTGAATACGAAGGTTGAGGGTGGACAGCAGAGGGTATAAGTGCCAAACTGGATAAACAGTGGTAAAGTGGTAATTCAGGGTGGATATGGAAGACATAGAGGAAAAAGAGAGAAAAGCAACAGGTTTATCTGGTATCGTCGAGTCGTGAAAAGGGGTGTGGGATATTGAATAGGGCGATGTTTGCCTCGAGACACCGAGACAACCAAATACACCCATATAGAAATCGAGAAGGGTACTGCTTGGCAAGGAAGCAAGGAAGAGCAGGGACGGGGTGACATGAGACAAATTCCAATCAAAAGCGAGACCGGTGATATATGGCGTCAGACGATCGAAACTATTCCGAAGGACTCGCTCTACCGTAGCTGTAACAAAGGTGGAAGGTCATTGGCGAAATTCCCAGCCGAATCGCCGCTGGGTGGCGTCTTCGTTGTCAAGGTTGCTGCGGGACAGGTCACTTGGTAGGCTTGTGGCCGAGTGGACTCATGCAGTAATATACCACAGCGAAGGAATCAAGAAGGCCGATTCGATTGGCCTTCGAATTCCTGCTGCGCTATTGCTGAAGCAATAATAAAGAGGAAATCGTAGGCATATTGACTTAGCAGTCGTTGACTCTGTCAAGTCATCATTCAGTCGGTTTTCCAGTGGCCTGCCACTCCGTTGTCAAGATCGTTGGTTTCCCCTAGCCATAGCTCGACCGCGTATAGGGATATCGTGCAAGCAAGATTAATCCACCGCCATGGGTTACCACCACCGTTGCCTTGGGTGCTCCACCATTCACCGCTGCCGCCCATTGCTTGTGAGGTTGATGCGAAGTGCTGCATGAGGAGACTGGTGTAGACAGCGATGAGAATGCTCGGGGCAAAGTAGCTCAAGAATCCCAGCACTTGACCTGCTGCGTCGGTATCATCGATGGAAGCCTCTTGGGAAAGGGCGCGGGCGCCAGACTCGCGGACAGCTGGGATTATGCGCGTCGATGCATATAGTACGAGCAGGCGGTAGGCGAGCGAGATGAGAACGGAGGGCGTGACAGCGCTGAAAACGGTGGTAATAACGTTGAAGCCTGCGTGGATAATCGAAGGCAGAAGAGACACCGCGTGCATCAAAGTTGTGTATGATGCCATGATAATGGGAGGCAGGGGAGGGAAATCCCCGACCTGCGATGGCGAGGGGATTTGTTCCACAGGGTGCGATGGCTGATAGTCCGTGAAGATCTGATAAATGCAGAGCACAATGTAGGCGAAGAGGAGGGAGCTTTCGACTGGATTACCGCGACCGCTTCCAATTCCCCAGGCACACAGAATGACGGCGCATGTGACAGAGACTCCAATCAAGGCGGCATCGACGTTGGAAATTTCGGGGAATTGCAGAACACGCCAGAGGAAGTAAACCGAGCTGGAGATAATTGTAGCGGACAAGACCAAGAGGCCGATCTAAGACAAGGGTTAGTTTATATCGCGACATCCATGGGGAAACAAAACGGAAAAAAAAAAAAAAAAAAAAAAAACATACCATCCAGCTATCGCTGCGTCCACCTCGGTTGACAAGCCAGCGGGTAATTTGCCCAGCAGCCTGGATCACCAGCAAACTGCAGAAGCCCTCTGCCAGCTGGAAGACCGGGGTGGACCATCTCAGAAGTCTATCCCAGTTGCCGAGGGTCACAGTTTCCACCAAGCCGTCGCGACCAAAGAGCCATTCCTGAATAGAAGCATCCTGCGCCCTCTTGCCGCTGAAAGTGCGCTCCACCCATCCCGTGCCTGTATTTTCGGCATCAACCGAGAATCGATTCAGCGACCAAATCAAAAGGACCAAGATGACGGCCCATTGTATGAAGCGGAGAACGGCAATGATGGAGGAACGGAACCACGATCGGTCGGGGGTGGTGACCTTCAACAGCGATACCAGGAAGTAAAAGGCCGCTAAGGACAGCGAAAAGGCCAGACCACATGTCTTGCCGCCCACATCGAAAGCTAGTGGGATGGACGAGACGGTGATGGCGAGGAACAAGGCCGACGAAAAGACTCGAAAGAGCCACATCGGACCGCCGTAGGGGGTTGGGCACGCGGTTGGAGATCGAGGGAATTGGGGTGTGTGATCTGAGGCGACTGTCGTGTTCAGATTCTGGATGGGGGTGGGGAGAGAGAGAGAAGTTAAGGAGGGGGAAGGAACACACCGTTTTCTTTTTTTTTTTTTTTCCTCTCTGGAGCTTATCGCTTTTCAAGACAACTTCACGTGGGTCGCCTGGAAGAGAGAAGGAGAAACCCCTGAAAAAGGAAAGGGAAAATAAGAACAAGGTAGATCTAGGAGATTAAATAGATCAAATAAACAGAATAATAAATCAACAAGAGAAATTCCAGTGAAAAAAAAAGAAGCGGAAGTCTCTTTAATAAGATAGCGTTACAGCTAGACTGGCGGTCGGAGCACCCCCATCATTCTACCTAGGCTAACTACAACATGTTGTACATATAATGCCTGGCACTCGAGACCTTTCCCTTTCCCTATTAGTGCTCACCCCTTGCCGCTTTTTGACTGAGTAAAACTGAGCACGTCCCTGAGTTATCCTGTATGTTAGAACCCTCACGTGACTTCGAGTAAGCTTATGTTATCCTCAATTTGCGGATATGGATGCCGCAGTCTAGTAGCTCCTAAACTAGCTCCTAGCCTAGATGACACTTCGGTCCGGACTACCTGGAGGCCTAAGGCCATCGAGATCCCTAGTATACTTTGGGTAAATGGAGCTCATTTGTCATTAAACATCTCTTGACCTAAGGGTTTTGCTGTCAAGTGTACGGGCGACTATGCCACCCGACACATAACTCTCTCATTGGTCTATATTGCCAGGCAATAATTTAGATACACTCTCACTTCACAAGTACCATTGTTGAATCTATAACTAGTTACTTTATATAGTATTTTTATAAATGAATACTGTTGAGCAACCTGTTACTATGTAGAAAGCAGAGGAAGAAATATTAATTGATTAAACTAGAAATGTAGGGGGTTATATACCCTACTAAAACCATCTAAACTCTGCTCGATTATAGTAAACAAGCTAACAAATAGTAAATAACGAACAAATAGGGCTTAGTCTGTAGCAAACATATATACATATTAGATATATATAGGAGATTGTTTAACAAATACGATATTAATGTTTTAACACCGGGCTCTTTATACTCCTAAGTCTTAAGTCTTGACTCTTGATTTCTTACTATCTTACTATCTTACTAACTGAATCTGAATTGAATCTGAATTGAATCTATAAAGTGTATAGGACAGAAATAAAAGAGAAGTTGCCCGTAGAAGTGGAAAGAACGACTGTGTTCCTTCCCATACATGGATACACCCCGATGCCCAAACTGGCAGTAGCTTTCAACCTTAGAAGTTCCCCTCAACTCTCTCTCTCTCTCTCTCTTCCTTTTTCCTTTCTCCATCCTCAAAGTACTCAATCATCGTTTTTCATCACACAATATGAACAACGATACTCAAACTATTCTTTCCGAATTTTCGGACCCCTACCGACGATCGTTGATTGATCGTATCTGTGTCGCTCTCGGCGACCTTACGATCCCACGCGTGAAGGCGCTGGGTCTATGGTTCGCTGACATCAAGGCCCTAGAGGTCCTTGTAGAGAACCCACATATGCTTCACATTATACTGGTTAGTTGCAACCAGTATGATTTTGCGAGAATTTGTGCGTATTCACGAGGTCTGCCCCGCCCTTATATCATTGAACTAACATCTTTTATTCAATTAGGGGCCAGTGATGGACAAGCACCTCGCTCTAGCCAACCCGAAGAAAGCATTAGGGTGACAGTGATAGATCGCGAGGAGGCTAGATGCGTTCTGACCCGCCGTGGAGAACCATCGCTTGAGGTAGCCCATATTATACGGAATAGGATCAATGGGACCACGCAGGACGAGCATGAGGGAAACGACGTCTGGGGCTTTCTTCGTATCTTCTGGTCCGAAGAAAAGGTTAATGCATGGAAGCAAGCCCTAATGCCAGGTGGTGTGCTAGTAAGCACTGAGCGGGTATGCAACCTGATCACGCTGGATCTTATAGCTCACGATCAATGGGACCGCGGACTTATTGCCTTCCGGCCAATTTCGGTTAACGAAGAAGAAACTAAAATGCGAATCGCATTTCATTGGCTTCCTTTCCGAAGCGACACCATCGCTAGGAATGACCGAATGCTACCTGCCGCAGTCCGAGACATGGATCTAGGAACTCCACCGTCCAAGACCCCCGGGAGATCTAATTACTTTTTCGATATGGAAACTCGGGAAGTAATTAGCTCAGGGCATGTCTTCACGGTGAGAACTAACGACAAGGAGAAACAACCATTGCCTTCGATGGAACTTTTAGAGCTGAGATGGCACCTCTCCCGTATTGCTGCGATGCAGGGAGGAGCAGATGAAGATGATGACAGTGGTGAGGATTCTGACGGTGGGTCGTTTTCAGTCCCATCAGGGTCGCGATCACCCGTCAAACGAAAGCGCGAGAACGTGTCTTCCCAATCTCCCACCCGGTCAGTCTCACCCAAAAGGTTGCGAACTTTGCCTTCTAGGGGAAATCTCAGTTCCTTAATCGAAGACGATTTGTGATTGTCTTTGTCTTTCCATTGAAGGAGTGGCGAGCTTTGGCTTTGTCTTGTTCCTGAAGGGGTGATGAGATGGTCTATTCCTGAAAGAGTGGCGGGCTTCGGTCTTGTCTTGTTCTTGACGGAGTGTCTCTGTTGCCTCTTGCTCCTGAAAGAGTGGCGGGCTTCGGTCTCGTCTTGTTCTTGACGGAGTGTCTCTGTTACCTCTTGCTCCTGAAAGAGTGGCGGGCTTCGGTCTCGTCTTGTTCTTGACGGAGTGTCTCGTTTGCCTCTTGCTCCTGAAAGAGTGGCGGGCTTCGGTCTCGTCTTGTTCTTGACGGAGTGTCTCTGTTACCTCTTGCTCCTGAAAGAGTGGCGGGCTTCGGTCTCGTCTTGTTCTTGACGGAGTGTCTCGTTTGCCTCTTGCTCCTGAAAGAGTGGCGGGCTTCGGTCTCGTCTTGTTCTTGACGGAGTGTCTCGTTTGCCTCTTGCTCCTGAAAGAGTGGCGGGCTTCGGTCTCGTCTTGTTCTTGACGGAGTGTCTCTGTTACCTCTTGCTCCTGAAAGAGTGGCGGGCTTCGGTCTCGTCTTGTTCTTGACGGAGTGTCTCGTTTGCCTCTTGCTCCTGAAAGAGTGACGGGCTTCGGTCTTGTCTTGTTCTTGACGGAGGAAAAATCCGGTCTTTGGCAAGACCGGGGTCTTTTAGAATACCTTCGGGGCGGGTATTCTAGAAGATCCAACAGCAATAAGCTTGGACCTCTACGTGGTGCTGTTGACTAGTAGCCTTTAGGTGAAGCCAACACAAGCTAAAATACTTCCCTAATTTTTCAAGTTGAAGGTTATTAATGTTTCCATATACACAGGGTGTCTCCGGTACCTTCCTCCGCCGTTGATCTGACCAGATAACTCTGAAGTGCAACACAAACTTCGCAGCAAGCCGCAGTCTCCCCAGAATTCTTACGAGACAGCACACAGTTCCTCGTCCCTCCGGATACAGAATGCCCGACGGAAGCCACGAAGCGCTGGACTGCTTCCAATTTGTGTCACTCGCTGACCTTAACCGTCACCAGATGTCATACATCACCATAGATCAAGGTTGGATTCATTACAATGGGTATCAGGGTTTTAATTTGGAAGTTGGAATGGGCCGGACACGAGGGCGAGTTGGATGAACTTGAAACCTGTCTAGGCCGCTTGGGAACTGGTTGCGCTTTATTGGAGCCCGAACCCAATGGAATCCAAGTTAACACCAAAGAGACACACCAGAAATAAGCTTGCGGCTGTTTGTGGGTCGAAAAAACACCTCTACGGGCGCAGGGCTGTGGGTTGGTGCGATGGAAAGAACAGAAAGATTGATAACATATGATGTTTAGCGGAGACTGCCCTCTCACATAATGTTAGTGCGCTTCAAGTCGAAGATAGATTTCAGTCAATCATAAAAGTTTGAAAGCAGGTGCCTCTTGCTGATCGCTGAGAACCGGCAGAATCGCCTAGCCGGCAGAATAAATATATAGACACGTGATATACATTAATCTAGACTAAATAAGACAGCGGTCACGTGGCTACTATAGCATCAGTCATTCTGCACGTGACTGATCTGAGGATGATCACTGATCTGAGCCCGTGCTCACATCTACTCAGTGAGCCTAAGCCTGAGCACTCTCATAAAAGCGGCGGCAGTTCAAATAGGAAAGCCCCACGCACGAGGGAAAATCCGGTACGTATAGGTACATATGTAGTTAACTATAGTTATGTTGTAGTTACTAATTTAACTAGCTTAGGGCCTAGGAACATTAAAAACACTAGAAAAGAAGCTAACGGTAGTTAGTTATCTAGTATTTTCTTTTTATTCTACCAGACAGAGTACAGAGTACACAGATCATATAATTCCGAATCAGTTCCACTATGTTAACATACTTAACCGAACTACACTGTGTACATAGTAGATAACTAGTTATAGTTAGTTACTCTTTTTGTCTTTTTCTTTCTAGACCTAAAGTGTTACAATCACAAAATATAGGTATGTGTGGTAAAAAGTTGAATTTCTATATGTGGTATGCAAGAATAGCCCACTTATATATATAAGTCCTTCTAAACTATGATAACCCTACATACTATATGACGCATTGCCATTTGAAGGATATATAATACACCAACCCTTGAACAAATTGGATGGTATGACAGAAGTGTCGGAATCAGTAACATACATGATAGCCGAATATCCTAGGAACACAGGCAGACATTACATAGACAAATTATTGCAAGATTGGAAAATTCAAAGGGACACACGTGAATTATCATAAACAAGGGCCTTGTCATATGAACAAGGAGAACAGAAGGCAAGAAAGTAAGAAAGTAAGAAAAAGAAACCGAATGCCACAGATTGCAGATAAGTTAAATGGTAAATGGTGATACTTGGAGAAAAATAAAGAAAGCCCAAGACACTGAAAAGCGAAAGCAGTGCTTGACTGGGCAGCGAATGTCCCGAAGAACAAAACACCTGCCATATCAACACACAGTCTAAGCACTGTCGCTCTGTCCTGCAGTGCACCCCTATCATCACCCCCCATTCACAAAAGTCATTTGAAAAAGAAAACAAAAAGAAACAAAAAGAAATTCCCATAGCGCCAAGCTTTTGAAAGTGAAATCACAGACCCCCTTCAAAAGATATGCATGCAACGATCGCCCTCCTCAGAACAGCCACAGCCACCTAGTGTAGTGCAAGATGGATCATGGCCTACCGACGGATCGGAACACCCTCTCTCGCAGCAGGGGGACTGACACTAAGTTCCTTTTCACCCTGCACCGATCCAGAGGCCAGACGAGAGCCTGCCTCACCCTCGCTGATACTAGTACCACGGTGTAGGTAGCTACCTCCCTCCTTGATTGAGCCACGGCCTTGGAACCCGGTTGAACCAGGGTGTCCGCTGATGCTGCCGGGGATTTGCTGCCCACCTTGGGAGCTGACACTGCCGTTGTTGGCTGAGTTATTGGCGCCCGGTGAGGTTGAGGTGAGGTGCGGGATGTTCTCCGGCACTGGGTGGCGTGACCCGATGTTGGTGACGCCTACGTCGGAGGCTTTGCCGGCTTTGCTGAGGGCGTAGTCCCCCGAATCAAAGTATTTGCGCTCCTGTAGGAAATTCAGTGTTAGGATGGTGTGTTGGGTGGGGTTGGGTTGGTGTTGGGCTTACCTTGAGCTTGTTCTGGAGGACGTCCTTCTTGGTGGGCATCTTGCCGTAGAGGCGCAGCAGGCGCTGCTCCTCTGGGCTCAGGGACTGGGGAATTGTTAATAATGATCAGATAGAAAAGTGGGAGGACTTACGTTGATATCCACTTTATTCTGCTGGTGAGGATTCATGATGGATGGTTGAAGAAAGTTGAAGTTGAGGTTGAAATTGGAGGGGGAATTGAAGTGGGAAAGATAAGGCGGGGAGAAGGTGATGTGTGACCGGGAGGGTAAGACGGGGAGAAATAGAAATAACAGGATAATAGAGGAATAGAGCAATAGAGTAAATAGAATAATAGAATAATAGAATAATAAATAATCGAGGAACAATCACAATCACAGTATTTAAATAAAATCCCAGATGTTGAGGAATTCGGAGATGGTCACTATTGGCTATGGAGGTAGATGACGTTTGGGGAATTTCTTCGATAAACTACGTATTATGGGGTTTTAATAGGAGATCTATTTAGCATATCTATGTATTTTAATATGTTATACTATGTTATACTATGTTTTAATATGTTTTAATATGTTATACTATATTAAAGTAGTGAATGGTATCATACTCTACCCTATGAGTATGTACCTAGGTCAGGTCACACATATAACCCATTAATTATCGTCTCTAGCAACCTTCTACAGTCATCCCAAGGATTTCCCATCGTTATCCCAAGGCTCACCTGAAGATAATAGTATAATTGGTTCATCAAATCCATTATAACCTCGTCACCTGCCAGTGTGGAACCGAACCTTGAGCTTCTTCATTTCTTCATTTTTCCCGCTTCTGTGACGTCTCTCTCTCTCTTCCAACACCCACCATGACTCAACCAACCTTTGTAGTTGAACATTTGGATCCCGAGCTGGGCCCATGGTCCACACTCGAATATGCCTGCATCGCGCGTGAATCCCACGACCGCGGGGCAAGATTCTTGCTCAGCTCTGTGCCCACCGAGCTGCAGATGCCCGCAGAACTGGCCGCCACCAGGGGCCTCGAGGTCGAGCACCGTAGTGTCGAAGAGATCTTTGCCGACCGCAAAGACAGGGTCTGCTTGTTGGATCCTTCCGCTACGACCGAGTTGAGTCCCGAGGATGGTGATACCTTTGAGGTCTTCTTGTTCGGTGGTATCCTCGGTATGGAATTTTTTGAATTCTTTTTTTTACCCCGCGATATATATATGGATTGAGTTCGGACTGACCCTTTGATTGGTAACTGCGTCTGCAGGCGACGACCCGCCTAGAGGTATGTACTTGTTTTCTCTATGCACTTCGGCGATAGACTGACTGACTTTGTAGACCGCACCTCGGAATTGAGGAAGAAGGGATATGTCGGCCGCCGATTGGGGCCTAAGCAGATGACCACCGATACTGCTGTACGAGTTACTCGATTGGTTGTCCACGAAAAGAGTGAGTGCGAAAAAATCTAGATGATATATGTGCTGTACACTGATTCTGCCTAGCACCCCTCGAGGAGATTCAATATGTCGACTACCCGGAATTGCTCATCAATGAGCACGAGCGCACCGAAATGCCTTTCCGCTATGTCAAGGATGCTAATGAGCAACCTATCATGCCCGATGTAAGACGATTGAATTGCGAGAGAAAAACAAGAAGCTAACAGTTCAGGGGATGGTGGATCTTATTAAGAAGGATGCCGACAAGTCGATTGATTTCTTCTAGACTGATACATACAAATGGACTAGTTGAAGATCCCCCCAAATTAAACGATAATAAGGTGGCTGAAGAAGGCCTGGGCGTGTTTCAAATGGTTTGATGTCGAATTGGGGGAGTTTCACCTCTTGATTCAGATTTAGGTGGATAATATTAGAAAAATACATACATGGATTTATGGTTATTTTGTATGTCAATATGCTAAATAGCTCTAAATATCTCTGAATATGTTGTATATCTAAATCACTCCAATTGATTATAAGTGGGATCTATAACAAAGAATACACAAAGAATACAATAAATACCGAATTGCCTCTGTCAAGGTAGTTGAGTGGCTGTGCATTTCATCCAAATCCACCTGTAATTACAGGTAATTACAATTATTACTCCACAGGCCACGCCAGCCTTAACTTCCTTTGAACTCCGTTGTTCGACTTGCATACTCCGTACACTCTCTGTACACTAACACCTTAACACCTTAACACCTTGACTTCCCTTTCTTTAGGGGTTTGCCGTTTCTTTGTGAACACCCGTCACTTCAACTGTCCCTCTCCTATCCTAATCATCCTTCCGTCCCGTCTTACCTGTCCAACTCCGATGATCTGTTGATTTGCACCGACGAGTCCCTCCCGGGACATCTATTCGACTATTTACCACAACCTTGATTCTGATGATACCCACACTGGACTGCTGAAATGCTCTCAATACCATTCCTCCCTTCTTCCATGAAGGGCGGTACCACCGCGATGTTACTATCCGCATTTTCGCTGCTGTTGAGTCCGTTGGTATCGGCCAGTTCGGCTGCTGATTATTATGTGCACTCGTTACCCGGCGCACCGGAAGGCCCTTTATTGAAGATGCATGCTGGGTAAGTTCATACGAAGTTGGATTGCCTCGAACTTGTGGGCCTTTTTCTAACGCGCCAACTCTAGACATATCGAGGTCGATCCCAACACCAACGGCAACCTGTTCTTCTGGCATTTCCAGAACCGTCACATCGCGAACCGCCAACGCACTGTCATTTGGCTGAATGGGGGTCCGGGATGTAGCTCTATGGATGGCGCATTGATGGAAGTTGGGCCCTACCGACTCCAGGACGACCATACGTTGAAGTACAACGAGGGTAGGTGGGATGAATTTGCCAACCTGCTCTTCGTCGATAACCCCGTCGGCACCGGGTTTAGCTATGCGAACACCAATAGCTATCTCCATGAGCTGGATGAAATGGCCGCTCACTTCATTACCTTCTTGGAAAAGTTCTTTGAACTATTCCCCGAGTATGCGAACGATGACGTACGTCTGCCTTGTCCTCTATTGTCTTGATTATATCTCTAACTGCGTTACAGCTATATCTCGCCGGTGAATCGTATGCCGGTCAACACATCCCATATATTGCAAAGGCCATTCACGATCGCAACAAGGGCCTCGCCGAGAACGGAGGCACGAAGTGGCCTATCAAGGGTTTGCTGATCGGTAACGGTTGGATCTCTCCTACAGACCAGTACCCGTCGTACTTTAAGTTCATCGAGAGGGAAGGCCTCGTTCAACCGGGTACAACCCTCCAGCACAACCTAAACACACTCAACGAAGTCTGTCTCTCGAAGCTGGAGACCCCTGGCGCAAAGAACAAACTGAGTATAGCCTCGTGCGAGCTAGTCTTGCAACAATTCCTCGATCTCACCACCGAAAATAACCAGTGTTACAACATGTACGATGTTCGTCTCAAGGACAAGGCCGAAGTCTGTGGCATGAACTGGCCCCCCGACCTGAAAAACGTTGAGCCGTATCTCCAGCGACCAGACGTCGTCAAAGCCCTGAACATCAACCCCGCAAAGAAATCCGGCTGGACAGAATGCTCTGGCATGGTCCACTTGGCCTTCGGCGCAAAGAACTCCATCCCCTCCGTCAACCTGCTCCCAGGCCTGATCGAATCCGGTATCAACGTTCTGCTCTTCAGCGGCGACAAAGACCTCATCTGCAACCACATCGGGACAGAGACGCTGATCCACAACATGAAATGGAAAGGTGGCACCGGATTCGAAACCTCCCCTGGCGTGTGGGCCCCGCGCCACGACTGGACTTTCGAAGACGAACCCACTGGCATCTACCAATCCGCCCGTAACCTCACTTACGTGCTCTTCTACAACTCCAGCCACATGGTTCCATTCGACAACCCCCGGCAGAGCCGCGACATGCTCGACCGCTTCATGAAGGTCGATATCGCCAGCATTGGCGGCCAGCCTTCCGATTCACGTATCGACGGCGAGAAGTTGCCCCAGACTGCTGTCGGCGGACAGGCTAACAGCACTGCTGCCGAACAGAATGAGAAGGAGAGGCTGAAGCAGACTGAGATGCACGCGTATGCCAAGTCCGGCGAGGCTGTCCTCGTCGTTGTGATTATCGGTGTCATCGCTTGGGGCTTTTTCATCTGGCGTAGTCGTCGTGCTCGCCGGGGCTACAAGGGCGTCTCAAATAATGATATGTCGGACAGCACATCCATTCTCAACCGATTCCAGACCAAGCGTTCTGGTCCTGATGTTGAAGCTGGTGATTTCGATGAGTCAGAGCTCGACCAGCTTCATTCTCCTGACATTGCGCGGGAGCATTATGCTGTTGGCGAAGCTAGTGATGACGAGGATCATGTCTCGCATCCGGAAACTGGTGAAAACCGCCAGTCTTCACAATGAGTGGTTTTTTTTTGTTTTTGAAAGGCTTTCTGAGGGGGATTTGAAGGGTTTAAAATGATTTTGGCATGTATATAAAGTAGACGGTGTTCTGGGGTCTTGATCTCATTCTAAATATGATTTTTCATTCTGATATCTCACATAACTTGATTTCCCTATTAGGTTGTGAATGATGGATTACGCTCTATCCTTCACTTCGCAATGTCCCGGTGATATATTTACTATATTTATTATATATTCTTCATCTGTCTGGCCTCTAAATACACCAAGCCCTTTTGTCTATAAGTAATTCGGATCAAATATATGCCAATTCCAAAAGAAGATCACCGCGTCACAGTCCAAACCTTGACGCTCCCATCATCAGCCGTTGAAACAAGCACCTCCTCCTCACCACCACATCCCCGATCCGCCCTCTTGGTCCAAGCAACATGGTTAATCTCGTAAATTCCATGCGCTCCATCATGAACACCAACAAGCACCCACTCCGTTCGCAGCACATCACCAGACGTAGTACTAGTATCCATAGCATCTGGATCACCCTGCTGCTCCCGCTCCGACGTAACAAAGCGCTCTTCATAAATTGCAATCCGTCCATCCGCACTAGTCGAAGCAACAAGGCCACTCCGCTTACTCCACGCAACAGCATAAACAGGCAGTTCATGCGCATGCGGGAGCACAGCATCTTCCTCCCAAACCTCATCCGTCCCAGTAGGCCGGATGATACTCGGGATGCCCGTCGCGGCAGAAGACAGCGCCCCCGTCTGCTGCGATTCCTTCGGCTGGCGTCGCCACACGCGTACAGTGCAGTCATCCGAGCAGGAGAGAAGACGTGGACCAGAAAGTGCTCTCTGGGAACGCCACTGAGCTTGTAAAGCGCTCATCTCAGACTCGGAAACAGATTCAGATTCACAGATAGGCCCGTTCCATTTCCCCTCTGCTTCTTCTCCCTCCCAATCCAAAAACCAAACTGTCCCCCCATGCCCCTTGATACAGGCTACCTGGCCCCAATCATCCAGATCCTCCCGCCACAACCGGATGGTATCGTCGTAGCTCCCGCTCGCAAGACATTCTTCCGAAGGATGCCATGAAACACACTTCACATCGCCCCCGTGCTCCTGCATCACAGCAACGGTCTCGAAGTTGTTATCGCCGTCGTCGAGATCCTCCCAGATCCAAATCGACTTGTCGCGTGAGCACGTCGCAAGCAGCATCCCCGACGCAGACCATGAGACGGACTTGACTTCGCTGTCGTGACCGTCGAGAAGGACGGCGAACCGCCATTCTTCTTCGTCTTCTTCGCGGTCTGGGCTGTCGGTACCGGTACCGGTACCGGTGCCGTTGGGAGCTTCCGTCAAAGTATCGGTTGCAGTCTGTTTATCGATACTGTTCATCCCAAGACTGACGCCGTCTTCTTGTCCGTAGCTATCCCACCGCCGCCAGATTCCGACTGTTGCGTCGAAACTGCCCGTCGCGAGCACAGACTCCCCCGTCATGTGTGGCTTCCATGCTGCTGTGCGGACGGAGCGCTTGTGGCCACCGGTGATTGTGGAAAGGAGGGTGAAATTTGTGAGGGAGTAGACTCGGATGGTCTTGTCTGAACTGCAGGTTGCAACTATGGGGAGGGTGGGGTGCGGGGCTGTGAGCCAGGTTCGTTCTTGAGAGGGGGGTGTTAGGTCGGATAGGTGTGTTATTGTGACTTTTGGAGACATCTTGATTTATATTTTCCCGTTGAAGATTGAAGGTATTGGAGGGATTGAAAAGGGAATAAGAGGGATGTGGTCGTGAGGTTGGAATTTTGATGTGGAGGGTTGCTGATTAGATAGTGACTTTCCAGGTTTATATTGGAGATATTTTATGTTGTATGTTAACTATACATTGAATGAACACTTCGAGCTTGGAATATTCACATAACTATGCCATGATAGAGTATAGAAAAAAGTATAGAAACCAAGTTGTCATTACTCCATACAAAATCCCTAGAAACTAGTTGTATACCCTGCCAATCTGCCTGTCCAAAGTCTAACCTCCCAAGTCCAAAAAATGGAAACAAAAGGACAAAAACAAAAACAAAAAAAGACAGCATTATATATGTACCTCTAAAACGCCTTCACTGTGCTGTAACGCCTTCTTCATATAAACTCTCGTATATGGCCCCATGGCAAAGCCAATCCACCTCCCGGATCTTCTCTAATTCTTCCACCAACTTCCCAACCTCATTAACAAATTCCGGCATACCTGCTCCAGCTAGGTTCTGACTGGCCGTGGTAGTAGCCCGCACCCGTTCAGAGGCACTTGATGCGCTGAGACGCGATAGGACGTGGCTGCGAAGGCGGGAGAGAATGAGTTTCGTCACCGGGTCCGAGAAGCTAGCCACGGAGGTTGCGCTTCCATTCGAGTCTGAGACAGAGGTCTCTGAGGTCACCACCGCGAGCTGGGGTGCGGCAGCGAGACATGCCGTGGCAACGGGGCCGAGCACTCGTTTGATCGTAGCTGCGAGCTGGGCGCTCGCAGCGGGTGGCATCGGATGCGTCGACTCTAAGATAGACTGGACTCGCTCTGGGCTGATCTCGTTGAAGTCTAGAGACAGAATCCGGTCTGCTTCAGGTTTCCATTGGGACCGTGCGTCTCGCTTGAGCAGGTTCTTTGCTGTCAACAGGATGGAAGCAGTTGCTACAATTTGGAATACCCTGGCGTGCAGCCGTTCAAGCCGTTGGCGATCGAGGCTCAGAGTCTCGGGAACTAGATCCTCGGACACGATCGCATTGCTTAGAACGGTGTCGGAAAGACCTTGGGCGTAGACTCGTGCTGATGGTGGATGTGGTTCTCCTTGGACACCTTCCGGATCTCGCTTCTTCATCTCGTCAACGATGATCTTGCGATGGATGCGCCAAAATCGTCGGGTCTTGCCTAGGCTGATGGTTCCGTCTGCAACGTCTCGGTCGAATGCCCGCTTCTCATAACCCGGAGCTTCTTCGATGAGTTGGGGTGCAGCAAGCTGGATCATGAAATTCGTCTGGTCGAGTGATAGCAAATCAATGATGCTCATCAATCGAGCCAGCCGGTCGATGGCATCGCCTGAAGTATCCTCAATGTATGCCTTGACCGTAGGATCCCGGTAGGGAGCGCATAGGCGTGGTAATATGTTGTTCATGAACTCGAAGAAATTATCATAGGAGAATGCGCCAGCCTCGCACTGTCCCTGAACCAGTTTTGGGTCTAAGACTTCGCTAATTATCACGTAAAGGGAATTGCCCCGTTGGAGTGACCGCAGCAAGCGATCTTGGATCACTGTGGCCATTGCGACAGTCCAGTTGGTGCCGTGCCCAGATTCGACCCCCTTTCTCATTGTGTCGCACATCTGCTTCATAATCTGTCTGCGCGGTTCAGTGTACGGTGCTTCTTCGATCTTGAACTCTTTGTTGATGAGGAGTTCATGCACCAACTCCCGATTTTCAGGGAGAGGAGTGAGGATTTTGGTGAATCTCTCGTGGGGAGATGTCCGCTGCTTATCCAGCTCTTGGAATACTGCGGCATCGATGTTGTTGAATGACTCGCTAAGGGGGGATGTGACACTCTGCGTAGCTTCCGTGGTTGGAGGAGCAGTCTCAGCAGACCGAGGAATAGCTTGCTTGGAGGCAGCCCTCTTCTTCTCCCGCTTGGCCTTCTTCAATGAATCTCGGATCAGTTCCATGTGTCGGTCAGGTCCCGCAAGTCTCTTCAGACGGGCGAGCAAAAGGACCTGGTTTTGTCGGATACCCAGTCTGTAGTCCTCTGCAGCACCGCCGGCTTTGTCATTCTTGACCGTCTGCCAAATCAACTCCAGTTCGACAAACTGTGCAACCATGATCTCAATCAGTACACTAGAGTCGTGCGACTTCCAAGCATGGAAAGCGGAGAAAAACACGTTGTGTGATTCACACAAAGTTTGCAAATCCGCAGTGATCACAGATGGAGAGCAACAGCCTGACGATAGCAGCGCCGTGACCTGGTCAAAGGCTACCAGCAGCTCCCGAGCCTTCGCAATCAGATCTTGCTCCTGGTCTCCATTGCTGCTCAAAACTTCTTTTGGATGAGTGACAATGAGATAGCTGCTGAGGAATGTGCGTACTGCACCCTTCTCACCCAACGGTCCACCTTCCATATCTTGCAGACCGCAGAGGCGGAGAACATTCGCCATAGTATCGAGCAACTTGCCGTTAGAAAGGAGAGCACCAACTTCTTCAAAGGTCATGTCGCGAACTCGGTCTACCGACAGGTTCAACGACTGAAACTGCTGCATAACCATCTTCGCGCTATGGGTTCTCCATACGCGCTGAATCTTCCGTGCAGCCGCATCCTGCGCAACGGACTTGGTGACCTCTCGGGACATCTTCTTTTCCTCAGTGGCTGGCAAGCTGCTAGTACGTTGGCGGCGGTGGGATTGCTGGTATAAGGTGCGCCGTTTCTCTGCCTCTGCAAACTTCTCCGTCATTTCCAGACGCAAGCGAGCTTGTTCGGTAGCTTTCTTCTCTCGCTGATCCTCGGCCTTCTTCTTGGCCCGTTTGACCTGATCCTCGCACTTGGCGGTGATATCGGCGAGCAGACGCTCCCGGGCCTGCTGGGCAGCCAACGCTCTCTCTTCGAATTGTAGATTTCTTGTAGCTGCTTTGGCCAGAGCGGCTCGCAGCCTCACTTTCTCCGCATGCAATGCACGATCCGCGAGTCGTGCCTTTCGGCTCTCCAAAATGGACGTGCGGCGGAGGTGTTGAGCAATATGATCCGCACTTAGCGAGCCATTCGAGGGCCCGGCCGAGTTATGGGAGTGTAAGGAGGATACCGAGCTTCGTCGAGATGAGGCGGCGGAGGAACGGCGGGCCTTGCTGCTTTTGCGGTAGAACCGGGCTGCAATGTGTGGTGGGAGACTTAAGGGAAGGGTCGGCTCGTCAGAGAGCATCTCTATGTCGAGATCGCTCAAGGATTCGGGTGAAAGAGGTGTTGGACCAGCATCCGGAAGCTGGATCTCAATATCGGAGTTGCGACGGATCATAGTACGGAGTGACGCGGGTGCGACGCGGAGCTGATAAAGCAAAAGGAGAATCGGCGGGGCAGTACTGATAAGAGATTTGGATGGCGATTGTTCACAGGAAGTTCACTAGGTTATAGAATCCCAGTCGAGTGATCTCAAGTCTTTTAAGAAGAGTAAAGGAGTAATCTAGAAGGGTTGAAATTCAAGGAGTAAAAGACATGCACATCACTCGGCTGGGGGGGAGAGGGATCCGTGCCTCGTTCCTCGTTTCAGAATGGGAAATTTAGTAGAAAAAAAGGGGAGATGCGATGGATCAGATGAAGTAGATGAATCAGCTCAAATAGCCAAATAAGCTAAATAGCTAACTCCAAAGCACGACATGATGAAACCAGGAACGTTCTGATTGAACGTGGATCTTCTCGAAATGGAATCTCGTGGCTGCAAGCGGAAGCTGAGGTAAGCGCGATACTCGATAAGCCGGACGATCGATCTTCTTCTCTATTTATAGCTTCCAAGGGTATAAATATCTATTTTGTATAAATGATTGATGTTTATGCTCTAACATGGTCATTATTACCCCCGGATACAATCTGCCTATCCCAATATGACATGTCAAGTTCGCCCTTGGCTCCATTCTCGGCGATGATAGCCATATACTGCTCAGGTTGAGACCGTGCCTCTTCTCGTAGAAGCTTAGGATCGAAGACTGTCTGTATCACATGATTATGGACATGTAGTGCATGGATTCTTGGGATATTCTGTGCTTCTGCCTTTTAAATTGACGCTCCCTGGATGATCTGCAATCTCCACACAGTACATAATTGGTCTGTGACGTACGCCACGAGCTGCATCGCTAGTGGATGTGGCTTGGCCACACGTGGTTGTATAGTTCGATATAGTCTATTACACTGACACAAAACATCTCAGGCCTCGCCTGACTCTGGCTAAGGAGCGCCTCCCACTGGATGGCTTGGACGTATCTGGGCTTTACGAGTCTCCATCTGCACGATGATCAAAGTACGAAAGCACTGGCCAGGCGTAGAGTTCTCGAAGTAATCCCGAATAGCTGCGAAGTTTTGATTGTGGGAAGAATCCATCACTGATGCCCTTTCGCCTAATCATAGGTCTAGGCTTCGGATGCGTATACATCTCTACCAACCTCTCTGTCGCGGAGTGTGCACCCACCAAGCTCCGCGGTAGTTTCGTTGGAACAGTATCCCAATTCGGCTACCAGCTGGGTACCCTGATCGCCTTCTGGTCCGGCTATGGAATTGTCCTTCCACAAGTTGCCCTACAACATCGCTTGGCGCGTCTCCAATATAATGGGGGTCCGGATCCTGCCGCGGCTGGGGAATCTGAAGGAACTTCTGACCAACGTGAAGCCATGGCCATAATGGACGAAGGATAAAAGACCCCGGTTGCTCATGTGGAGGATGCGGCCCAAGACCATGCTTCCCATGGACTGGTGAGGTCATCTGTTTAATTCGATCAGGTTAGTAAGTTGGTATAGGCACCGAGACTACAGATGACCAATGAAGGAATTTAGTACGAGCCAAGTAAGATAGAAAGTTCCACTAAAATTGCTATCGTTGCGTCGTGGTACCAGTGTACTTTGAAATCCCAAAAAGAATTGAACGCTATGCTGCAGCGAAGCCAGCTGCTTGATGTAAGTAAAATCAACACCCCCGAGATGCGTTGGGTTGGCCTTTGCTTGGTTGACTGTGTCGAACCATGAATCATCGGATCAAATGCACATTTTGTAGTCATCACACGTGTAAGGGTACACAAAATGACGGAGCTATCATTTGAAATTTTGAATCGGCCTAGAAGAAGCTTATCTGTTTCTGGCGCAGCCCATTCAGGGATAGGCACCGGCTTATAGATGCTTCTGAGATCGAACCCCATGGACCAAGATGGGTAGTATTGCGGTCAAGGGTTGAACAGCGTTCATTGCTCAGTGCGTGGTTTGACCAGAGTTAATTGATGAGGGCGAAGATGCTGTTGGGTCACATTTCACAGGACGATAAATCAACCCACCAGTCATCTGGGTTCATGTGTAAGGGTTTGTATCGGCCTTATTGATGGCCGAAAATTTGGATGTGATCTTGATCTTCCTCGTCCTCTTCCTCCTCATCGTCGTCCTCGGTATAATCGGAACCATCCGATTCAACCGCGTCAGAAGACTCACCGTCTTCTTCATTCTTAGCTTCCAGTACGTTTTCAGCTGATTTGGTCTCACCGCCAAACAGTCCATAGCGGTATGTAAGCTTCTTGCTCAAGAAATTCAATGCACCATAGTCCTCGTTCTCGCCACGAGATGGACCTCCAAAGAAGGGTATAGATGAAGGTTTCTCTGATTCACGCTCAGTCGGTAGTCCAAAGTAGTTGCTGACGACAGGCGAGACAGCATGGCCCCGTGTGATGTTATAGGATGATAATCGTCTAGCGGGTTCGGGGGACACGGGGACACTGAGCCCCGAATGAGGAGTCGATGTGTTATTGACGTTCAATCCTCTGGAAGACGACATCGAGTCATCGTTTTCAATGAGCGAAGATGATCGAGGTCGAGAAAGGAGGTCTCCCCGGCGCCTTCGGGTTGGGAAGACATATCTCCGTGCAAAATGCGAAGTTGGGCCGTATTGTACGACTCACATCTAGACCCTATTAGCAGGTGTTGATCGTCTTTTTCTCTTCAAGAGTACATACAGATCACATCTTAAACCGAGCCAATGGTACCTGACAACTGACTTCGAACCGCAATCGTTGCAGTAAATAAGGCCTTTAGTATCCTTGAATTCGTCGGGCATAGGCTGGCTCTCGATGGTGCGATCCAGGTTTCGGAATGTCGATTCCATGTTGGTGATGGTCTTGCTACAGAGGGGGCAACGGTAAGAACTTTTGGAGTACTCTGAGAGACACTTGTGGTGTATGCTGTGACCACATCGCATGACGACGACAGTTTCTGGAGAAGTGAACATGTAGTCGCCACATATGGGACAGTCACACTGGGTGGAGCGTTCAATGCAACGATGAGTGGTCTCAATGCACATAGGAAGACAAACAGAGCATGTCTATCATGTGGTCAGTATCAGTATAGTCTAAGCCATGTCGGAGCCCTTACCTGGCAATGAAAGAAATCCTTCCCCAGTCCCTGTCCAATTCGACATATACCGCAGTCGCTGCAGTGATAGATGCTCTTTTTGCTGTCGTTATCCCAGAGCTTGCAAATCTCGCAATAATACTGCGCAGTTTGCTCGCTGCACTGCCTGCAGTTCTGCGCTGCAGGCTGTGCATGTCCACATAGCATACAAAGCATGTGCTCGGTGTCTCGACGAATGAGTGAGTGGTCTTCCACTTCGTCATGGCAGAAGCGGCAGGTATACCATTTTTTACAAGTGTGGCACTCGAGTTTTACATTGCGCTGATAGTGCACACATCCCAGAGTAATCTCTTCTTGTTCTTCCGTGTCACCGTCTTCGTCTCCAGTTTCAAGTTCTGCTGATTCTGATTCTGCCTTGGGAACGAAAGTGGGCTGCAGATCTTCAGGTGTGAGATAGAAGGTGTTCTCGTACATAGGAGCAGATTCGGAATATGGCGAGCCTGGTCTAGGAGCATTGATCTCTGAGGCCCGGGGAATCTCTGGACTGGTTGGCAGTCCTAAGCTCCGTGGACTCGATGGAGTTGAGAATACCCCCATGCCAGGGGTGCTTGGAAGCTCACGGGACGTGTTGTAACCTTCTGTCATGAGACCGTGGACCATTCGCGCCTTTTCAACATTGGTGAGCCGCAACTCCCTAATTGCGATGATCTTGCTTCTTAGAACTCCCATGCCATCATCCGCCGGAAGCAAAGAATGTGCCAATCCCTCCGGATCAAAGGTATTACCCAAGGATCGCCCAGGCTCACCGATGGATATCGGTGAAGCTGCATATTGTGGCTCATTATGCGAGTTCAGCGCTTCGCTGGGGTGTGAAGCTGGTAGATTTGATGAATTGTCCTGCACGGTGACGTCGATTTCATGTGTAGGATCAAATGAGCCGTCTGTAGTCGCAGCTATATTTTGGATGGACCTGGATGTGTTGTGGGCCACTGATCGAGTGTCCTCCGGTTGCAAGTTTCGGCCATCCATCTCTTTGGGTAGGGTTGTGAAGAAAGGAAGGCTATGTAGGGACCCCGCACTCGCACTCGCATCTCCGCAGTTCGATCTCTGTTCGTGATCTTGGCCCGACCGAGAAACGAATTTATGGTGACTATCACTCGAGGGGTTTGTCGGTTCGTTCAGGTGGAATGTAGCTTGGTCGTCATTTGGTAGGCTGCTCGGTTGGGGTGGTAAGGGGGATCGTATTCCAATCTGGATCAGCAACGAGGAAATGAAACCACTCATGAAGGATTGTAAATCGGCATCTCAACTAATTACTTTTAGATGCTTGAAATAGAAATCAAGCAAAATCAAACCCCAAACTTCGAGCTGAAACAGCAGACATCGTGACATGTGACGTCCACGGGCACCGCCCCCGATGCTGAATCATCGTCACATGCTCTGAGGCTGGAGCCTGAACCGATTGCACGATTTTTAGTTGGACTCGGTTGGACTTGGAAAATCAGCGAATATTGGGAAAAAGAATGAACTATCATTTGGTTTTAGAATTTGCTCGGAGTATTCTAGCACCTAGTCTTTCCAATCAATTTTGTCTTCCTTGCAGAGCCATTATTACGCCCAACAACCAATACTGTCTACCAACAAGACAAGGATTGGCTCTACGACGTTGTGGTGAATGCCAAGGCATGTAGAGTGCCGTTGACATAATGTGTTGTTGTACACCATAGGATTGTCCGGAAATACAACACACGACGCTGACCCAGAGACAGGACGGGTCATCGTGTCCTACGGAATCCTTGAGATATGTACCGGTGTTCTGATCACGGCAATACCCACCCGATATGTGCAAAAACCCCTTTTTGGGCGAGCTGCCTCGCATCGATGTGGATTCATGCCCAAGGGAAGCACTGAGGCCTAACGGATGCACAATCTGGCGTAGCGGGTCGGATCAGCACCGAGGGAAAAGTCGAGAACTGCGGAGTTCGAATCATCTGAGACATGTCCCTAGACTCTCATTCAAACGGTCAAGTGTCAAATTGTAATGGTCAAAGGCGCTTGTCCGCAACTGGTTCTCTACATGACCGAGTCCCAAGGATCGTGGACTGAGGCCAAGTTAGCGGCGTTATTCTCCACTTATGATGGGAGGTCACTCACACGCGGGACTCTCTCAGAAGGTGACCTTGTTCCCAGTATCTAGCTAGGAGAAGGTTCTTCAAAATCTTATGTTCCATGCCCGCAAACTCGGTAGCTCGTTCGAGAAAACGAAGGGTGTTGTTGATTTTGGCAGGATTAAACTCTTCGGAGGGGGAGGAACGATAGGATTGTCGTAAGGATTTTAGTAGCATATGGCGACCCGGCGTCGAATACTGAATCGCTTTCAACCCCTGTCGATAGAGGTGACGATATGCGTGGATCATAGCTCGTTGATCCACCTTCATGGTCTGGATTGAAGCGTTCATGTCCGATTTATTGGACAAGTTCGAGCCAACGAATTTGGGGCAGATGTGCAATCAGACGGAATCAGGCGGAATCAATGGAGATCCGAAGGGTTGAGTGCAAATGTTGGATTGGTATTGGAGGAAAGGAAGAGTAAAAGACGGTCAAAGTTGGGGAAAGGTTGTAGCCTCAGGCAGGACTAGCCCGATCGGGAGAGGTGACTTGGGCCGCAATAGCAATCTTATCAATCCCTCCTCTGTCTCTGTCTCTCTCTGTGTCTCTCTCTCTTTCCTTCACTCCCTCTCTCCCTCTCTCACTCCATATTTCTCCTCGATATTCTCGTTCTTTCTTTTCTGTTTTCTCCCTGCTACTTGCTCTTTTTGCTCTTGCTCGAAGGTTGGCTCAAATAGCTCACACACCAAGAACGTTGTTTCTATTTCGGGCGACCGCGGGGTGTCTTTACTTTCGTACTCTTTGCGTTGCCGAGGTGCACTAGGCGTGACTTTTCCCTGACTTGACCGAACGCCCTTCACTCCGGCCCATACCAGGAGCTACATATCATCTACCCGTTCATATCATACGTCTGATACAGATCTTAAATGATGTGCTGAAATCTTCATCTTCGCCAGGTTCTGTGATAAGCTGAACTAGAAGTATGGCCCGTGTCATAAGGAGGGCTGCCTCGGCCTCGGTCAGGCATGGTCCTGGCCGGGCTATCCAAAGAAGAGCGAGAAGGCACAAAGTTATTATGGAATCTGTGACCCAAGAAAAGAAAAAGCTCCGGAGTGTGGTATGTATATTCTCTACTTCAGCTTGGCCAAGTGATTAATTAACAACAATATACAGCTCTGTTTTGAAGCCCAGGCACCAATCGGTTACACCTTCATTCCTGCAGGAAATCCGCAACTCACTACAACTTGTAAGGAGCGATGTCGAGACCAGGGTTTCCAAATCCATGCAGTATCGGTGAGAACCCTATCTGGTTCCTAATGATCATCACTGATTATTTTTCTTTTCTAGACTACCCCACACTATCGCTATCATAACCTTTCCCAGCATGTTCATCGGATAGGATATCATTTTCCTAGTACTGTGGTGGCAGCTGTTTGCTCAGAACTAGGGTTTTACCTCACAAGTACTGGTAAAACAGTGCCTAGTACCTTCCCCACGGACAGGATAGAGAATCCTGAGCATGCTGATTCTGAAGTTTCTCAAATAACCCTCAACACAGAAGCACGGGACGCCTTGAAGGATCTTTTTCCGAACATACCAGACAAAGATTTGAATCAGATTATCAAGACCGCTTTTCAAAAGGTACGTATAGACCCCATCTTGATCTGAGAAATGAGGGTGTGGAAATCCTGATATCGAAAAAAGGGTCAGAAAAAAGTTGGGACCGCCACAGGATTGCCTTTGGCCCGCAGAGCCCAACTTGCTGTGGTTGCTTACGTTCGACATGTCTACACTGACTACGATCGCCTCCTAAAAACCACTTCATTCCATGAAGCTAGAGGGTTTGTTGAGCACAAAACTCTAGCAAAAGTCATTGAGTGGCGAGGGGACGATGAGAATGGCCAAACAGTGCTGGAAGATGTTTTCCGCGAGGTGATCGTTATCTCAGATGATGAAGACAGCGAATCAGAAGAAGATGCGGCTGCTTCAGCAGAGCATCAAAGCACCAGTGTGGAAATACTTCCAAGCGATACTCGGGCCCACGAGATCCGGTATCAACCTATCAACAACACGAGCCCTCTTGGTCGGGATCTTCCACGGGAACCATCCGAGGAAGCGCCGCCTGGGTTCCGATTTGTTACAAGAGCCCCCGCCACAGACACTATCAACCGCCGTGGATTTAACAGGTACAAAGCATGGACCCGCGCTGTCAAGGAATATAGAGAGGGTATGCAGGGCATTGAACAACCCAGGTTTTCTGTTGCCCCAGCTGAAAATCAAAGCCCACGATATGCCGAGCAGCGCATTACTGCTCAGGAAGTACCCGCTGCTTGGCGCCAGGATATGGTTCCCCAGCACGCCGAGGTCCATCGGCGAGTCGCTCCAGGCTCAGCCAATAATGATAACCAAGCACATCGAGTGCCCGCTATTCCACTAATGGACCGACAGGTTGCCAAGAGACATGTAGGTGTTCAGGAGAACTATCCTCATTTGGACGCCCAACAAAAATACTCCACCCAAGAACTGAACGCCAGGCCAACTGGACTAACTAATCAGGAATCACCCGAGTTGCAAATCCTAGAAGACCTCTCTGGGCCTAGAATTGCGAACATGGCCCAGTCGCAGGATGTTCCTCCCTCCAGGATGGAGCCCAGATTTCGACAGGAAAGACTGCCTCCTCAGTCGGACAGGACCAACGCACCTGTTTTCGTGAGCGGGCCAAAGGAAAATCGTCAGAAATTGACCCCAGTGGGACGCCGCACTGACTCCGTCACTTCCCCTCTTCTGAGACCAGGTTCCAACACACAGGATTCTATCTTGCCCTCGATTGAAACTTCCCGGCCGTCAGAAAGCCGGCGGACTGACGGTGCACATCCTTTGGTCCATATGGCCAACAAGATGTCCCTCCGATCGGTCACACCAGGGCGCCCTAAAGGAGAGATGATGCATCACCCCGATGTTATCAAAAAGGACGGGGACAGCGAACACGCGAGCAAAAGAAGGCGTTTGGCATATCGCGAAGGTTCTCGGACCGATCCCCGTCCAGACCTATGGAGTGCAAGGCCTATGGGGCTTCCTGTTTCCGAAGGATTCGGACCAAACTCTTATCGTCGCGTTGAGCTTGTCACAGACCATCGACCCCAGGACCAGTCTCATTTCCGTCGGGACTACCAGCCAGTGGAACCACCCCCTGTTGTAGGACACCAGCGGGAAAGGAACGCGAACTCACTCTCTTATTCCAACGTACAACATGGCCCAGAAACAAGGTCAGTCTTGGGTCGACAGCACATTGGCGGGTTGCACGAGCCTCAATCCCAGGCCGGGCTTTCCAATACCAGTGCCATTATCTCGGGAGGGGATCACACCTCTAGAACGGCTCCAGTCGTTTCTCAACCTGGACCGTGGTATCCTTACCACGGTGATCGTAGTCTCCGTTCAGATCGTGCTCCGCAAGACTCGCGGGCCATTCGGCACACCGGCCTTGATAGTGGCCGCCCTTTACGAGAGAATGTTCACCCAGACAGAAACCTATATGCCGAGGACTTTGTCCGGCATGTTGACCACCGTGAGCCCCTTCCATATGAATATATTTCCAGGCGGACAGAACCCGAAATCAAGCCCATTGGAGACCCCTCCCCGTCAACTCGGACTAGAAACCTTGATTACATTGGTACAAAGAATCTCTCCCAGACCCAAGTTTCGTCTGATCAATGTGGCCCATTGCCCATAAGACCGCGAGTGGCTCCTTCCCATGACCACCTTCGCACTTTTTCAGACTCTGTCATAGGAAAAATCCAGCCTCACGTGTCCCCCCCTCAGGTCCCTCGTGAAAGACCAGCCAGTGGCGGGTTCAACTCCTCGCGGTAAGCCTTCATTGGGGGAAACCAACCAGTTTAACAGCACAACTTCCCCCCCACTACGTTTTGAGAAATTCTTCACTAACACAGATGTAGACCATCCTACAGTTACCCTGCCTCATCCCAAACTATGGAGCAAGATCGCCCAGTCTATGTTCAAAGGGTTGAACCACGGTCACCCTACTATTCCGTCCTTGGCGGAAGACATGTTGTCATTGTTGATTAATTAATTCCACCTTCTATCATATTCCCCTTTTGTTGCGAGATGTTTTGTATTCGCATTGCGTTGCATTGTTGTTCATGATACCCTTGTGCATA